AAAACCCCGACTGCCCAGCCAGCATGGCTCAGTGGTCGAGTGTTAACCTATGAGCCGGGAGATCATGGTTCGATTCCTAGTCAGGGTACATGACCGGGTTGTAGGCTCAGTCTGCTATGGCTGTTATCACTTAGGGCCGTGGTCGGCAAACTGCGGCTCACGAGTCACATGCGGCTCTTTGGCCCCTTGAGTGTGGCTCTTCCACAAAATACCACAGCCTGGGTAAGTATTGACATTAGAAGAAGTGACGTTAGAAGAAGTTTAAGTTTAAAAAATTTGGCTCTCAAAAGAAATTTCCAATGTTGTACTGTTGATATTTGGCTCTGTTGACTAGTGAGTTTGCTGACCACTGACTAGGGCATGTGGGGATCAGACAGGTAAAAGGATGCATCCCCAAACATTTAATTTTAAGGACGGGGACAGCCTGGGTGTTTTCTCCCCTTTCTGTCCATGGAAAAGCCCTGGGTGATGGGTTACAGGAGAAAAACCCAGCCCCTGTCGGTAGAAGGCAGGAAGCAGACGGCACAAGTCTGAGTCAGGAGGCTGTGAGCGGGGGTTTTGGTGGTGACAGCGGAGAAGCCATTCGGGTGGCCCATGGAGCTGCTCACCCAGGGCAATGCCATCTCTGAGCTGGTTCAGGGAGTGGGGGGGAGAATGAAGGAGAAGTCTTGTTCAATTTTGGCCCCTTTTATTCTAGGGCAACCATATCCACTGTCTTAGCTAGCCTGCATTCTCTAAAAAGCAGGCCCCTTCTCCCTCCTAGTCTCTAGCTTTTATCTTCCAGAAATGCCTACATAGCCTTAACAGGAAATCAATCAAAACTCCATTGCCTGAGGCTGGCAGATTCTACCTAATGGAAGTAGGCGGTGGCTTGACTGGTCGGGCCTGAAGTCTTGGGGTCCTCAAAGATCACTGATAAGGGTTCCCAGCTGTCAACAGCCAATAGGGCTGTCCTGCCTCTGGAGTTGCGTGAGTGGGACCTGGGCTTGGTCCTCATGCCTGGGAGAAGCAGCAGAATTTCCCAAGCCAGGCTGCCCACCAGCGGGGCAGGGCCCTGGGGAATAGAACCCGCTTTCCACGTTGAGTCAGTAACGGTCATCAAGCACATCCTAGTGGTGACACCAAGGGAACCAGAAGAGGCAAACACCAGGCTGCCGGCCACGGTGGGGCAGGCCTGGGTGGAGATCTGGGTAGAAATCAGAGGAGGGCCAGGGTGTGGGGAAGGGGTCAATGTGAAGAGCAAACTCAGAAGACCACTGGGAAGAGCAGGGCTGGGGAGGGAGGCTATAGTCCCCTCTGCCCACAGCCAGAGGGAGAGGAGGGAAAATGGCAGGAAGGTGTGCCCGCGCCCTCTGCCCCCGGTCACATTTAGGCAGGTGGGACAGGCCTCAAATCCAGCCATCTGTCTGCTTCCTTCAGGCTTCTTTAATTTTTTTTTTGTTGTGCTTTATTTAATCTTACTTTTCTTCCTTTGTCTGTCTGTCTGTCTCACACACACACCCATCTATGCACATCCCACAAACCCTCATCTCTACATATGAACTGTGGGCCTGGCCCCACCCCAATCTCTAGGGTATTCACTATAGAAGCCTCACACACATAAACATGCACACACATTGCCCTCATCACTCAGACCGCTCCATTTTTCTTCAGAGGTCTTGTGACCTCACAAAGAACTGGAAAGTTCAGCCTGCCCCTCCCCCTGCTCTGGGCTGCCACCAGACCCGAAGGCCCCACCTGTTTTAGCTCTGCTTTCCTGTTCTGTCTTTGGATTAATAGTTGCCCAAATTTGCCCTGGCCAGTTTGGCTCAGTGGATAGAGTGCAGGCCTGCAGACTGAGCGGTCCTGGGTTTGATTCCCTGTTAGGGCACATAACCAGGTTGTGGGCTCAATCCCCAGTAGGTTGCATGCAGGAGGCAGCTGATCAATGATTCTTTCATTGTAGATGTTTCTCTCTCTTCCCTCTCCCTTCCTCTCTAAAATCAATTTTTTAAAAAGTTGCCAAAATTTATTGATTTACTAAGTGCCTAATACACGCCAAGTTTCATCCTGCCCACTTCACACGCTGCCTCACTTGGGAAGGAGATAGGCTGCATGTAACAGAAGCCCCACACAGCAGCTGAACGAAACTGAAGTATGTGTTCCTCACTTAGCAAGAAGGCTCTGTGTGTCTCAGCGACCCAGGCTCTTTCCTGCCTCACTGTCCTTGTTTTGTGTGTGTGTGTGTGTGTGTGTGTGTGTGTGTTTTAATGTGTCCCAGGAATGAAACAGCTCTGGCCACCAACATAGGCATCAAGCTAGGAAGAACTAAGGACTGTACATCCACTCTGCCCCTGGCTGATATAAGAGCCACACCAGCAATCAGGTATCTCCTCGTCCATTGCCAGGGAGGAGAAGTCTGGTGCACGGATTCATGCATGGGAAGGGGAGTGGTCCCTCAGCCTGGCCTGCACCCTCTCACAATCCAGGACCCCTTGGGGGATGTAACAGTGCACCAAGCAGCAGGCGGCCAGGGCGGAGCCCGAGCTGGCACTGCACCACTCATGTTCATCCCGGCCTGCTGCACCTGCCACCACTGCTCAGTAGCACTGCCATGGAGTAGGGGGAGGCTCCCGCTGTCATAGCTGCACTAGCCTGCAGTGAGCCTGGCTTTTGGCTGAGCGGCTCTCTCCCTGTGAGAGCGCACTGACCACCAGGGGGCAGCTCCTTCATTGAGCGTCTGCCCCCTGGTGGTCAGTGTGCACCATAGCAACTGGTCGACCGGAGGTTCTGGTTGTTCAGTCATAATGGTCACTTAGGTTTATATATACAATATATATATATATATATACACACACACACACACACACACACACACACACACATATATATATATATATATATATATATATATATATATATATATATAATTTTTTATTTTATTTTATTTTTTTTTGAAGAGAGGAAGCGGGAGAGACAGAAACATTGATGAGAGGGAAACATCGTCAATCAGCTGCCTCCTAAACCTTCCCTACTAGGGATGGAGCCTGCAACCCAGGCATGTGTCCTGATCAGGAATGGAACCAGTCACCTCTTGGTTCATGGGCAGATGCTCAATCACTGAGCCACACCAGCTGGGCGGCTTTTTAAAATTTTTATTTTATTATTATTTTTTTAAGGAGTCATGCCCCTGTGGCTTTTTTTGTTTGTTTGTTTGTTTTTAATTGATTGTAGAGAAAGGAAGTGGGGAGAGAGGGATAGAAGGAGAGGGGAAGGAGAGAGAGAAAGAGAAACATCACCACATCCATTGGTGGCCTCCCGCACTTGCCCTGACCAGGGATCAAACTCTCAACCTGGGTATGTGCCCTGACCATGAATCGAACATGCCACCTTTTCGGTGTATGGGATGACACTCCAACCAGCTGAGCCACACTGGCCAGAGAGCACATGCTTTTGATTTTAGTGGCATAAGCTGGCTGAGGGGTAAAAAGTCAGGAATGGCACCTGAGACTGCCTACTTATTTGGACACCACCTCATCTGGGTCCCCCCACTGACCTCAGCACAGTGGTTCAGACCAGCTTCTCCCTGTGGTTTCCTCCATGCACCTCACACAGGCCAGCCCCCCAGGGGCCTGGGACTTGGACTGGACTCACTGCCTGAGGAGCAGACAGAGGCCGGTATACTGGATTCCAGATGCCAGATGGCCCCCAGTGACCAGAGCCCTTTGCCAGCTCTCTGCTGTAATCAGCGGGCAGACATGAGTCCTGGCTGAGAGTGATAGGGACTTGGGATCAGGAACTGAGCCAACATCACCCCAGCCTTATGGCTGCGGCCCCACACCCTCTGGGCCTGTCCCTCCATCCACACATAAGTTTGTGTGTTGTACTTGTGGTCAAAATGCCCACATGCCCTGCTCACCCCACAAGACTCCCTTCAGTGGCCCCTGCCCAGGCCTATGGCCAGAAGGGCCCAGAGTGCATGCCCTTGGAGGGTCCTGGCGCCCTGTCCTTCATTTTTTCAGTTGTCAAGGACTGTGTTTGGGTTGGCTCCAGGACTTCCTTGTGCATAGCCCTAGCTGAGTGCCATAGTCAGGCTGGATCCCCATCAGACATCACTACCATAGGCTGACCCTGGGTGCAGAAGGGACACCTGAAGACTAATGGGTTGTTTGGACAGGAAGGCTTCCCTCAGTTTTGGTCTGAGCACATGTTGAAGGATAAAAAGGAGAGGAAAGAGCCTTCCAGGCTGAGGGAACAGCCAGCATGGGGGATGAGGGATGTGTGTTGGTTTTGAGAAATAGAACACTGGGAGACATCTGGGGAGGCGCCAGCAGTTCACAGGCCAAGAGGTAAAGAAAAGGAGTATTTGTATGGGAGAGAATACTGTAGGCTGGCATTGAGACCCAAGTCACCTTGTGGGGCCCCAAACACCTCTCCATCAAGCCCCCACTGGGGCTGTTACTCCATGTAGGGCTTTGGAAGCTGGCATGAGGTGTGCTCCTTTCAAGTTTAAGGTATAAGCCTCTTCACCATGCCTTTGATGACAAGGAGGGAGCTTGTTAGAGGTGGGAGTGGGAAAGGAAGACTGGTCAGCCTAACAAACCCTATGGACTTCACTGGGGCCCAGCGAAGTGACTGACCTGCCAGGGACACACAGCTGGTAACACAGCTGGGACCAGAATTTGAATGATTCTACTCCAAACGGAACCCTAGTTTTAACCCACTGCAGGAACCACAAGTCAAAATCACACCCTAAACCGCACAAATATGCATATTTCCCCCCAGTTATAATTTTCAGGAATCTGCATTTTATTATTTTATTTATTGATTTTTTTTTTCAGAGAGGGAGAAGGATAAAGAGCCAGAAACATCAATCAGCCGCCTCCTGCCTCCCCGCTCCCCAACCAAGGTACATGCCCTTGACTGGAATCCAACCTGGTACCCCCGAGTCTGCAGGCCAACGCTCTATCCACTGAGCCTAACCAGTTTCGGCAGGAGTCTGCATTTTAAAAATCAATTTTTATTGATTTCAGAGAGGAAGGGAGAGGGAGAGAGAGAGAGAGAGAAATATCAATGATAAGAGAATCACTGTCTGGCTGCTTCCTGCAAGCCCCACACTAGAGATCCAGCTGCATCCCACCCCAACCAGGAATGGAACCATGATCTCCTGGTTCATAGGTCCACGCTCAACTACTGATCTGCATTTTATCTGACGTCCCAGTGATTCCCACGCATATCGGTCTGTTTGAGACTAGGGCTCCACGTTCAGGGCCCACCAGCCTCACAGCACAGGGCAGGCCGAGACCCTGGAGTGTGAGCCCCGCCCTCTGGCGATGACTCGGCCACCAGCCTCTTCAAGGTCCACAGGACGGGTCCCTGCGCCCCCTCGCGGCCACCGGAGCCAGTGGCCGATCCCCGCATAGCCCGTCCAGGAGTGACGGGCGTGGGCAACGCCGGGAGCTCGGAGTCTTACGTGGGATTAGGAAGGTCACCCGCGCCGGATGTCCACAAGTGGGGACGCCTGGAACGCCCCCGTCTGGCGCAGGGAGCACCACACCCTACGCCCGTCACCCTCGTGCACGCGCCCGCGCCTCTTGTGCGCAGGCGCCTACAGGCCGCGCAGCCGCCATTGCTCCCCCGCCAGCGAAGCGGCCCGTTAGGAGACTGCGGCCGCTGAAAGAAGGGTAAGTGCGACGCCTTGAGGACAGCGGCAGGGGGCTGATGGGTAGCATACTCAAGGGAGGACACCGCCCCCCATCCCCGCTTAGCCCTGGCCGACTGGAGCAAGGAACTACAACCCCCAAAATGCACTGTGCTGCAGGGTTGCGCGAGGCAGTGACGTAAAGGGTCTTTGCTGCAACCTTTTCTCCGTGGGGGAGGGGGGGGACGCCACGGCGAGGGTTGATGACGCGTTCTTCTTCTGGTTAGAAGGTCAACGGAGGTCAGCACCAGGTCAGCGGGTTCTGAGGGCGCCTTCGCGAGCCTTCTTCCTGTCTGACCAATTTAAGATCGTGCCCAGCCAGTGTTGCTCAGTGGTTGAGCTTTGACCCATGAACCGGGAGGTCACGGGTTGGTTTCCGGTCAGGGCACATGCCTGGGGTGTGGGCTCCGTGCCCAGTAGGGGCGTGCAGGAGGCAGCCCATGGATGTTTCTCTCTCTCCCTCTCTAACTTCCTCTTTCTTAAAACAAAACAAGTTAATAATAAACATATCTTAAGAATAAGAAAAATAAATAAATCGATGTTCTATTTATACTTATCTACAAATATCTGCCTTTGAACCCTGGCTGGCTATTGAGCCAGTCAGACACCATCATGATCATCATCATCATCATCATCATCATCATCACCATTGTTTAGTCTTTATTTTGAAATCTCAAATTTTAAGAATTTTTAAGTAAAGCACTCCCGTGCCCTAGCCATGGTGTGGACCCGCCCATGGGAGGGTCACAGGTTCCATTCCTGGCCAAGGGCAGTGCCTGATGCAGGTTCTGTGCCCCCCACATCCTCTAGGGCACATGAGAAGGCAACTGATTGATGTTTCTCTCTCACATCAAAGTTTTATCTCTCCCCTCTGTCTCCCTCCCCCTCCCTTCCTCCTTTTCACTTTTTCTAAAAAGCAATGGAAAAATATTCTCGGGTGAGGATTAAAAAAAACAAAGAACTCCTGTATCCCCTGTGATAACTAAGTTAGTTACAGATGTGATGCCCCTTTACCTCTATGTTTAGAGGCATATCAGTGTGTATTTTCCTTTTTAACATATTTTTATTTATTTCAGAGAGGTAGGGAGAGTTAAAAACATCAGTGATGAGAGAGAATCATTGATTGGCCATCTCCTGCAAACTAGAGATCTGGCCTGCAACCCTGGACATGTGCCCTGACCAGGAATCCAACCATGATCTCCTGGTTCCATGCTCAATCACTGAGGCATACCGGCCATACCGCCAGTGTAAGTGTGTATTCTCTAAAAAGAAGGACATTACCCAGTGTTCAAAATCAGGAGGTAGTGATCAAAACTATTATCTAACTCATAGTCTGTATTTAAATGCTTCCAGTCGTCCTAATAATGCCCTTTCTTGAAACTGCCTTTCTCTTGGCTCAGGATCCCACCCAGGAACATACTCTGCCTTCTCTTTAGTCTCTTTCAGTCTGGAGCAGCTCTCCAGCTTCCCTGGACTCTCATGACTTTGACACTTTTGCAGATTTCCTGGCCAGTTATTTTGTAGAACTGAATTTGAGATTGTCAGATTTCTTCACCCCCAGGCTGTTATGGGCAGAGGTGGTGCCGACTAGACTGTTCCTCAGAGGCCGGGGCTGTGTCTTGGATGGGTGAGGAGCAGTGACCACCCACACCAGCCTCCATACATACTTCCAGACCTTGCTAGGCCAGACCCTTTCTGTGGTTGCCTCCCCTGTCGGGGATTCCACCCTCATCTCACTGCTGTGTTTGGCTTCCCTGTAGCACCCACCCGGAGCCATGGTCCACGCTTTCCTCATCCACACCTTGAGGGCCCCTCACGCGGAGGACTCGGGCCTTTGCCGGGTGCTCTACTCCTGCGTCTTTGGTGCCGAGAGTTCACCTGATGACCCACGGCCACACGGTGCCGAGAGGGACAGGCTCCTCCGCAAGGAGCAGATTTTGGCTGTGGCCAGGTAAGCGCACAACCTAGTATAGCTCTGTCACTGGTGGAAGTGGGGGATCCCTGTCCTCACTGGGTGCTGCGGGACGGGTCCTTAGATCTCTTGGCAAAAATAATTTTCTGAGGCTCGCCCAGGAGAGGGAGTCACTTTCATTTATGTGGAATTACATCCCTGCATTCCCAAGATCCCATTTCCCTTCACCCAGTCCAAGAAGATGGGCAGCTGGGGGTTCAGCAGAGCTAGAAGCAAGGGCCGTGTCCAGAGTTTCTGTTCCAAGTGGAGCTGGGTCCAGCACACCATTAGGCTGGTTACAGTCCATTAGTCCATTGGGGGAGGGGGGGTCCCCATGGCTGTGAACCGTGTGGGCAAATGCGGGGAGCCAAGAGCAAATCCCCTGCAACAAGAGTCCTGAGCGAACTGAGAGACAAGAGAGGGGACTCCTTTATTTAGGAGCTAAGTATCTTTATATATATATATATATATATATATATATATATACACACACATATAAAAATATTAAAACATTTATATATAAATATATATACATATATAATATATATACACATATGTGTGTATATATATTATATAGACATATATAATATATATACACATATGTGTGTATATATATATATTCATTGATTTCAGAGAGGGAGAGAGATAAAAACATCAGTGATGAGAGAGAATCATTGATCGGCTGCCTCCTGCACGCCCCCTACTGGGGTTGAGCCAGCAACCCGGGCATGTGCCCTTGACCAGAATCGAACCTGGGACCCTTCAGTCCACAGGCCGATGCTCTATCCACTGAGCCAAACCAACTAGGGCAGGAGCTAAATATCTTAAATCTTCCTGTGCTTGCAGTGGCCACACCTACTCTGACCAATGAATTGCTCCTAGCTGTAATTGACAGACTAGACTTTATGTCACCTATACTTTTCTGGGCATGCTCTATTCCTCCCCTGTACAGACTCTTCCCCCAGAGATCTGCGGGGAATAGACCGGTGGCTTTGCAGCTTCCTGGCAAAGCTGCACAAATGGCCCGCTCTTACCATTTGGCTACCCGCCTGCTCCTTTCCTGCTAATTAATAACTGGGTTCATTACAATGGTACCAGCCCCAGAACCTCATTGAATTCATGCCTGATTGTGATAAGTTTTCTGGGGAGCACAAGAGACAGGGGGACTAAGAATCAGAGAGGAAGTTTTAGAGTAGCATTTTCCAAAGAGTCTTTTATAGTTGTTCACAAGTGTTATGTGAAAAAGGGTTAAAGAAACTATTAATGCCTTTATTATTGTTATAGTTAAGATTTATTGAACCTGAAATATGTGCTAAGCATTTATGTCCTGGCATTTCATGTATATGAACTCATAGGTACAGTTATTATCCCCATTTTAGTTACATTTGAATCAACTGAAGTAGGGAGAGTTTAAGGAACTTAACCTACACAAGGTTATGCAGCTAGAAAGCAATGGAGGTGGGATTTGACTATAGGCAGCAAACTCCAGTATAGATTGGACATGCTCTGCAGTGCAAGAATTTTCACTTCCTTCAGTGTGCCTGTAGGTTTCATACATCTCTAAGTAGGAGAGAGAAAATGGTACAAGGGAAATCCTTATGCTCAGAGCCTTCCAAAAGCCTGGGATCTGGAGTACAGTTTGGGAAACACTGTTCTGGTTGGAGTGCCCATCCCAGACTGAGTCAGTGGGTGCCAACATCTGGTCTCTGAGCATTCTGGGAGGAGGGTTAACACTCTGAGACAACTCTGGGTCAGACCTCTGCCATCCTCTGGTTCCTGTGGACCTCTGCCCCCTTCTGTGACACAGAAATCCAAACGTTGCCTTAAGACCAGCCTGTGCATGGCCCACATTGGAGGGCAGTTCAGGGAGCGCCTGCAAAAGCCTGGATGGCCAAGAGAAAGGTCTTCCCTTTCCATTTGGAGAGGCTTGCGGGAGGGGAAGTGGGTGGAGAGTTTGGACAGCCCACGTTGGACGTGGCTTTCACACCGCTTCTCATTGTTTGCTTCCCTCTATGTTGAGGAAGCAGGTGGGTCAGGATTTCTTCCCCTGGTGCCCTTTTTCAGCCCAAGGAATTCTGTTCAAAACCTGCCTTCTCTTGGCCACACTGAGTGAAATGGTTCAGGGCCTGGAGTCTGCAGTCTAGATTTCTGTTCCAGCTCACACTTCCCTCTCTGTGGCCCTGGGCAGGCCACTTAGTCTCTTTGGGGCTCAGTTTCTACATCTGAGTGTGGGGATAACGGAAGCTCCCAGCTCCAAGGAGGGACCGGGGGATGACAGAAGGATGACAGAAGTCGGTGACCCGCCCTCTCTCCCCAGGCAGGCGGAGACCATGTGCCGGCTGCAGCAGCAGGCGTCCGGCAGGCCTGCCGCGGACCTGCAGCCCCAGCCCTCAGATGAGCCGGTGCCCCTCCACGAGGCCCCCCGGGGGGCCTTCCGCCTGGCGGCAGGGGACCCTTTCCGGGAGCCTCGGACAGCGGTGTGGCTGGGCGTGCTCTCCTTCGGCTTCGCCCTGGTGCTGGACGCCCACGAGAACCTGCTGCTGGCAGAGAACACACTTCGGCTGCTGGCGCGCCTTCTCCTCGACCACCTCCGGCTGCTGACCCCTGGCACCAACCTCCTGCTGCGGGCTGACCGCATCGAGGGCATCCTCACCCGCTTCCTGCCCCATGGCCAGCTGCTCTTCCTCAATGACCAGTTTGTCCAGAGTCTGGAGAAGGAATTCAGCGCTGCCCTGCCCCGCTGACCCCTCACTGAACGGGGCTTTGCGAGAGGGCACTGAGGAAAGACAAGGGTGTTGAGACACACAGCCTGTTAAAACTTGGCATCTACCTCCTACCCAGCCTGCTCCCAGCTCTGGTGTGCTGCCACACCCGGGACAAATGGATGGGACAAGCTGGCAGAAAAGGGGGCAGGGCAGAAGGTAGAGGGGAAGAATCACAGAACATTCTGTGCCTGGAGGCGCTTCATGACTTATTCAGACTGCTATCAAGGGCAGCCCCTATTGTCCTTGACTCCACTTTCTCCCATCCCCAGCGGCCAGGCCTCTGCAGTGACCTGCTCCCAGTGCTGGGTGGTGAGGATCAGCGGCCTGGAACTCGGCCCATGTTCTTTTCCCAAACCCACAGTCACCACAACACAAACGGAGTCTGCTGCACCACACTTCACAAATATGTCAGTCACTGCCGGGGACTCTCAGAGACTGACATATTTTGGGCTCAGTCCATGCTCGCCAAGCAGCCTCAAGATGATCTTGGGCAATCCCTGGTCTGCAGGGAGAGAAGGTGCCATCAGGTGGGTACAAGAAATCTGGCCTGGACGATGTTATCTTTCTCATTTTGATTTCATCACTGACCCCCGTGGGTCAGGGACCCAAGATCGTGGTGGTTCTGCTCAGTGTTGCTTGTGCCAATAAAATGAAACTGTTCTGTAAAGTAGGTCAGAGAGTTTATTCTTTGGCCAAGGAATTGAGAAGGATGAGTTGTGCTCAAAAGATCCCTTCTCCCCAATTCTGGAGAGTTAGAAAAATCTTTTTATTTAATTGTTTTTATTTTTATCATCACCATTAATCTCCTCTAGGCCCTCTTCCACCTCTATTCCCTTCCTTCCCTAGGAAAATCTTAAAGGGTTTGGGAGCGGGGAGTAGTTAGGCAGGCTCAAGGAAGGGTGGAGGGTTCTGGGAGCATGCCCAGTTCCCTAACATGCTTGGAACACGCCTAGCCATACATTGCATGTATCATTTTAATGTTACATTTCCATCCCTGGCATGAAGGAAAGTTTGTCAAAGGTAACGTGGGAAGGGGTTTCAGATGCCGTCTTTGAGCCATCCGGCCAGGGCACAGACCCGTTTCTTTGCTGTGGTCCTTGGGTTCCTTATCTGGTTCTAGGCTGCAGGCTTGGCAATCTTCTCTTGAGGAGTTCAACCTCCTTGTGTCTCAACATCTGGTTGACACAGGAATACTGAGTCTGGCTGTTATGTTAGGGAGAATACAAGAAAGTTAATGGAAGTTTAAATAAAGATTAACGATGTGGCACAACCCACTGACCATTTCACCCTCCATTCCTGTGGATTGAAGTGGTGCATATCCGTTCCTCTGGGTAAATGCCTTTCTGTGTGGCCTGAGCTGGGTGTCAGCGTTCATGGTTAAGGATGCCCCCAAGAGGCCTCTTGAGAGGTCTCTGCCTCTTCTCTGCCGCAGCACCTCTGTCTCCTTAGGTGCCTCCTTTGAGGGTAGCTCTTGATTGAGGATTAAACCCCCCCCCCCCAAAAAAAAAAACCACAAAAAAACAAAACACAGAACAAACCACCACATTGTTCTGGCCCATGGATTTTATCAGACAGCCCAAGAAGTCACTGGCCTGAACCAGGCAGGTTAAGCACCACACTCATCTAAAGAAACAGAATAGCCGAAACCGGTTTGGCTTAATGGATAGAGCGTTGGCTTGGGGACTGAAGGGTCCCAGGTTCGATTCCTGTCAAGGGCATGTACCTTGGTTGCGGGCATATCCCCAGTAGGGGGTGTGCAAGAGGCAGCTGATCGATGACTCTCTCTCATCGATGTTTCTAACTATCTCTCTCCCTTCCTCTCTGTACAAAATCAATAAAATATATTTAAAAAAAATAGAAAAGCATTTTTTAAAAAAATAATAAAAAAAATAAAGAAAGAAACAGAACAGCCCCATGTATGAAAGCCCTCCTCTCCGGTCTGTAGAGGCTCTCCTATGGATGAGCCTCCCACTTGGATTCCGCCCTTCCCTCCCCCACCCCCAAAAAAGGGAGCTAGCCAGTAGATGTACTCACAACTTCCTCAGTGCTTTTTATTGCCTCATTTTTAATGCAAAGTTCACCAGACATCTGGGGGAAGCGAAATAAATTAAAAACAGTAAAAATGGTTTCAGAGAAAAACCATGCAAGGGACATGAGAGAATTATTTTTTTTAAAAAGGGTGGTAAAAAAAAATAAATAAAAATTAAAAAGGGTGTTGGGGGCTCTCTAATTACTATTCTCAGTAATTAGATTCAGGAAGATATCACTCCCGTAAAGCAAAGACAGGAAAAGCAGAGAACAAGAATGAATCCTCAGGAAATAAATGTTATTGCTTACATTAAAAATTAGCCCAGCAGGAGTAGCTCAGGGTTTGAGTGTCGACCTATGAACCAGAAGGTCACGGTTTGATTCCCAGTCAGGGCACATATCCGAGTGGTGGACTTGATCCCTACTGGGGCATGCAGGAGTCAGCTGATTGATGATGTTCCAGTCTCATTGATGCTTCTCTCTATCCCTCTCCCTTCCTATCTCTCTAAAAATAAATAAAACATATATTTAGAGAGAGAGAGAGAGAGGGAGCCAACTGATACAGCTGGCTCCCTCTACTTCCCTACAGGGTGCTTTTGTAGAGGCTGGAAAGAAAAAATACTACATTTCCAAGACTCCTTTGTAGCTAGAGTTATGACTATAACCCAAGGTCTGACAATTAGGTGCCCCAGCAGAGATTTGGGGGGTAGAGACCATCTTCCTGCCGTCACTTCTGCTGACAGCAAGGACACAAAGATGTGAGGCTCTAGAGCCAGTTTCAGCAGCCAGACTCAGTATTCCTGTGTCAGCCAGATGTTGAGACAGAGCTATGTGGAGCTGGGGGTGGCAGCAGTGTCCTCCTCACTTCTGACCATGTTTTACTGCGATAGCAGCCTCCAGACTCTGCTGCTCTAGCCTCCTCTCAATTTTGCAACCAACTAACTTCCTATATTAAATTCCTTCCTGTGAAAAAACTATGTCAAGTGTTGGTGAAGAAGAAGAGTGAACTATAGCACCTTGAACCATCAATATACTGCTGGTAGGAGTGTAAAGTGGTACAAACACTTTGCAGAAATGTTTGAAAGCTTCTAATATAAAGCTAAACATGCCCTATCCTATCCTATTTTCCAGCACTTTTTAAATAAGTGCTAACTCCTCAAAAAGACATATATATGAATGTGCATACAGTTTTATTCCTAATAGCCTGAACCTGGAAAAGCCCAAATAGCTCATTAAAATACAGAATGAATAAACACATTGTGATATATTCATACAATGGACTATGATTCAGCATGAAAGCAAATTCCTGACACTTGCAACAACATACATGGATGTCAAAAACATGTTGAGTGAAAGATGCCAGACACAAAATAGTACATGTTATCTGGTTCCATTTATATTAAATTCAGGGACAGATAAAAGTAAACTGTGGTGATGAAATCAGAATAATGATTGGGGGTGTAGATTAATGAACAAGGATTACAAGGGAACTTTCTGGGGAGATGGAAACAGGCCAGATCTTGATCAAAGCGCTGGTCACACAGGTATTCACTTGGATAAAAATTAATCAAATTGCACATTTAACATTGATGTATTTCATGGAATGTAAATTATGCATCATATTAAAAAAACAAAACAAACAACAACACTCTTGCATGCACAAAATACCTAGCGTGGTTTCTGTTTTCTTCACTGAGCTCCAGATCCTGGGGGAAGGGCCCTAAGACAAGAGACAGCAAAGAGGGGCTGAAAGCAGGCAGGGCACCAGCAGTGTGGTAGGAAGCTGGGGCCATGGGAAAAGTCTGCATTGGAGGAAGCCTGGATTTTGGGGATTCTGATATCTAACTTCAAAGTCATGTCCTGCTCATGCACTCCTTTCCGTTTCCCACCAGCCCCGACTTAAACATCTGTTGCCAAGCAACTTATGCCAGTGGTTCTCAGGAATGAATAGCATGATGGCAGCCCCTGAGTGGCTGATGAGGAGGCCATGCTGACCACAAGGGCTGGACAGCTCTGGAAGAGCTGGATGCAGCAGGGACTGGTACCCATGGGCTGAGATGGTCCAAGCCCCTTCCTTCCTTCTTCTGAGACCACTGAGATAGGGCTCATACCATAGACCCTGTCATGACTTGAGCCATCTCATGTGGCTTGTCAAAGCAAGGAGCACTGAAGCCAGAGGAAAAGAAAATACCAGAAGAAAAGACACCAGAGTATCACTAGCAGTTTCTTCTGGGTGGTGGCATTTTGAGTTCAGATTTTTATTTTCTTCATCCAACATGTCTGTTTTCCCTTATATGAACTATATGAGCATATATTAATTCCCCCCCCCAGCTTTATTGAGTACATATATTTACTAACATCTGTATTAAAACTAACTGATGAAAACACAAAAGTTTAAAGAACAGCAGTTTAGAAACTTACCTGAAATGAGATTGTAAAGGCAGGGGTCATATTTTGTTTTTCAGTTATGAATGGTTCCCTGAAGGGACTCGGACATGAGAACATGTCCCTTTTTCGGGCCCTCTGGCACGCTCTGTGGGCCTGACTTGGTTGTCTGGAGGAAATGTGAGCTGGTTGCTGAGTCATCACATGTGAGCCACATGAGCCACAGCCTTCCTTGGAGCACTGGCCTGCAGACCTGGCCACCTGCCTGGGGATGAGCTTTCCTGGGAAGGGGGGGTTCCAAGGCCCTCATTGGGAGGGCATATAGATCACTCTGGATTTGCCCTTCCAGTAATAAATGGGCAATAATAGGGTGGTATGCAATCAACAGTAAAAGATAATATAGCCAGTTCTATTTGACCCGAACACTTGCCATTTTCTGTTTGTTTTAATAATAGTCATCTTAATGATTGCTATCTGCTATAAACTGAGTGTTTATGTTGGTCTGTCCTCCCTACCCCCAAATTCATATATTGAAATCTAATCCCCAATGTGATGGTATTTGGAGATTTGGAGGTGTGATTTGGGTCTTTGGGATGTGATTAGGTCTTAAGAGTGAAGCCTCCAGGAATGGAATTAGTGCTTCCTCCTCCTCCTCCTCCTCCTCTTCTTCTTCTTCTTCAATTGTTTTTAAGGGTTTTTTTTTTAATGATTTTAGAGAGAGTAAGAGAAAGGAGAGAGATATAGAAATACGAATGATGAGAGGGAATAATTGATCGGCTGCCTCCTGCACACCCTCTACTGGGGATTAAGCCCAAAACCAAACCCAGGCATGTGGCCTGACCAGGAACCAAACCAAGACCTCCTGGTTCATGGGTCAACACTCAACTTCCAATCCGCACTGGCTTGTTCTTCTTTTAAAGAAGAACCCAGAAATCCCCCTTGCTCCTTCTGCTATGTGAGGACACAGTGAGAAGACTATGCCTATGAACCAGGAAGCAGACCTTTACCAGACACTGAATCTTGGACTTCCAGACTCCAGAACTGAGAAATAAATGTTTGCTGTTTAAGCAACCCAATCTTTGATATATTTTGTAATATATATATTTTCTATTGATTTCAGAGAGGAGGAGAGAGAGGGAGAGAGAGAGATAGAAATATCAATGATGAGAGAGAACCATTGATGAGCTGCTTCTTGTATGTCTTCCCCCCACCCCCCACAGGGATCAAGCCTGCAACCCAGGCATGTGCCTTTGACTGGAATCGAACCTGGAACCTTTCAGTCCACAGACAGACACTCTATTCACTGAGCCAAATCGGCTGGGGCTATGATATCCTATATAACAAAAGGCTAAACCCTAACTGGTTTGGCCCAGTGGATAGAGCATCGACCTGCAGACTGCAAGGTCCCAGGTTCGATTCCGGTCAAGGGCATGTACCTTGGTTGTGGGCACATCCCCAGTGGGGAGTGTGCAAGAGGCAGCTGATGGATATTTCTCTCTCATTGATATTTCTAACTAACCTTCTCCCTCTCCCTTCCTTTCTGTAAAACATCAATAAAATATATTTAAAAAAATAAAAATAAAAGGCTAATATGTAAATTGTCCCCTCGGGAGTTCGACCACTCACTATAATGAGCACTGACCACCAGGGGGTGGCACAGAACAAAGGAAGGCCCCGGCTGGTGGTTGGCAGCCAGGGGAAGGAAGGCCCGGATTGGCTCTGATCGCCATCCAGGCCTAGGATCCCTACCCGTGCATGAATTTCCTGTATTGGGCCTCTATCTTTTGTTATAACATCCCAAATGGACTAAATATCTCACAGTGTTTTTGAGGAAGCTGTTTCTTTTGTTTTTTAATGTCCTGTGAGGTCCAGCAAAAAATAGGTAATAATTGCATTTGAAAGCAAGTCACCACACTCCTAATGCTCTGCCTGCACGGATTAGATATGAAGTCACTCGATTTGGGGTCAGTAGCAGGCAGGAATAATTTTGGAACCAATCAACATTCACCCTGTCTTGGCTAAACAAGGCAGAGCTGGCTTTATTACAGTTAGTTCAGTTTAGGTGTGATGTTAACATTTTGTAAATGCTGAATGTTGTAAAGTATACACAAAGTTACAAAGTAAGAGGCTAAAATCTCTGAAAAGTGTTCAGGCATCTTCCTACGGTTCGGTTTGGGAGCACTGCTTTAGAGACAGGCATGTACTCAGGCATTTGCGTGTGATCTTGGCCAACACTTTTAACCCCTCAGGCGTGTGTCTTTTTTAAGTTGCAGTATAAAGTGTAATGACCTTAAGCGTACATATGGACCAGCCCATGAACCTAACATTCACATCAAGATACGCAGAATGTCCTTCCCACCAGACGGCTCCCTTGTACCCCACCCTCAACATCCTCAGAGGTAACTAGCGATTTGATTCTTTTTCACCTGAGGACATGTTTAGAGAGAGGAAGGGAGAGCTAGAGGAAGAAACACTGATGTGAGAGAGAAACACATCCATCTGTAGTCCTCCCCACGTGCCTGCCAGGGAACGGACCAGGCAACTCTCCCCACCCGCCTCGTTCACAGGATGACTATCCACCAACCGAGCCACTCCTGGTGGGCTGATTTCTATTTAATATGTAGATGAGTTTTGCCTATTTCTGAACTTTACCTTGTGACTGGGGACAGAGAGCAAGGCTTGGTTAGCCATAGTGCCCATTCATCCTGTGAGTCAGCCATGTTGTGTGTATCAATAGTTTGTTCTGTTTCACTGTTGCATGCTATTCCATGTGAGCACGCCAGAGTTTCTCTCTCCAGTCTCCTACTGATGGATCTTTGGGTTGTTTCCAAAGTTTGCCTATTGCAAATAAAGCCTCTATGGCCTGGCTGGTGTGGCTCAGTGGTTGAAGTTCAACCTACAAACCAGGAGGTCACAGTTCCAATCCTGGTCAGGACACATACCCGGATTGCGGGCTCCATCCCCAGAGGGGGGCGTACAGGAAGCAGCCGATCCATGATTCTCTCTCATCATTGATGTTTCTACCTCCCTCTCCCTCTCTGAAATCAATGAAAAGATACACTTTTTTTTTTTTAAAGCCACTATGAACATTATCTATTGTGTATGTTTCTAGGTGGATGCAAACTCAGGAGTGGTTGCTGAGTGATAGGGTTGGCTCATATTTATAAACTTGAGTATGAACGGCCAAACACATCCCCAAGTCTTTATATTTCTTTTCAAATCAGAAAGCTCCCCCACACCTTTCTATCTGGTTATTGTGAAAGATGTAATGGACCCTAAGATATGGACTTGAGGCCTGTACCTGGAACACAGTAGGCGCTCAAAAGTGCTGGCTTCTGTCTCAGCAGGTGCCCTCTGCCCCATTAGAGGAGGGACAAGGCGGTTGGCAAGCACTCCGGGAGGTACCCACGGGGACCAAGACACCTTTCCCACACGCAGAGTGCCAGGTGAGCCAACCTTGGCGCTCAAGCCCTGCGCCTGGAACCTGCTCCTCCGGGCCCGGCATGAGCTGTTTCCTGGTTGGGCTCTCGCATCCAAGTAAACTTTGCGAGTCACCGGACACTTAGCTGAGCACTAACTGTGTGCCAGGCCCCGGGCGTCACCCCTTAATTTACTCCGCGGGAAGAGGGGGTGCTTCGCGGAGGAAGCGTGGGAACAGAACTGGCCTCGGACCAGGAGGGGGGCCGCCCACTGGGTTTCCAGCCAGACTCTGGACTTCCCCTGAAAGGTGCTCGAGACGCACAAGGGAAGGAAATGACCTGCTCCTTGGAGCCCCAGCAAGAACCTAGGTCGGTCCGGAGCGCGGGTCCAGCGGATCGAGCCCCCGAACCCAGGCGGAGCGCCCGCTGCAGCCGCCCAGCGGCCCGGGAGCCGGGCGCAGCCCCGCCCCCGCCGCCCCCGCCCGGCCCTGGCCCCGCCTCCCCCCTCCCCGCGGGGACAGTTCCGGTGTGGGTGGCGGCGGCGGCGGATCGCCGGGTGCTGGCTCCCCCAGGTAAGATCCTCTGGGATCAGCTCGCTCGGACGCCTTTCGGAGAGGTTTCCCAGGAGGAGGCACGGCCCGGGTTGGACTCGGCGGCCGCCGGGGCGCACGGGGTCCGGGGCGCGCGGGGTCCGGGGCGCGGGGTCGGGATCGGGCACCGAGCGCGCAGGGCTCGGGGCGGCGGGGGCTCAGCGCGCCGCCGCCAGCACCAGGGGGTCGGGGGGGAGGGGGGAGGGGGGTGGGAGGTGGCGCGGGGCCTGCGGTCAGCTGGGCCGGAAGGAGACGGCCCGGGCCGCTGCGCTCCAGGCGCCCGCAGGCTCAGGGTGACCCCCGGGCGGGGCCTACCGACCTCGGGAGCTAGGGCCCTCCTCCAAGACCTGACTGCTTTCGGTGGTGACAGCTACTCAGAAGAGCAGGCCTTCCCGCCCCCCTTGGAACTTGGGTCCGGCTCAGGAATCTGGGGATCGGAGCCGAGGCCGGGCGGCTCACCCCTCCTCCGCGCGAGGGGATGTTTCTGCAGCGACTCAGAGCCCGGGGGCAGGAGGGCCGGACACTCCCTTCGCAGCGTGGGGCTGCAGCACTCCGCCGCCCGTCTTCTCTGAGGCCGGAAAGACGTACCAGGAAAACAAACAAACAAACAAAAAACTCACAAGACAAAACACCCCCAAAACAACCTTCTCCATGTAGATGCAGTGGAGCCTCAAAAACATCTGGAAGGAGAGTCAGCGGCCTGAGAACCTAAATGTTGCATCCTCCCCGGCACACCTCACCTAGCGCCCTGCGCCCTTTTCTTCCCCTCCTTCCTCTCCCCCCCCCCACCCCCCCACCACACCCACACACACACACACTCCGGCTGTGACCTTGGTCCCTCCCTGAAATTGAAGCCGGGGACTGTGAGTCTCGCTGCGGGGCCTCTAATCCTGCAAGGTGCATGGTGAACTGCAGTGAGGCAGTCAGTCCTAGATTCACATCTGCCAGGGCCACGGGTCAAATGGGCAATTTGACATCACTTCTTATCTGGCATTGTGACCAAGATTAAATGAAAGCAATTTAGGATATGCCTGCCTGTAGGGGGCCCTCAATAAATGTGAACAAATATGGACTTTGTTTCTTTAAAAAAAAATTTGCTTAATATTTTTATTTGGAATATTTAGGAATGAACTCAGAGCCATGATTAAGATCTCAAATGTTTTGTTAGAAGTTCTTTAAAAAAATATTTTTCTTTACTTATTCTTTTCTTTATGACTTACCCTTTATATTTAGGACTTATTTATTTGGAGTTTTCTGTTACCCATTGTGTAAAATTAGGATCTAATATTATTTTCTCACAGAGAGCTAGTTTTATGAATAATGTCTTCTAAACAATTTAATCACTATTTAGTGACACTTTTATCACGAATGTCTGATTCTTGTACAGTTCTCTTATTTGTACTATTCTCTATTAATATATTTTATTAATTTTTTTTACAGAGAGGAAGGGAGAGGGATAGAGTGTTAGAAACATCCACGAGAGAGAAACATCAATCAACTGCCTCCTGCACACCCCCTAGTGGGGATGTGCCTGCAACCAAGGCACATGCCCTTGACTGGAATCAAACCTGGGACCCTTGAGTCCACAGGCTGATGCTCTATCCACTGAGCCAACCAATTAGGGCCTTATCTGTACTATTCAGCTCCTGCCTCTGAGGGGAACCTCTGGTAATCACCATACTGTTGTCTGTGTCTGTGAGGGGCTTTTTTTTTTTTTTTTTTTTTTTTTTTTAAGATATTTTATTGATTTTTTACAGAGAGGAAGGGAGATGGAGAGAGAGTTAGAAACATCGATGAGAGAGAAACATCAGTCAGCTGCCTTCTGCACACTCCCCACTGGGGATGTGCCTGCAACCAAGGCACATGCCCTTGACCAAAATCGAACCCGGGACCCCTGAGTCCTCAGGCTGACACTCTATCCACTGAGCCAAACCAGCCAGGGCTGTGAGGTGCTTTTTATTTTTTCCAATGTCTTTGGTTTCTGTTCTTGCTTCAATATTAGTCTTTTTTTAAATATATATATATTTTTATTGATTTCAGAGAGGAAGGGAAAGGGAGATAGTAACATGAATGATGAGAATCATTGATTGGCTGCCTCCTGCATGCCCGCTACTGGGGATTGAGCCCACAACTTCTGCACGTGCCCTTGACCGGAATCCAACCCAGGACCCTTTAGTTCGCAGGCTCTACAGCACTGTCTCCTAGTGGTCTCACTCAAGCCTGGCCTTCTCCCCGGCCCCTTCCCTCCCTGAAAACCCATCTGGACATCCAATAGGATCTCAAGCTTCACTTGTTCAAAAGGGAACTCGGGAAACCCCTGGCACTGCTCCTATCCCTAAATTCCCTGGTTGGCTTAATGCACCATCCATCCACTCAGCGCCCAAGAAGTCATCCTTGATTCTTCTCTCTCTCTCACCTCCCAAGTCCACAACACACCAGGAATCCAGCCATCTCCATGGTTACCATCCTAGCCATACCATCCTCCGTTCGTCCCCTGCGATGGTCTCCTGACTTGTCTCCATGCTTCCATTTGGCCTCTCCACAGTCCAAGGTCCTCACCATCGCCAGAGAGGTCTTAAACATAAAACAAGTCCTCTCCCTTCCCTGCTCAGAACCCTCCAATGGCTCTCTGTTCCACTCTAAATAAAACCCAACATTTTCCCTATAACGCTATATAAAAGCGGCCCTCCTTGACCTTGATCTCTGCCCCTCCCCTAGCTTTCTAAACCTGGACCACCTGGACCTGCTTTCTCTCCTTCAGACATGCCAAGCTCGTTCCCACTTTAGGACTTCTCACTTGCTGTGCCCTCGGCCAGAAACACCACTCTCACAGCCAGGAAAGGGGAGCTCAGCTCAAGTGTGGCTAATGCAGAAAGGCTTCTCAGACCATCCCAGTCCAAGCAGCATACCCTTCCGCATCGGCTCTGTCTCAGTACCCTGCTTTATTTTCTTTGTAACCTTTATTACCACCCGGGATTCTTACTTATATGTACGCTAACTGATTTGTTATCTATCCCACAAAATAAAATATAAATTGGATGATGGTAGAGAAATGCATTTCCCTGCATTTCTCCCCAGGGGGAAGGCAAATAAGAAATGAACGAGTGCATCTACAATTGCAAATTGTGTTAAGTGCTATAGAAGGGACTGGCAGTCATTGCTTGTATTTGAGACCCTTGTACATTTCAAGCTTGTAAGGCAGAACTGCTGTATTATCAGAACAAACTCTCTGAGCCATTTTAGGGGTGAGGACAGGTCTGGAAAAGGCTGGTAACTTGCCGCAGGTCAACAGTGAGTTCAGGGAAGCGGAACTCAGCCTCCTGCTCATAGAACATGTATGGAGCAAGCTGAAAGTGGTAGGCCTGCAGTCATGTTCTGGAAAGAACCTCATCTTTTGCTCTTCCACTAACTAGCAAGCCCCCTTCTTTTCTTAGTACTTAATTTTCTTTACCTTTCAAGTAGAATGGGTCCTGTTATGATCGTGTTGGGCTGCTGCTTCATTTTTCCTCAGTGTGCTTCACAGTAGCAGCACGGTCTAGTCGGAGCCCTCCTGCTGTTGGCAGCTAGGGGCACATGCAGACTGGGGACAATGGCGAGGAGCCAGACCCTTCCCAACACTGACCAGCTTGCAGGGCAGAGATGGGCCCTCTATCTTCTGGATCTGATGTTTGTGGTCATCAATCTGTTTTTAAGCAAATTCCTTGAGGGCCTCTGAGACTCAGGTACAGTAACTGTAAAATAGGATGGTTGGAGAGAAAAGGCCAGAATTCCAGAGCTGAGAAAGAATTGCCTTTTGTCCAGTCCCACTTCCACTCCCGCTGTCATGTGTGGTCTGTTTTCTTCCAGTCGTTTCCCCTCTCTCTCAGCCCCATTGAGTTAGAGCCCTCGTCTGCAGAGCTGGAGAGGGATGACGTTTGCCGAGGAGAAGACTTTCGAGTACATCCGCCGCAATTACCGCAAGTTTCACCATATTCCTGTTCTGGAGATTCTGCCTTACTTGTCTTGCCTCACAACCAGTGACCAGGTGAGCCGGGCCATGGCAGCAGTCCGGCTGGGGGCAGGGCTGCGGAATTCAGAGCCAACTCCCCAGCCAACTCCTTCCTTCCTTGTTGTCTAACCCACTTCCTGTCCTTGCCTCTCTTCTAACTTTCAGAATGAAGTGCGGTTCAGGGTGGCCTTTCCGCCTTCCCTGGGCTCCCTCTGGTGTTGTTTTGGTGCAGTGCCCAACAATATGGCTGTGGCTGCCTCAAATTTCTGGGTTCTGGGCCTCTTTCTTTCTTTCTTTCTTTCTTTCTTTCTTTCTTTCTTTCTTTCTTTCTTTCTTTCTTTCTTTCTTTCTCTCTCTCTCTCTCTCTCTCTCTCTCTCTCTCTCTCTCTCTCTCTCTCTTTCTTTCTTTTCCTTCTTTCCTTTCTTTCTTCTTTCTTTCTTTCTTTCTTTCTTTCTTTCTTTCTTTCTCTTTTCCTTCTTTCTTTCCTTCTTTCTTCTTTCTTTCTTTCTGATAGACACATACTTATTTAAAAAAAAAATATATATATATATATATATTATTGACTTCACAGAGGGAGAGGGAGAAGGATAGAAACATCATCAATGAGAGAGAATCATGAATTGGCCATCTCCTCACGCCTCTTAGTGGGGATCAAGCCTGCAACCCAGGCATGTGCTCTTGACCAGAATCCAATCCGGGATCCTTTGATCCGAAGGCCTATCTACTGAGCTAAACCTGGCCAGGGCCCCACACAAACTTTTATCAGAACCATTTTTCCTTTTCTTTTTCTTTTTTTAAAAGCTATTTTTATTGCCTGGCTGGCATGGCTCAGTGGTTGAGCATCAGCCTATGAACCAGGAGGTCACAGGTTTGATTCAAGTCAGGGCACATGCCCGGGTTGAGGGTTCAATCCCCAGTGTGGAGCATGCTGGAGGCAGACTATGAATGATTCTATCTCATCATTGATCTTTCTATCTCTCCCTCTCCCTTCCTCTCTGAAATCAATAATATATATATATATATATATATATATATACATACATATATATATATATATGTATATATATATATATATATATATATATATATATATATATTTTTTTTTTTTTTTTTTTTAAAGATATTTGTATTGCCGAAACCAGTTTGGCTCAGTGGATAGAGCGTCAGCCTGCGGACTAAAAGGTCCAGGGTTCGATTCTGGTCAAGGGCATGTACCTTGGTTGCGGGCACATCCCCAGTAGGGAGTGTGCAAGAGGTGGCTGATCAATGTTTCTCTCTCATCAATGTTTCTAACTCTCTATCCCTCTCTCTTCCTCTCTGTAAAAAAATCAATAAAATATATATTTTTAAAAAAAGATATTTGTATTGATTTCAGGGACAAAGGGGGGAGGGAGAGGGAGAATCATTGATTGGCTGCCTCCTCTACGCTTCCTACTGGGGATTGAGCCCACAACCAAAGGCATGTGCTCTGACCTGAAATTGAACCATGACCTCCTGGTTCATAGGTCAATGCTCAAACCACTGAGCAACAACTGTGAGTTTTTGTTTCTGCTATCTGGTTGCTTATTTTTATGTGGAAATTCAGGTGGGTTTAAAGCTCTGAAGCTGCTGCTTCATCTCAGAATCTCCCCAGTTCCTCCTCTTCCCTAGTCTGTATTATTGGCCTCTTCTCTTTTCTGTTATGCCTTTCTTCATCTGCGGTTTCCTACACACCTCTCTCTCCTTTGCTAATCTAAACCCTTTTGCCGTGGAGGCTGTATAAACAAACCCCAGGCTTTGGCTTCGGACTCACTGGGTTCAGATCCTGCCTCGCTGCTGAAGTATCTTCGCTGCCTTACTCTGCAAAGCCTCAGCTTCCCCGTCAGCAGAGTAGTCATAATTGCATTAAACAAGATAATTCATGCCGAAACCGGTTTGGCTTAGTGGACAGAGCGTCAGCCTGCAAACTGAAGGGTCCTGGGTTCGATTCCGATCAAGGGCATGTACCTTGGTTGCGGGCACATCCCCAGTAAGGGGGTGTGCAGGAGGCAGCTGATTGATGTTTCTCTCTCATTGATGTTTCTAGCTCTCTATTGATCTCCCTTCCTCTCTGTAAAAAATCAATAATATATATATATATATTTATTTATTTATTTATTTACTTATTTACTTATTTATTTATTTTTTAAGATAATTTATGCAAAGCCCTGAGCTATAGAACCCAGGACACAGTACGAGCCTCTCCTGATAGCTTGAACTCAAACCCTAACTTTGCCCTGGGCTCTGACCCCGTGTCAGATGGCTGCCTCCCTCTTGCGGTTGGGGGCCCTCCCTGCAGCTGTCCCCTCCAGAGTGGGAAAAGGGCCAGGGCCGCCTGGCTTGAGCAGAGCCACGGGCTGTGTCTTCCAGGACCTCCTGCGGGCCCACCTGGATCTCAATGGGAACCGGAACACCATTTGGGATCTCTTCAACAGCCTCCAGCGGCGCAGTGGCTGGGTGGAGTCCCTCATCTGGGCGCTGAGGGCCTGCGAGCTGGCTGCTCTCGCTGACGAAGTGGACCGCGTCTATCAGAGCAACCTGCCCAGTAAGCCCTGCTGCACTGGGAGCCCCTGTGTGTTCCCCTGCCCTCCACTCTCCCTGTCCCCTCACTCCTGGGCCTCCCCTTCCTCTGTCGCCCTCCCTCCCAGCACTCCGGGGCAGTCGACAAACCTGGGTTTAGATCCCAGCTTAGCTACTTAGCTGTGTCCCTTTGGCCAGGTCTCTAATTTCTCGGAACCTCAGTCTTCTCCCCTGTAAAACAGGGCTCATGGCAACATGTACCTCCTGGGCCTGTGGTGGACACCCTGGGATGTCAGCATGTGGGGTGCTTAGGGGGCTGAGCACCGCCCTGTGCTCAGCAGATGGAGCCTCCTCTCATTTTTGTGGCTGTCATGTTTGCTCCTACCCCTGTGCTCACTTTCTCCCGTCTCCTCTTCCTCAGTTCACCTTCTCTCTCTCCACTCTTCTGTCTTTCCCTCCCTTTACTGTCTCCTTTTTCTCCATCATGGGTTTCTTCTTTCCCCCATTTCTTCCCTTCCCTTAGTCTTTTAGGTTACCCACCCAGACACCCACTCAGTACCCCCTGTCAGGCCAAATGCCCTTAGTGTGTTTTGTGAAGTCAGGGTCTGAGGGACTGAAACAGGAAGAAAAGGCAAGCCAGCTCAATTTATAGTTCAGCCTGCTGAGGCTGAACTATAAATTTATAGTTCATTCCTGAAGCCCTGCCTAGATTGATAGCCTTACAGTATCATGCTGTTTGTCTTCTCTCATTTTTCTCTACCTTCTGTCCCTCCCTTCCTTCCACACATGTCTTTTTATTGGTGGAGATTAACAGTGATCCCCTGTGCACAAACCGCTGTGGTGGGGCCAGGGGTAGGTGATTGGGGGAAAGGGGAGGGGTGGAGGAGGAGGCAGCATCAGGTAGAGGGCTCGATGGTGGTGACAGCCACCCACCGGGGGAGAAAGCCACTGAGTCCCAGAATGCCTGGGGACAGTGAAGCTGTGACTGCGACCCAGTCTGGGTGATGTGAGGCCAGAGAGCACCCCACATTCTAACCTTCCGTCTTGCCCCACCTTCCTCTTCTCGTCCTCCCCAACCCCTGCCTCCCTCCCACTTCTGCCTTTCACTCAGTGAAGCGTGTCTCCTCTGAGGAGTGCCAGCCATATCAGGGCAGCTTCTGGAGCTGTGGAGGCTCTACAGCCGTGGCCCTGGGGGTCCAAGAGCCCCTCTCCTGCCACTGCTTAGGTGCTTAGGAACACCTCCGATCCCCCCTTGACATCACTGTCTGTCCTCCAGTGAGCCAGAGACGCCCCCCGGCCCCACCGGAGCCGCCGTCAGTTCCTGCTGAGACACCAGGGCCCCCCACACCCGCTGTGGCTCCCAGTGCCTCTCACAACAGCTACAGAGAAGAGCCAAGTTACCCCATGCCTGTCCAGGACACCCAGTCGCCAGTGTCCCCGGGAGAGGTATGTTCTCACGATCTGCCTTCTGCCCCTGCTTGTGTGTTGCCATCTGCCTACTTCTGCTCACCCAGCCTTCCAGAAGCCCTCTCCTACACCCCATAATCGTGCCTAATCTCTGCTCAGAACCCCAGGGCTCCCCTAGTAGGGATCTGCTCCAGACCAGCTCCCAGACTGTTGGCCAAGGCTTCATTCTATGGCAGCCCAATCCTCTCATCAACCAGTTGTACGGTCACCGTTTGAGGTCTTTGCAATGGTGCATGTGAGGTGTTGAGAGACTAAGGGTTGACCAGATGAGGGGGCGTAAGGTAGTAGGAGGTGATGGGGTGCATGGTGTAGCTGTAATTATTGCCAATGAAGTGAAGTTTGGGGGAAAGATGACTGATTCTATTGGGATAGGATGAATGGGCAGTGGGTGTTCTGGAGACACCAATCCGTGGATTTGAAGCCCAAGACAAGGGTCGGTGCAATGGCTTTCCAGAGGGAGGACCTTTCTACAAGAGCGGAGGGATAGGTAGGGACTCCCCAAGGGATAGTGTGTGTGGGTTCAAAGTCACCTGTTGACAGAGGGTCTGGCTGTAACCGAAGCCAAAGCAGCGGCTCCCTTGTTTCCTGTGGCCGTGGCGTGGGCTGGCCTCGAGGAACTTCTCCCAAGCTCCTGGGAGGAGCAGCTGCCTAATTCACATTTTTCCTCCTGCAGAATTCAAAGAAGTTCCCACCGACAGCCAGCTCTGGGGCTGACCTGAGGAGACCCACTGGCCCCCAGGAGCCCTCCTCTGACATGGCGTCCCTCAGCCCTCTGACATCCAGTGGGCCTCAGGAGCAGGAAGTAGAACTGGGCAGTACCCACGTAACAGGTATGTATAGAATCTGGAGTAGAGGGCCTCTCTGATCTCTAAGTGTGGGTGAGCATTAGAGCTGTTCCTCGGGCTTTCTTAGACAAGAGGCAAGGGTGGGGATAAAGGGAGTTCACCCCCGGGGAGAAACCCAGTTCCTTAGAGGGTGTATTGGTTAGCATTAGCTGTATAACAAAGTCCCCCAAAATTTAATAGCTTAAAATCTGACCATTTATTTAGTTCATGCTTCTGTGGGTCAGCAATTTGGGCTGATACAACTGGTTCAGATCTTGGCTGAACTCTCTCTTGGGTACACATTAGCGTACACATAAGCTCTGCTTGTAGCTGTTGTCTGGGGCACCTTGGTTCTCTTCCATGAGTCTCTTACCCTCCAACAAAAAGCTCGTTTAATGGCAGTTGAGCAGAGTTCTGAGAAAGAGAGGGCTCTTGTAGCATAGGTTCAGAATTGGCCTGGTATTCCTTATGCCTCATTGTATGGGCAAAGAAAGTCATAAGGCCAGCCCAGAGTCAAGGAGTAGGGGACATTACGTTTTTAGGTGATAGGACTGACAAAGTCACATTTCAGAGGGCATGGATACAGGTAGGAGAAGAGAATTGGGGCTATTTCTGCACTCTGCCAAAGGGACTGTATAGGGACCTGCCAGAACCCGGAGGACAGTGCAGAAGGGAGAGTGCAGGGCTAGGGCTGCTGTTGACAGGGGAGCACTTAGGCACTGCCCTGCCCTAAAATGGTCTCAAGCCCCCAGAAAATCATTAAAATTTCTCAGCCCCCAGAGGAAGTATGGCCTTCATCGCCAAAGGCCCAAATCCTCACACTAGACCTCAGTATTCCCCCTTAGGTAGGTAGAGCTGCCCACTGTGACTGTCCAGGCTGGCATCTCTCTGCACCACTATTTCCCAAGCTGTGTTCTACATGACACTGTTGCCTGGCTAGCCCTTGGTGCCCCTGGGACAGCCGTGAGGCACATGAACAGTTAAAGGCTCAGAGAAGCCATCTTAGTGGCCCTAGACTTCTGTCACCTCATACCCTGCCCCAGGCACCCATTTGCATTTTGCAGTGTCAGCCAGCCAGAGGCAACGGGCACTTAGATTTCATTCGTGTGTGGACAGGTTCCACGAGGTTCTGAGGTGTTATATTTGGGGTGGTGGGCACATCAGAAGCACTCCTGGCCTTTTTCAGCTGTAGGGTGTGGGGTGTGCATTCTCAGAGTTCCATAGAAAATCCTGACAAAACTGCCCTATGGATGATCACCAGCTGTTCCCTCTGCTTCCCCCAGGGCAGGCCCTCCTCCAGGGATGGTTTTGTGCCTGCGATCCCTCCTCTCCCCCCCCCCCCCCACCTCCCCTCCCTCCCACACACCTAAGCCCTTAGGCCTCCTAGGAGATTTGCACACACTGGGGGTTTGCTGGGCCTCTGGAACCACACGACTGGTATGAGCTCTTCTGCTTGAGCCACCCTGCTGCCCTGGTCTGGGATTGTCCTGCTGGGGTGGGGCAGGGAGAAAATATGGCGATGGGAGGAACATCTAGGGTTCCACCAGACTAGGGAGGAGATGGAAAAGGCAGACACTGGAGGAAAGGGTGTGTGAACCAGACCGGAGAAGAAGAAGCAGAGCAGATAATTAATGATATTCAAGCCCCTAGAGCACGTGTGTCAAACACAAGGCCCGCAGGCCAAATCCGTCCTGCCAGGCCTTGCAATGTGGCCCGCACCGCGCTGTCATCACTGCACTCCGCTGCGTTTCCATCATAATGACAGTTTATGACTGTTCAGTAAACCATTCGGCCCGCAATTTAGGCTGGATTTTAGATTTTGGCCCCTTCTCTGATTGAGTTCGACACCCCTACCCTAGAGGCTGTTGGAGAGATGGACCATTTCATTTTTGTGAGAGAACAGACTCAGTGCTATAGGTCAAGGACTGAGGATAGACAGGACCAAGATGTGCCTGTAGCTGTTGGGCCTTCAGGCCTAGGAGCAGTGACCAAAGGGACTGGGTAAGAAGTTGGGAAGCCTTGATGCCAGAGAGATGGTGTGAGCTGGGGCAGAGGGACCCTTTTCCAGCTCTCTGATCCCAGCCCTCCCGTGGGTTTGTGTTTCTTCTTTTGTTTTATCACCTGCAGACAATGTCTCCAGCATGACATCATCCCATGGGCCTGTCTCTCCAACTGCCTCCTTCCAGCCCCTGGCCCGTTCTACCCCCCGGGCAAGCCGCTTGCCTGGACCTGCAGTGTCACCTCCGTCTACTGGCACCTTCTCCTCCTCTGCAAGGGGTGCTGAATCGACTGCCTGCTCCAGTGGAGTAGCGGTACCCACCAACTCTGTGACCACCAGCACAGCACCTTCCAAGGTGCCCCGCCACTCAGCACTTACCAGCACAGTGCCTTCCAAGTTGCCCACCAGCTCGAAGACCCCTGGTATAATGTCCTCTAATGTGCCCACCAGCCTAGCACCTTCCAAGTTGCCTGTCAGCTCAACACCTGCTGGCGCAGTGTCACCCAAGGTACCTACTGGCGTGGTGCCTGACCACAGGATGCCCACGAGCCCGGTGTCCAGCAAGGTGCCTGCCACCACAGCACCCACCGTCAGGAGTAGCAGCAGCATACCCTCGGAGGTGAGTCCTCACCCCTCCAAGCAGTGATCCAGGCCCCTTCCATAGTCCTGTTCTTGGACCCTCGCCAGTCTCCATTCTGGTCCAGAGCCTCTTTTTGAGGGCATAGGGTCAGCTGAGAAGGAGCCCCATTCAGACCCCACACCATGTCCTTTAGAGCAGTGGTCACCAACCACTGGGGGTCCGTGAGGTCTGAAAGGTTGGTGACCGCTGGTTTAAGGAAACCTTTGGAGCAGTGGTCGCCAGCTGGTGGTCCACGGCTGCTGCTTTAGGGTGATAACCATCATGAGAGCTCTTCAGGGTGGATACCTAGGAGAGTCAGTCATGGTGGGCCACCCCCACTGGTCACATGCGCTCATCCCTTTAGATCTTCCAGCTCCCCGGTAAGCTTAGTAACTCAGTTTTGCAGAAGAGGAAGCAGTGAGAGAGAGCGGAATGGCCTGTCTGCCTCAACACTTTGCTCTGCCCCTCCATGACCAGGGTTTTACAGACAGCAGCCCCATCCCACTTAGCCTGGGCAGCTACTCTGACCCAGAAGCCCCCCGCAGCTGCCTCTTCCAGCCCCCTATCACCCTCCTGCTGCTCTCTGCCCAGAGGAGCCAAGCCCATGCGGCTGGCCGCTCCATGGTCCTCAGGCCCAGGCCAAACGTTGGTTCAGGATGGGGCTGTCCACACCAAGAGCTCCCGGGGGTGGGGTTGAATTCACAGACAAGCCAGTGAGGAGGGACAGGGCTGCTCTGGAAGAAGTTGCCACTGATGCTGCTGCAGGGCCTGGGTCTCCTCCCCTACTGCTTTCCTAAACTATCGGTGGGTTGACTCTCTAAGGGTGACCTCATGTGTACTATGGGCTGGGAATTACAAGGTTGAGGTGCTAGTTCACACCCTGGCCTAGGAATGGGGCTGTCCAACCTGGCTTGCGATCCCCAGTTCGTTCCATATTCTCTCTCTCTCTCTCTCTCTCTCTCTCTCTCTCTCTCTCTCTCTCTAACTAGCAGATGCCAGTGTCTCCAGCACCCACAAGTGCCACTGCTAGAAGCAGCTCACCTTATGCAGACAGCAGTTCCAACAGCTGGGTCTCAGGGCCAGAGCTGAGCAAGCCAGGCGGGCTGTCTTCCCGGATGGAAAGCCAGCCGTTCTCCGGCTGCTCCGCGGATCTCGCCATCAGCAACAACACGGAGCCAGGACCTGACAACGCCCCGGAGGAGAACGAGTACACGTCAGCGGACATCGTTAGGGTCATCCATGTCGCTGAGGGTCCCAGTGCTGACCTCCTGGCAGGCAATCCCGGGCTTCACAATGCCACCCAGCTCACGGAAGAGAAGGAATTGCCTTGTGATGGGTCGGCTCAGAGGGCTCCGTGGCTGGGGATGGCTGCTGTCGGGGTGCTCCTGGCCACAGTCCTAGGTGTTGTGCTGTACCGGCGGCGCCTACACCAATGAAGCCCTCTGCCCTTCCCACCATGCATCTGCTCTGTTCTCATTTATATATCTTCCTGAGCATGCAGCCAGTCCCCCTCTCCTTGTCCCTTCCTTGGGTCTGGTATCGCTGAGTGCATCCTGGGAGGCAGCTTCCTTACCATCCTTGGCTTTCTGGGCTCTGGGCGGTCCTGTGCCCCCCAGACCTGCTGCCCAGCAATCTGGGTTGTCACCCTTGTCCTCTGGAGGAGGTCCCTCCATCCAGGCCTTATTTATGTTTGCCATGGATCAGGAGGCACTGCTGAAGAGTGCAAAAGGTTAGCCAACCCTAACCCCCTCCTGCCCTGGTCCCTGGCAGCTGACGGGTATCCAGGGAGGGGGACCCACAGGACCTCACTCTGGAGGCCATTGCCCTTGAGAGCAATGAGAGAATGCTGGAGCTGTGTTTTATCCCGTCCCTGGCGTTCTCTGCCCATGCCAGGCAAGGGTGGGGAGGAACTGGAGGACCCTATAGACCCTCGGGAAAGCCCCTTTCCAGTCTTCTCACCCCCTTCTCCGCCTCCCCTTCCTCCTGGTCCCCATCCCCATGCAGGTTGGGGAGGGGCCCTTTGGGGCAGGCTCAGGCCGAAGTTTGAATTTCAGCTTCACCCCTTCCTGGGCTGTGTGGCTTGGGCAAATAGATGATCAAACTGCTGTGGTCTTGCTCTCCCTCATGGACTGTGAGTATCATGGCTCATCCTTCACTGTGTTCTAATGAGACTGAAGCATGCAGGTGTGTGTCAAGTGCCTGGCCCAGAGCAGGTGGCCACTAATTGCTTCTCCCACCGCTCCCCTGCCCACTCTGATAGAGATGAGGGCATGCGAGGCAGAGTGCCCAGAACGTAAGAGTAGCCTAGACCTTGAATCCACTCTGCCTCTCACTCACTCTGTGCTCTTGGGCAAGGTGTTAACTTCTGTGCCTGTTTTATTAGCTGTGAAAGAGGGATGAATAGTAAAAAATAAATAACTAAGTATATATACATATATACATTTCTCCTACTGTTGTTGTGAGGATTAAATAGAATAGTTCCTGGCATTTACTAAGGGTGGGAAACATGTCATCATTCAAATGGGAGGGGCTGGAGCACCTGGCTACAACTTTAGAGGCTGACTCAGACCCTACTGCCTCATTCCCACCCTATTTAAAAAATTTTTTTTAATTGATTTCAGAGAGGAAAGGGAGAGGGAGAGAGAGAGAGAAATATCAATGATGAGAGAGAATCATTGATCAGCTACTTCCTTCAATGACCCCTACTGGGGATTGAGCCTGAAACCCAGGCATATACTCTGACCAGGAATCAAGCCGTGACCTCTTGACTCCATAGGTCAACACTCAACCGCTGAGCACCACCAGGCCCCTCTTGGTTTGTTGGTCTCTGTGGGTGGCATCCAGTTCAGAGTGCAAATAGTACTGGATCGCTGTCTTAGGAGGAGGGGACCAAAGTGTCTTCCTTCATTGGGTGCATATATTCTTTCTGATTGGTGTTTTGGGTTTCTTAGCATATATTCCTAGAAGTGAGATTACTGGGTCAAATGGCAGTTCCATATTTAATTTAAAAAATATTTTTATTGATTTCAGAGAGGAAGGGAAAGGAAGAGAGAGAGATAAGATAGAAACATCAATGATGAGAAAGAATCACTGATTGGCTGCCTCCTATGTGCCCCTCATTAGGGATTGAGTCTACAACCTGGCATATGCCCTTGACCAGAATCAAACCCGGGACCCTTCATTCCCTAGGCTGACGCTTTATCCACTGAGCCAAACCGGCTGGAGTCCATATTTATTTTTTTGAGGAAACTCCATACTGTTTTCCATAATGGCTGCACCAGTCTGCATTCCCACCAGTGGTGTACTAGGTTCCCTTTTCTCCACATCCTCACCACTTGTCATTTGTTGCTTTGTAGATAGTAGCCATTCTGACAGGTGTCATTTTAATTTGCATCTCTCTGATGATCAGTGACTTTGAGGATTTTTTCATATGTCTCTTGAACATCTGTATGTCCACTTTGGAGATATATCTATTTAGGTCCTTTGCCCACTTTTTAATTGGATTGTTTGACTTCCTGTGCAAGGATGTTTCTATGTTCATGATAGCTTTAAACTGCCATCAATTCAAATGTCTATTCACAGTAGAATGAACATGTAAATTGTGGTAAAGTCACACAATAGAATGCTAGTATACAGCCATGAGTATGAATGAACATAGGATGCACAACCATATGGACAAATCTCACAGACCTGACATTGAACAAAAGAAGTAAATATATACAAACATATGCTTACTGTATGATTCTATTCATATAAAAAAACATAGAAATAAGGAAAACTGATCAATGGCATTGAAAGTCAGAATGGTCACCTTTGGGAGGTATAGTGTCACTGACCCCTGCCAGTCAGGGGTCCCAAATTGTGGTTGCTCTATACTGTGTCTCATCAATCACATGAGACAGTATCTGGTAAGGCAAGACAGAAACTATTCCTTAGCCAAGGAATAGAGAAGGATATTGAATGCTCTAGTGATTTATTATCCCTAATTCTAGGGAATTAGGAAAGTAATAAAGAGTCTGGGCCCTAACCAGTTTGGCTCAGTGGATAGATAGAGTGTCAGCCTGTGGACTGAAGGGTCCCAGATATGATTCCGGTCAAGGGCATATGTACCTTGGTTGCAGGAACATCCCCAGTAGGGGGTGTGCAGGAGGCAGCTGACCAGTGTTTCTCTCTCATTGTTTCTAACTATCCCTCTCTCTTCCTCTCTGTAAAAAAAATCAATAAAAATATATTAAACCAATAGAGATTAAATATATATATTTATATTAAAATTAAATATATATTTATATTAAAAATTATATATATATATATATATATATATATATATAGAGAGAGAGAGAGAGAGAGAGAGAAAGAGAGAGAGAGAGAGAGAGAGAGAGAGAGAGAGAGTGTGTGTCTGGGGAGAGATAGGTGGGTTCAAGGGCAGGATTTTTGAGGAAGGGTGGAGGGTTCTCAATTTCCAAGGGAGTATATGCAGTCCTCAAACAGCTTGGAACATGTCTAGCCATATATTGCATGTCTCATTTTAATGTTAAATCTTCACCTCTGAGTGTGAATTTTAGTATGCTAATTAAGAAAATTTCATCAAAAGGTAGCTTGGAAGGGGTTTCAAGTGCTATCTTGGATTTTGAGGGCATAAACTGTTTTTTTTTGTTGGTGGTCCTTGAGTTCTTTTTGTTGTTGTTGTTGTTGTTATTGTTAAGCCTCCCCCAAGGATATTTTCCCATTGGTTTTTAGAGAGAATGGGAGGAGGAGAGACAGAGAGAAACATTGATGTGAGATAGACACATTGATTGGTTGCCTCCGGCACATGCAATCAAGCCTGCAACCAAGATATATGCCCTGGATCAAAATCGAACCCAGGACCCTTCAGTCCAAGACCTACACTTTATCCACTGAGCCAAACTGGATAGGGTGGTTCTTGGGTTCTTTATCTGATTCCTGCTGGCAGGCTTAGCTAGCCCTGGAATTCCCACCTTCCCTTGAGTGCAGCCTGCTTTTGTCAGGGGATGAGTTGGAGAGAATACAAGAAAGTAGAAGTTTAAAGATTAACTATTGATGTGGTTGCACAACCCAGTGACGATAGAACTGGATTTGAGAGTTGGTTTCACACATACATTCACTTTGTGTTCAGACTCCCTGTTGGAGATATGGAAATAAACTGAGATCAGCCAAATGGAACCAACAGAAGCTATTTATTCAGATAGTCAGCTACCATCAAGTGCAGTTAGCAGGGAGGGACTCAAAAGGCAGGAAGTGAAAAAGCTTTCTGGTGAGGAAAGAGAGGGAGGCTCTGACATGCTGAGATTGGAGGTGTTTGCCTAGGACAGTGGTCAGCAAACTCATTAGTCAACAGAGCCAAATATCAACAGTACAACGATTGGAATTTCTTTTGAGAGCCGAAAAACCAACTTCTGCTCACCGGCCATGAAGTTTCAATCACACTGTACATGCACGCCTGCACGTGATATTTTGTGGAAGAGCCACACACAAGGGGCCAAAGAGCCGCATGTGGCTTGCGAGCCTCAGTCTGCCGACCACTGGCCTACGACACTGAAGGGCCTGAGACTAGAAGAGGGGCATTTCTGTGGTTGGTTGGGGAGCATGTTTGGCTTTCTCTGGTTGGTCCTGAGTTGGAAGAGAGGAAGGGGAGTTGCTGGGATTGGGGAGAGGCCGGCAGACATTAACCATGAAGTCCTGACCATCCTGATCGTTCTGGGCCCATTACTACAGAGGTTGTGGTTTGGCTTTCCAGGTTGGTTACTGTGAAAGTTTCAGTCAGAGGTCTTTGTTGCATACGGTCTGGCCACTGACCACTTGATCTCGGCAAGATGATGAGGTCTTGGTTTTTGTCTTCTTGAAGGAAAGATTTCAATCAAGAGACAAAGTATAGCAAGGTAAATAAGAATTTATTGGCCACAGCAAAAACATACTTAGGACAGTAAAACAAGAAAGGATATAGAAGAAGTAACAGGAGAGCCTAGGCTGGGCTGCTTAGGCTCCCTGAGAAGTCAGAGAAAAGGGGACCGTTGAGATAGGTTCAGGGGATTAGCATGTCACTGCTTATTGCTCCCCTGGTTGCAAGTGGACCGTAGAGGGAAGAAGAGGGAAAGGGAGTAGCATGGGCTGCTCCCCTGCCGTTACCTCTCTTTTGCACGTGGAAATCTTAGGGTAGGTCTCAATAGAATGTTCGTCAGTTTTCCAGGGTGCTTTTTCAGGGCTGTGGTCTCCACTGATTGGTCGGCACCAGCAGGGGTCATTAGTCGATGCAGCTGGTCTTGAGGCAGCCACTGTTTCACTTGTCTGATTTTGTTGCTTTTCTGGGCCTGGAGTTGGAATATAACGTGGAACCCGATGTTATCTTTAGGGAGGAAAAGATCAGGGGTCCAAACCACATGACCAGTGAGATGCTAAGGGAGGGGAGGTTAACCTGGGGGCGAGGTACTTGCTTTCCCAGTTTTGCTCCTTGCCAGGCATCCAGGGCTTTCTGCCCTGGAGAGTTTCTGTACCTGGCCCATCGTCCTTGCTCTGCTCATGTCTAAGAGCCTATAACACATTGTGTATTCAGTCTCTCTGAGGGAAGAGCGTGAGCCCTGAGAAGGGCCTCTACTGCTTAAATAGGAGGGGCTGGGCACATACACACTGCCTCCAGCCCTAGGTCTCTTTAGTGGTGCCGCCGTGAGGCCAATGGCTAGAGTGTTCTGCTCCAAGTCATTGCTTAGCTACTACACCTCTAAGGTTCCTTTTTCCTCTAAGGCTTGGCTGCAAGCCCAGCTCCTATTGGAAGATTAGACCCCTTTCATTTATCAGCTTTCCTAGATTGCCATGGCTCACCCCGAACCCTGCAGTGTAAGTCCCCATCTCTTTGCCTGCGTTTTAAAAACCTATTGAACACTGTGGACAAAAAAGTGGCCTCATACTAAAACTGGAGAAGCTCAGAGGAGGCCTGCATGGAGTCTTACCAACTCAGAGACAGAAAGTAACCACACAGATGGTCTGAAATGAAAGCTTTCTAACTAAAATCCAGTTATGGCGTGTAGTCATGTCCTAGGCCCGGATGGTCCTTTACAGGGGTCAATCTTTACCTTTACTGGGCCTGTCTGTTGTCTTCTTTATTTATGAAAACACTAGAGGCCCGATGCACGAAATTCATGCAAAAGCAGGCCTTTCTTCCCCTCGTTGCTGGCACTGGCTTCTGGCACCGGGCCCGGGCTTCCCTAGAAGCCCCAGTTTCATCGGGAAGGACACCCGGTCTAATTAGCATATTATGCTTTTATTATTATAGGTACCTTTGGAATGTCAGGGTAATTTGCTTTTTCCAGACCCCTCAGGGCACAATCACTAAACCAGAAGACCACAGATCCCTTCACTTTTATTGTTAGTGTGTTAATCATGATAAATATCCTATACTCACCAATGTAGGGAGGCTTTGCCTTCTCCCACCTCCCCAACCTGTCACCAATGGATTTCATGTAGCCCCCTGATCTGCTTCTCAGCTTCTCTTTTGATTCTGAGGTTTAAATTAAGTGGCAGAACTGCCATTTCCCGGAACATTTTCTCAATTCCTTGATATTTTTGTTACCAGTTTGGCTCAAATAAACTCATAAAAATTTTCTACAGGTTTGAACATTTCTTATATGGACAGTACCTTCCTTCTACTTAATGCAGTTTCTGTGAAAAACAAACAAACAAAAAAACCCAATAGCAACAAACAAAAAATAAACCCCCTCCCGAAACCCACACCTTTTTTTTTTTTTTTTCTAATCCTCACTGGAGGATATTTTTTCCCATTTATTGTTTAGAGAGAGTAGGAGGAAGGGAGGGGGAGAGAGAGAAGGAGAGAGAGGGAAGGAGAAACATTGATGTGAGAGACACATCAATTATTTAGTTTCAGTTGGTTGCTTCTCACATGGGGCCGGGGATCAAAACTGCACCCAGGTAGGTGCCCTTCGGCTGGAATAGCACCCTTGGGTTGGAGGGCTTGTGCTCTAATCACTGAGAAAAACCAGCCAGGGTCACACCTTTTTATTAAAGTAAAATATACGTACTGAATAGGTACAGATAAGGCAGGGGTGGCAAAAAGAGTAGAAGTGGGGAGAGGAAACGGGAGGGAATGGGAAAGGTGAAGTAGGTGAGGAAGCTCTGGTTTCTGGTTCTGGGTCCAACTCCTGGCATCCTTTACCTTCTTGAACCCATAAACCGTGAGGCTGGACCAGGTGATGTCAAATCCTCCCTCTTGCAAAGCCCTTGAGTGCCCTTGGCACAGATGGACGCTGCAGTGTTTCCTCCTCCTCTTGTGCCTCCTCCCCCACCTGGTGCTATTGCCTTGCCATCTGAATGGCTGATTTCCCAGCAATCAGTGCTGTCTTCTATTTAATCAGTTCTTTTGTATGTAACATAAGAAGAAAGAAAACCCCTTTTATTATAACAAACAGCTGGAAATCAGCTTCTTGCTGGAGGCCTAGCCAAAGGAATTTGGAAAGAGAGAAACTGGTAATTGCTAAAAGAATTACTCTTTTTTTCTATTTGCTATCAGGATATCCTTAGAATTGTGAGTCTAGTGATACTCTTTTGCAGGAAACAGAGGGCAGAATTCAAGGATATAAGCTAGACTTCTCTGGATATACCTTGTCTTATTGACTGGAACCATGTTACTATTTTATCTATACTAATAAAAGGGTAATGTGCTAATTAGACTGGGTTGAGGGGACACCTGACTTCCTTCTGGACAAAGCCATGGTGGCGGAGGACGGAGGCAGAGGTGGTTATGGGCTATCAGGCCGGCAGGGGAGCAAGCAGTTGGGGGTGATCAGGCCGACAGGGGAGGACAATTGGGGGTGATCAGGCAGGCAGATAGAGGCACTTAGGGGTGATCAGGTAGGCAGGCAGGCAGGCAGGCAGGCAGGCAAGCAGTTAGGAGCCAGCAGTCCTGGATTGTGAGAGGGATGTCTGACTGCTGGTTTAGGCCTGATCCCTGCAGACATCCCCTGAAGGGTCCTAGATTGGAGCGGTTGCAGGCCTGGCTGAGGGACACCCCCACCTTGTATGAATTTCATGCACCAGGATTCTAGTATAAATTAAGTAAACATATTTCTTTAAAAATTGAATCAAAATGGTTTAGGCAGATGGCTGATTGCTCAAGCCTTGAATGTGAGATTCTTCTTAGTGGTTCAGGATACTTCAGGCCTCCCCCTGATTCCCACATGGGGGCCTCTTCTCAGGTGACAGCTAGCAGACCAGCCAACATACATTCCACAACCCCCTCCCCGATGACCACAGCAAAACATACCCAGTTCCTTCTCCAGATTTCTCAACCATGTGATACATTCCTCCTCCTATGGTGAGGAAGTTTCCTTACTTTGTACCACACAGGCAGCTGCCTCCTTTGGCACCGGCAGCATCAGCCCCACTGCCTTATGATAGCTGTGCACAAAACAGGAACTCAGTGGCTCTTTAGGTTTGTCAGGTTGATTTGTTAGCTTTCCAGAACCTTAGCTGCCCTAACTTTTGCAGTGTTTGGGAGAGTTAGGCCACTGTGCATACCTTATCCTTCAGTATTGCTAGGTGTTTTGGATTTTTATTTTTATTGATTTTAGAGAGGGAGGAAGGCAGAGAAAAACATCAATTGCCGGAAGCCAATTCCAGCATGTCAGCAGGGCTGAATCATTTGGGAACAGCTAAAAAGCATCTCCCCCAAACCTGAATAGGATAATCATTTGCTGCCAGACAGCTCAAGGCATCATACATCTGCATGTTATTGCCTCCTGTTGGCCAAATACCTGAACAGCTGTAGGCTATTCCCCAACCTAACAATGTTTCTGTAAACCCTACCTTTTGAAACCTTACCCTTTGAAGTGAATGTCTCCATATTGCCTTAGGTCAAATTTGTGTTAATAAACAGCACAGGGTCCTGAGTCAAGGGTAAGTCTTTAGCTTCTTTAGCTGACACTCCTCTGACCCCCAATGCCTTTCCAAACTATCTTTCGTCTTTGAACTCCTTCTTAATGTATACACAGCTCCTTTCTCCAGATTGCAGAACCCTTTGTAATGCTGGAACAAGAACTCCGGCAATCAATGTGAGAAATACAACAACAGTTGCCAACGTATTTACTATAACCCAACCTGGATAAAACTGCAACCTAGGTATGTGCCCTGACCAGGAATTAAAGAATCAAGTTACCCAGGGCAATAGCAATGGTAGTACTATTAACAGAACTAAGGAAAGAGGAACTGTTTAAAGGCAAAGAGGACAAACCTGTTTTCAGAAACTGGTGATCTTTCAGTGCATGGAACAATGCTCCAACCAAGCCACATCAGCCAAGATCCATGTCTTTTTTTTTTTTTTTTTTTTTTTTTTTTTTTTTTACAAATTATTGGATTTGTTCAGAGTTTATAGTTCAGGTCTCACTTATTTAGCTTTTTTTAATTATTGATTTTAGAGAGAGAAAGAAGGGGAGAGAAACATTGATTTGTTCCATTTATTTATGCATTCATTGGTTGATTCTTATATGTGCCTTGACTGGGATGGAACCTACAACTTTGGCATATCAGGATGATACTTTAACCAGCTGAACTACCAAACCAGGGCCATATGAACTTTATAATTTCAAATTTAAGATATTTCAGACAGGGACAATTTGACTTTTCTTTGATTCAGACACTCAATCAAAAGTATTCATTAAAGCCCTAGCTCAGTGGTTGGCAAACTCATTAGTCAACAGAGCTGCATGTGGCTCACGAGCTGCATTTTGCCAACCACTGCCCTAGCTGGTTTGGCTCAGTGGAAAGAGTGTTGGCCTGAGGACCAAAAGGGGCAAATACCTCTGTTGCAGGATCCTCCCCAGCCTGGATCCTGGTCAAGGCACAAGGCACGTGCTGGAGGTGACCAATCAATGTATCTCTCTCACATTGATATTTCTCCCTGTCTTTCCATTCTCTCTAAGAAATCAATGGAAAAATATCCTTGGGTGAGGATTAAAATAAGTAAATAAATACATTCATTAAGAACACTGTGGGAGGCCTTCTGGGCACAGTGACAAATCATGATACAGGGTCCTTGACTCATGGAATTGCAGTCTAGAGGAGAGATGGGCAAATGAGAGGGAAGAATCAAATTACCCAGGGCAATAGCAACGGTGATACTATTAACAGAACTAAGGAAAGAGGAACTGTTTAAAGGAAAAGAGGACAAACCGGTTTTCAGAAAGCAGATGCTTTTACAAAATGTTTATTTAGGAGTGAAATATTAGCTATCAAGCTTTCAAAATTGAAAGAATTATATCTTCATTGCTGTTAATATAACAGAGATGCAAGTAATTTTTATACACAGATGAATTTTCTGCAGTATCTGAGGAACAAATTCTATGAAAAAAGGGTTCATGGTCAGTTACATTTGGAAGATAACTACATATCTGTTTCTTCTTGAAGATTCAACATGGCCTTCAGCATATTAAAAGCTTTAAGAAATTGCTCTAACCCTAGCTGGTTTTGGCTTAGTGCAGTGGTCAGCAAACTCATTAGTCAACAGAGCCAAATATCAACAGTACAATGATTGAAATTTCTTTTGAGAGACAAATTTTTATTTTTATTTTTAAAATATATATTTTATTGATTTTTTACAGAGAGCCAAATTTTTTTAAACTTAAACTTCTTCTAACACAATTTCTTCAAAATAGACTCGCCTAGGCTGTGGTATTTTGTGGAAAAGCCACACTCAAGGAGCCAAAGAGCCACATGTGGCTTGTGAGCCGAAGTTTGTGGACCACAGGCTTAGTGGATAGAGCATTGGCCTGCTTCCTAAAGGGTCCCAGGTTTGCTGGCTCAATCCCCAGTAGGAGGTGTGCAGGAGGCATCCAATCAATGATTCTCATCATTGATGTTTCTCCCTTCCTCTCTGAAATCAATAAAAATATACTAAAAAAAAAATTGCTCGAAACTTTATCTCTTATTTCCCAAGCTTATTTGAGCAGACATTGCTTTTCTAACAATTATTAAAGTGCAAAACTATTAGTGGTTACCTAGTAATAGTATTCAAGTCAGGGATATTCAGTCAAAGATAGGCTTTGTTCTTGAAAACTAAGAAAATTTCAGTCCTTTCAATACTTGGGAAGGAATAGCATTTTCCATATCTAGGAAACTCTGAGGTCTAAACTTGTTATTTCATCTTGAATTTTCTTTCTTTATTCTTCTGAGACAAGTTGAACTTATTTGGGAAAGCGGGCAATAGTACTTTTATATTGCTTGTGAGCTCTGGTGAGGTCATCAGAAAGCCACATGCTAGTTACATACACACACACACACACCTCATTATCTCTATCCTTCATTTTTTTTTTTTTTAATGTTGGATATTTGGTTCTTTTTTTTTTTTAATATTGATATCTTACAGAGAGGAAGAGAGAGAAGAGAGAGAGAGAGCTAGAAAGGTTGATGAGAGAGAAACATCGACCAGCTGCCTCCTGCACACCCCCCACCGGGGATGTGCCCGCAACCAATGTACATGCCCCCAACCAGAATTGAATGCCCCTTCAGTCCACAGACCGAAGTTCCACCACTGAGCCAAACCGGATTCGGCTCTATCCTTCTTCATTTTCATGGTCAGGGCACAGGCCTGGGTTTCAGGCTTGATCCAGCATGTGAAGAGGCAGCTGATCAATGTTTCTCATTGATGCTTCTATCTCTCTCTCCCTTCCTCTCTCTAAAAATCAATGAAAACATATAAAAAAGATAAACTACTATAATACCCACAGAAAAGGAAACCTCTTGATTGCTAATTTCATTTAGAGGCTTTGATAAAACAAACACACACAACCTAAGCTTAGTCATGGATTTACTTTGCTCCAAGGCAAATCTTCAATTTCTCTTGTAAAAAAGTTTTCTTTAAGCATAATACACATACAAGAAAACTTTACACATCAAGTGGACATCTTAATGAAATACTACAGAGCAAACATACCCACGTAACCATCCCCCTACCAAAGAAACTAAACATTACTAACATCTATAAGCCTACTTGCTACCTTCTTATTAGTACTTTCTCCCCTTTCCCCAAGAGCAACCATTATCCTGACTTCTAATATCATTTATTTATTTATTTATTTATTTAAAAATATATTTTATTGATTCTTACAGAGAGGAATTGAGAGGGATAGAGAGTTAGAAACATCGATGAGAGAGATACATCGACCAGCTGCCTCTTGCACACCCCCCACTAGGGATGCCCCCTCAACCAAGGTACGTGTCCTTGACTGGAATCGAACCCGGAACCTTTCAGTCCGCAGGCCAACACTCTATCCACTGAGCCAAACCGGTTTTGGCCTTTTAATTAATTAATTAATTAATTTATTTATTTATTTATTTTAAATTAAAAATATTGTCGAAACCGGTTTGGCTCAATGGATAGAGCGTCGGCTTGGGGACTGAAAGGTCCCAGGTTTGATTCCGGTCAAGGACATGTACCTTGGTTGCGGGCATATCCCCAATAGGGGGTGTGCAAGAGGCAGCTGATCGATGACTCTCTCTCATCGATGTTTCTAACTCTATCTCTCTCCCTTCCTTTCTGTACAAAATCAATAAAATATATTTTTTAAAAAATTAAAAATATTTTATTGATTTTAGAGAAGGAAGAGGAAGAGAGAGATAGAAACATCAATGATGAGAATCATGGATCGGCTGCCTCCTGCACACCCCCCACTGGGGGGACCGAGCCGGAAACTCAGGCATGTGCCTCTGGCCGGAATCCAACCCAGGACCCTTCAGCCCTCAGGCTGACGCTCCATCCACAGAGCCAAACCAGCTAGGGCTATTTTTATTTTTTAAATATATATATTTTTTATTTCAGAGAGGTATAGAAACATTGACGATGAGAATCATTGCAATATCCTTTATGAATGTTAGCCTTCAAATAAATGGAATCACATAGGATACATTCTTTTGTGTCTGGCTTCTTTTGCTCAATTTATTTGCATTGAAAAAAAACTTTTTTTAAAAATGTTTATTTTTTATTGATTTCATAGAGGAAGGGAGAGGGAGAGAGAGAGAAACATCAATGATGAGAATCATTGATTGGGTGCCTCTTGCATGCTCCATACTGGGGACTGAACCCGAAACCTGGGCTTCCTGAGGAACTGGAATTTCTAGTTAGGAAACTGGGGTTCCAGTTATTCTACTCAACCCACAAGAGAAAAGCTCATCTTTCTTGTTCAGTCTGCTACTAGCAGTCATTATGGGAAAATAAGAACTATCAACCAAGAGCCATTAAAATCTCCTAGGGGAGGTACTTATGAAATAAGTAGAGGCCCATTGCATGAAGATTCATGCAATAGGCCTTCCTTCCCCTGACTGCCGGCACTGGTTTCCCTCTGGCACCCAGGACCCAGGTCTTCACTCCAGCCCCAGCGAGGCTTGGCTTCTCTGCTCCCACCACAGTGTAAGCCAAGCCTCTTCAGTCTTTGCTCCATACCTGTGTAAGCAAATTAATCTACCATATTTTGGGTTAATTTGCATACTCCCTCCTGACTGGCTGGAGGGTATATGGAGGTATAGTCAATTTGCATGTATCTTTTATTAGTGTAGATTAGCAAGTAAGATAAACCCACAGTCCTGTTAAACTTGACAGAGTGAGGGAATGCCTTGAAAGTGGGGGCAAGAGGGGGCAGGATCATAACAGGCTTGTGTAACCTCTGCGAGGAGGAGCACTTGGAAGGGCCTTTGGTAGATGTGAGAGGTTGGGATCTCCATACTGGAGGAGACCATGTTCTGGCCCCCAAGAGAGAAGGCAATAAGATGTTAACACCCCCCCCCCCCCCCCCCAAGGCGGCTCCCAAATCTTTCTATGTGACCTAGTGCACTAACCAGAATGGGGGACCAGACTCTCCTTAAAAAGGACAACCATACTTCCCGGTTCCCACATTCTCTCCACTACAGGAGAATGGCGAAGGATTGATAGCCCACCTCGTCCTCCCAGTTGTCATAGAAACCAACCCCATCCCATCCTTCCTTCTGGTCCCGGGAACATTCCTCCATCGCAGGCGGAATGAATGAAGGGGGTTTAGCTCAAACAAGCCAGTGGCGGTGCTGGGGGTGAGGGTGGGTGCTGGGGGTGAGGGTGGTAGGGAAAAACAGCGCAGAGGGGCTGGGGTCCCACACGGCCGCGGAGGAACCTGGCGAGGGACAAAGGCTCCAGTCAGCCGCAGTTCCAGCCCTTCCGTCTGCCCACAGACGCCGCGGGGCACTGCCTGGCGTGGAAGCGCGCGGCGGCATCCCGGGAGAGTTCTGGGTTCCCGGGGCGCCCACCTCTCCACCCGGGGTGGGGGTGGGGGCACTCCACCCACGCGTCCATAGGGCGCCGCCGCCATCACACTCCCCTGTCAGCCACACCGCCTTTTCCTCCTCCGCCGATCCCGGACCCCCACCCCCGGCCCCCTGCGCCGCCCCCGCCCTGAGAGCCTCTCATTGGACGAACGTGCAGTCAATCCGTCTCGAGTCAGGGAGCCGATTGGACACGAGGCCTTCGGGCTTCCCCCAGCCTGCTGGGATTGGCTTGCTGCGCGTTGTCGCAACGGAAGAGGCGGCCGGCCGAGGGTGCGCCTCTGCTCTGGCTGGACTCGCCGAGGAGGCCACCGGGGTCCGGCGCTGAGGGGCTGGCGTGGGCGGCAGCAGCGGCTGCTGCGGATGGGAACGGGCCGGCTGCGTGCGTCCATGGAGCGCCCCGGCAGGGCCGCCGCTCCCTCCGCCCCGTCCACCGGGGAACCGGCGCCCGAGGAGCCAGATGGGCGGGGGCAGGAGCCGCTGCGGCGCCGGGCGAACAGCACGTCGGTCTCCGCGGCCGGGACCTCGGCGGAGGGAGCGAGGCGGGACCGACCCAGCTCGTACAGCAGCGCCGCTGCGGCTTCCCGCCAGCGCCTGGAGAGCCTGAGGAAGAAGCGGCCGCGTAAGTGCCCGGCGGCGGGGCGCCCTCGCGGCTCGCCCTGCCCCCTCCCGGCTCGCGGGCCGCCGTTTTTTCCCGCGCGGCGGCGCGGGGATGGGGCCCCCGCACGGTGGTCCCAGATGGGTGCGTGGGCAGAGGGCGGGTGGGAGGCCTTGGGGGCCTTTGCAAACCGGGGCTTCGGAGTTCGGTCCTCGGGCGCGGTACTTGCTTGTCGGATGGAGGGCGCGTTCCCAGACCCTTCCTTCCTCCCTTCCTCCCTCTTAGCTCCTTGGGCATTCTCCGACCGAGAGGCGGATGATTTTATCTTGGAGAAGGCTTCTTTGGACTCATTTCCCCTGCCGCCCCTCCCCCCAAACCTTTTGGATCCCCAATGTCTGTGTGCTGTGGATTTTCAAAGAGCTGCTCTCCAAGACGTTAAATCTTTTTTTTTTTTTTTTCTGGAAATTTCGCGCTTTAATGGAAAATGCTTAATTGACCCTTGAGTTGCTGCAAGGCTAAACCTGGATTCCGTGTAATAAGGTTTGGCTGTGTATCTCTCGCGGCCCCCCCCCCCCCCCCCCCCGTGAGAATTCGGGTCATCTTTCACCCAGGTATCTCCTCTCTATTCTTTACATCTGTTTGCCGATATTCACAGTTCAGGGTTGAAGCATTCTGAGCATTAAGGCTTTTTTGCTTTTTGTTTTTTTGTTTTGAGGGATTCTAATCTTCCTAAGCTCGCCTTTGGGAGTTACACACGCTCCTCCCACAGAATCGTTTTCTCCCGTTTTATTATTCATTGCTTTTCCCTGTGTTCAGATCCAGCCCAAATATTTTCTCCGCATTATTCGTCTTCAATTCAGGCCGTCTGTCTAGCACCACGGTTGCAGTTGAAAGTATCCACTGTCCTGATACTCTTAATACGAGCATTACAATATAGTAGCATTTTACCTATGCTTAGACCTTTATCTTACTGTTGTAGCCAAATTCCTATTTCAGGACATCAGCTTGTTTCAAATGCAGATTATGACAGTGAAAGTGGCAGGATGAGTGAGGCTTTTATTGGGTGGTCTTGTACCTTGGTCCAACCACCCAGTTGCTTTACTTTCAATTTAATATGATTTGGATGATTAAATGTAGCCTTAATTTGCTATGAAGAGTTTGGGGGAGTTTTCAGTTATTTTGTCTTTTCCTATCCTCTAGATTTGGAACACATCTGCTTTCAACCTATTGCCATTTTTTGAGTGAATTTACCTGGAGTAAATCTATTTACCGTTTTTAGAGTCAATTTATTTTAGAGTCAATTTGTGTTTTGAGGAACACCTTATTTTTAAGCAGTTTATATAAAACATTCGACTCTTAATGGTTTTGTGTATCATTGGATATGGATGCAAATTCCAGAGATCCAGCAAGTAAGAATCATAGCCATATAGACAGCTGTTTGTGGCCATGGGCCACAAGGATTCTAAGTAAGTATGTTTTGAGTGTTGCATGGGTCAGGCACTCTAAAAACTATTTATTTAAAAAAATATATTTTATTAATTTTTTTACAGAGAGGAAGGAAGAAGGATAGAGAGTTAGAAATAGTCATCGATCAGCTGCCTCTTGCACGCCCCCTACTGGGGATGTGCCCTTGACTGGAATCGAACCCAATCGAACCCGGGACCCTTCAGTCCACGGGCACTCTATCCACTGAGCCAAACGGGTTTTGGCTAAAAACTTTATTTTTTAATTAAAAAAATTTTCAGACACTCTTCTGAGAGTTTTAATAACTCAGTAGCCCTTGCAACTCTGAGGTAGGTGGTAGTATTCCATTTTACAGATGAGAAAACTGGTGTCAAATGGCTAGTGAACAGAAATCTAAACTCAAGTATTTTAGCTCCATAGCATCTTTTCTTGACCTCCATGATCTACAGATTGGTAGCTTTTTCATTACTCTTAAGAGCAAGAATAATCGTGATCTTCTGTGCTCAAGGTTTTCTTACTTGAGGTGAAAATTTCTAGTTATAGCGTACTTCCATTTTTAATTCCCCTGGTCATAAAAAATGACCAGGGGAATTAAAAATGCAGATTCCTTGGGTTCAGTTTTTAAAAAAAAATATATATTTTATTGATTTTTTTACAGAGAGGAAGGGAGAGAGAGAGAGAGCTAGAAACGTCCATGAGAAACTTCCACCAGCTGCCTCTTGCACACCCCCTACCGGGGATGTGCCCGCAACCAACCAACGTACATACCCTTGACCAGAATCGAACTTGGGACCTTTCAGTCCGCAGACCGACGCTCTACCACTGAGCCAAACTGGTTTCGGCCAGTTTTTTTTTTTTTTTTTTGAATCCAAATCTTAGGTTATAAGAAGCTCCTATCATTCAGAAACAGGTCACTCAAAGTCCACTCTGAAAAACAATGTTTTAGTAGACAGTATTGGGAGTGGGGTAGCATTATATAAGGTGGTTTTGAAACTGCTTTTAGGAACTAAGACAAATACTCACGTTGTAGGATTTACTTATTTTCGTCTACCGTTTGGTGCTGTCAGGTATTGTTGAAGTATTGTTCTTCCTCCCATTTGCTCTTTCTGTACTATGCCAGAATGCATCTGTTAGAGGGAGAGGCAGGCAGCATGTCATGTCATACTGCTGAACCCTCTAAGAATATACAGTTGATTCTGGAACAACACGGGCTTGGACTGCATGGGTCCACTTACGTGAGGATTTTTTCCAGAAATACTTGTCAGATGCAGAAGACTGACCTGTGTATTCATTGATCTGTGCCATTTTACACTGGGGTCTTGAGCATGCTCACATTTTCGCAACCGGAGGGGGAGGTCTTAGAACCATTCCCTCTTAGATAATGTACAATAGGACAACTTATGTTTTTGAGGAGTCAAGTTATATGGATTTTTGACTGCATGGGGGTCAGCATCACCCAACCCTCATCCCCCTCTCCCGCATGTTGTTCAAGAGGCAACATTGGCCTGGCTGGTGTGCCTCAGTTGGCCGAGTGTTGTCTTGTGCACCAAAAGGTCACCAGTTTGATTCCCACATTCAGGATGTGGGTTTAATCCCTGGTTGGGGCGCATGTGGGAGGCAACCGGTCGATGTTTCTCACATCAATGTCTTCTGTCTCTCAATCTCTTTCTAAAATTAATAAAAACTTTTTTTTTTTTTTTTTTACAGAAGCAACCATATTTTGGTCTTAACTTTTGAGAAAATATAGTAAAGACTAAATCTGTATTTATTATTGGGAGAGTTGGGTATGAGGGGATGCCACTTTCCTTTTCAAACAAAGCAAACCTTGTCCTGACGTTATTACACTAGTCTAAAGGTAGAATACTACTTGTCATTTGAAATTAGAAGGAGCTATTTAATCTTAGGAGTTCTTGTGGGCTCTGGTTATAGTCATGTTCTGCCACACATGTTCCTAGAGGAGTGTGGTTCCCAAAACTGTGCTCATCCCAGACTGAACACATCACAGTCATTAGGGTGAGGCTAGGCATGTATATGTCTAAGAAGTCCTTTATTTTATTTTTGAATAGTGTGTGTGTGTGTGTGTGTGTGTGTGTGTGTTTTAGAGAGAGAGGAAGGGAGAGGGAGTGAGAAACACTGATGTGAGAGTGAAACATCCATTGACTGCCTCCTGTACGTCCCCTACCTGAGACTGAGCCTGAAACCTGGGCATGTGTCCTGCCTAGGAATTGGACGGGCAACCTTTTGGCACAGGATGATGCCCAACTAACTGAGCCACACTGGCCAGGGCTCTAAGAAGTTCTTCAAAAGTTTTAGATTAGGTGAAGTATGTATTTTAGGATTGAGAGAAATACCAAATAAAGATTACTTTAAAATGTTGGAAACAAAGATGCTAATGATGGTAACACAGTGCTTACTTGTTGATGTTAGAAATTATGCCAAATATTTTATAAACATCTCATTTAGGTCTCACAATTATCCTGTGAGGTAAGTATTTTTTTTTAACCCTTTGCACTCCGCTGTCCCCTCTCAGGGGACATTGCAGTTTACTAGTGATTACGGGGAATTGAGTTAATTCAATGCACGTTTCGCAAAGTAGCGTCGAGTAGCTGGTAGCCAATGTCCAGAATGGTTCGGAGTGCAAAGGTTAAATTTCCAGATAAGGAAGTAGGCTCGGTAAAATTGTCCCTTTGTCCAAGGACATGCAGCGAGTTAGTAAGGGAGGTGTGTTTTGGTCCTGGGTGTTTGAATTCAGACCCAGTATTTTTTTTAAAAATATATTTTATTGATTTTTTATAGAGAGGAAGGGAGAGGGATAGAAAGCTAGAAACATCGTTGAGAGAGAAACATCGACCAGCTGCCTCCTGCACACCCCCTACTGGGGATGTGCTCGCAACCAATGTACATGCCCCTGAACGGAATTGAACCTGGGACCTTTCAGTCCGCAGACCAATGCTCTATCCTTTAAGCCAAACCGGTTTTGGCCAGACCCAGTATTCTTGACTTACCCCATTTTGGAATGTGATTTAATCCAGGGCAGTGGTCTGATATAAAATCACTCGGAAGTTTTAAAAAACTCTCAATATGCATCTTTTAATTTTTTAAATTTTAATGAGGTATGATTACATTACAGTAAAGTGCAATTTTGACAAATGCATATACTCATGTAATAGGAGAACATTTCAATCAAAGGCCCCAGTTATGCAGGAGATGTGAGGACCCTGGGATCAGAGTGTTCCATAGCATTGTGGGTATGAGCTGGTTCTTTCAATGACTCCCAAGCGTGTTGTAGTTGTCCTTTGGACTTAACTGGTTTTGGGCTCATCCCAATTATAGAATGTCCTTAACTTCCATTAGTTTAGAAAATAAGGCTTTTTTTTTTTTTTTTTTTTTTTTTTTTTTTTTTTTGTAGCTTGACAGTTTTAAACTAGAAAATGGATTGCTTTTCCTTGGCTTTGGGAAAGCATCCATGTTGGCAGAATGGAACTTGTGCTGGTTCCTGGGCAGACTGTCCTTTAAACAGATGCAGTGTTCTGTTTTCAGTTGGGGAATTAGGAAGGGCTGCCCAATAGAAGCTAGGGAAAAGGTTAAATATCTGTTGCTTTGTAGCCCGTATTTGAGAGACAAATGGGAGAGAATGCTTTTTGGCTTACTAACTTTAAATGAAATCGAAGTAAATATGAACCTCTTTTAGATATATAACATATACAAAACATTAATTAGGGCCTAAAAATAGTCCCATTATGCAACTGCATAAAAAATGATACCGTTTGTTATTTAAGGGACCTTATGTATGAGTCTTGCATTTAGATAATACAGTTATTCAGTGTTGGCATCCCAGACTTCTGTTTATCTGCGGGAACCATAAGCAAGAAGAGAAGTATGCTAGTAAAAGTAATTGGTTAGGCCTGGCTGGTTTGGCTCAATGATTAGATCATGGGCTCTCGGACTGAAAGGTCTTGGGTTTGATTTTGGTCAAGGACACGTACCTGGGTTGTTGGCTCAATCCCTACCCCATCGAGGCTCCTGCAACCAACTGATGTGTCTGTCTCACACCCATGTTTTTTTCTCTCTCCTCCTCCCTTCCAGTCTCTAAAAATAAGTGGAGAAAATAACCTTGGAAGAAGATTTAACAACAATAAAAAGTACTTAAAAACATTTTGAAAGGAAAGACAATAAACAAGATAGTAGACTGTAGGCTGTTGGAGAGGACCTTATTAAGTAGAAAGAATGACTATCTTGTCATTTAAAAGATCAGCGATGTTCCTTGGGGTTAAGTTTATAACTTAGCATTTTTTAGGTTCATAACTTGGGGAATCTTTATGTCTAGGTACTTTTCTTAGTTTATTTCAGTGAAAATGACTAGGATGTGAAAATCCCCTTTTTAAAATAATGGCGTAAGTTTTGTTGTTTAAAACGGGAAGTCATTGCCTTGGCTGGTGTGGTGTGGCACAGCTGGTTGAGCATCCTCCCCTGTAACAAAAGGTCTCCGGTTAGATTCCTGGTTGGGGCACCTGCCCGGGTTTCTGGCTCAATTCCCAGTTGGTGGCATATAAGAGGCTGCCAATTGATATTTTTCTCTTTCCCTCTCTCACTAAAAAAACAACAAAAAAACCCAACAACAACAACAAAAACATTTAAAAGTGAATGTCATCTTGCAGTTTTTAGTTGTCTATTAGGTTTTGTGTGTTTGTATTTTCTAAATGTAACATTTATTATTGAGCCTGCTGATTTTATAGCACAGTATTTTGTGTGTTTTTTTTCTTCAGTTTTTTAAGGTATTACATGTGTACCATTGTCCCCCACCTTACTCCGATACATGCCCTCACCCCCCAGCGTTTTGCGTCTATTGGTTATACTTATATTCATGCATACAAGTCCTTCAGTTGATCTCTTATCTCCCCCACCCCTCCCTAACCTTCCCGCTATAATTTGACAGTCTGTTTGATGCTTTACTGACTCTGTATCTATCTACTTGTTCAACAGTTTATAATGTTCTTTATAATTCATAAATGAGTGAGATCATGTTGTATTTTTCTTTCATGACTGACTTATTTCACTTGGCATAATGTTCTCCAATTTCATCCAGGTTGCTGCAAATGGTAAGAATTCCTTCTTTTTATGGCAGCATAGTATTCCATTGTGTAGATGTACCATAGTTTTCTGATCCACTCATCTGCAGACAGGCATGTAGGCTGTTTCCAAATCTTAGCTGTTGTAAATTGTGCTGCTATGAACATAGGGGTGCATATATCCTTTCTGATTGGTGTTTCTAGTTTCTTGGGATGTATTCCTAGAGGTCGGATCACTGGATCAAATGAGAGCTCCATTTTTAGTTTTTTGAGGAAACTCCATATTGTTCTCCACAGTGGCTGCACCAGTCTGCATTCCCACCAGCAGTGCACGAGGGTTCCTTTTTCTCTACCTCCTTGCCAGCACTGTTGTTTGTTTGTTGATTTGTCTCCTCAGCCCACCAGGGCACCTGCCTCTGGAGTCCCCCAGTCCCCTCAGCCCCTCCAGCTGCCCTGGGCCAGATAGAGGCTGCCCAGAAGATCCTAAAGGTTTTCATGGAAACCATTAGGGACTGATGGTTTTTTATTGTTTTGTTTTGGTATTATATCTTTGCAGTGCTTTTGATTTCTGTGTTTCCCACCTAATTTTAAGCCACATTTTGTACTGTTTTTCTAGCTAATCCGTTGCTTCAGTTTACATTTTAAACTTACTATTCTAAAGTTGTATATAAACTTATTTGGATAATCTGTTATGTATTCTTTCATCTTTTTGTGGTGTTGATTTCCCTTTTGGTGATTCTAGTTTGTAAAGTGTTATCTCTGTTGTGAGGATTGCTATTTTCCTGTCAGAGGATGCAGTATCTGTTTACCAGTCTGTCAGATTGGACTGTAGGGGAGAGATGGGACATATGGCCAGAATTGGACACCTATTTTTTTCTGGGTAATAGATGCGGTCTTAAATCTTGGGCTCAAGTGCCTGTGCTCATTGCCTCTGTTGGCTGGAAGAAGGGGGAGAAGAGGAGTGGTTCTCAGTAGAGGGAAGTGGCTAGCCTGTCCAGTTGTGCCACATTTCCCCACCAGGTCACTCATGGCTGCACCAGAGCTCCTGTTTTCCCATGACAGTCACCCCATCTATAGCTTGGGTGGAACACCCCATGGTCTCCACACCTTCATAGCTGCTGCCAATTATTATAGCATTCCTCTGTTTTAAAAAAAAATATGTATTTCAATTGATTTTAGAGAGAAGAAAGGGGAGGGATAGAGAGAGAGATAGAAATATCAATATCAATATCAATTGGCTGCTTCCTGCATGTCCTCTGCTGGGGATTGAGATTGCAACCTGGGTATGAGCCCTGCCAGGGAATCGAACCTGGACCTTCTGGTTTATGGGTTGACGTTCATCCACTGAGCCACACAGCATTCCTCTTTTGAGGTTTCTAGGCAGTTATTGCCTTTATCAACATAGTTCTGATAGTATCACTTCTTGTTTCCAGAATTATTTTAGAAAAAAATTTATCAATAAGTCTATACCTTTAATTATGCCTGGGGTTTAAAGTGGGAAGGGAAGTCATGTATTAGGTCTAGTAATAATTAATGTCGTTTTCTAATACTTTTTTAAAATCGAATTTATTTAAACAATACAATAAAATTTAATCAACAATATAGTTGCCGTTGTTTTCTACTACTTGTGCCCAACGCTCAGAAAGCATTTTAATCCCTCTGTTGTAAAATTCTTGTGATTTTGATGCAAAAAATTCGGTCAATGCATTTTTGAGGCATTCTTCATTATTAAATTTTTTTCCAAGAAGAAAGTTTTGCAAAGAACGAAACAAATGGTAATCGGAAGGGGCAATATCAGGAGAATATGCAGGTTGAGGGAGAACTTCCCATTCCAACTGGTGCAGTTTTTCAGCAGTGATTCTTGCAGTATGCGGTTGTGCGTTATCGTGGTGAAGAATTACGCCCTTCCGATTAATCAGCGTGGGTTCTTTTTCTCTTAAAGCTTGGGCTAACCTTTCCAATTGGGCACTATACACTGCACTTGTAATGGTTTGGTTAGATGGTAAAAGTTCATAATGAAGAATTCCTTTAAAATTCCACCAAACACACAACATCACTTTTTTCACATGCAAGTCAGGTTTTGGCGTGGGCTGCGGAGCCTCATTTTTGTCCAACCATTGAGGCCACCTTTTCAAATTAACATACAGTACCCATTCTTCATCTCCAGTAACAATTTGCTCTAAAAACGGCAAACGGTTTTGACGAGAGGAGCGAACTGCAAATTGTGACTCTTTGATTACGGTTGTTGTCAGTCAACTCATGAGGAACCCATTTTCCAAACTTTTGGACTTTGCCAAGTGCACGCAATTGATTGGAAATTGTTTTTTGTGGACAATTTAAAGTTGTCGCAAGCTCTTGTTGGGTAATTTGAGGATTTTGCACCAAAAGAGCTTGAAGAGCTTCTTGATCAAAATTGGACACACGGCCTCGACCACTCTTGTCATCTAATGAAAAATTTCTCAAACCAACGCTGGCATTTTCTGGCGCTAACTGCATCTTGACCAAGAGCACTACAGATATTTTTTGCAGCCTCACTTGCTTTTCTTCCTAATTGGAACTCGTAAAGCATGCAGTGCCGAATATGCTCTTCATCCGCCATCTTTTTAGCCCTAGTTTTGCAACAACAACCAAACCAAACACAAACTTTTTCAAGCAAAACTTGTTAATTGCACTTCACACGTTCTGTAGATACCACGTGTTTGAAGGTTATGTCAATACAAGTCAACACCAAGCAAGATTTTAAATGTTAAAAACGACATTAATTATTACTAGACCCAATATATCTGCAGTCCATCTTGATCTCTGAAGGCCATTGTTTGTGGACAGTTTTTTTTTTTTGTAACATTAATTTTGAAACATCTGTTTCACTGAAGTCCATTGAAACCTCTTACGGACATTAGGTTTTGAAAGAAATTGAACACGGAGCTTATTAGTTGGAGTACTAAACCAGAGCTCTGAAAACTTCTAACATTTCTATTTCTTCTCTAAGACACGGGGAAGGATGAAGATTTTTATTCTCAATCTTTTTAAAATTTTTATTTTTTTATTTTATTGATTTCAGAGAAGAATGGAGAGGGAAATAGAAACATCAGTGATGGGAGAGAATCATTGATCAACAGCCTCCTGCATGCCCCCACCAGGAACTAAGTCTGCAACCTGGGCATGTGTCCCGACCAGGAATTGAATTGTGACCTCCTGCTCCATAGGTTGCCTCTCAACCACTGAGCCACACTGGCCAGGCCCCCCAAAGCCTTTTTGTTTATATATTTCTGGGAAACCTCAGGGTATGAAATAAGTTTCTAATCTAATAAGTATAAATTTAGTTTTTATGAAAAAGTTGTTCTGACTTTTTTTTCTTCCCCATTTAGTTTTTCCATGGTTTGGCTTGGATATTGGTGGAACCCTAGTCAAGCTGGTTTATTTTGAACCCAAAGACATCACTGCTGAAGAAGAGGAGGCGGAAGTGGAAAGTCTTAAAAGCATTCGGAAGTACCTGACCTCCAATGTGGCTTATGGGTCCACGGGCATTCGGGACGTGCACCTGGAGCTGAAGGACCTGACTCTGTGTGGACGCAAAGGCAATCTGCACTTTATACGCTTTCCCACTCATGACATGCCTGCTTTTATTCAAATGGGCAGAGATAAAAACTTCTCAAGTCTCCACACTGTCTTTTGTGCCACTGGAGGTGGAGCGTACAAATTTGAGCAGGATTTTCTCACAGTATGCATTTTTTTAGCTTATATACAATTTATGGGAATCTGATTGTTTAAAATAATACCAGTAGCAAGGGGTGGAATCATTTCCATCTCTAATGGGACGTGAATATTCTTTTCAAATTAAGATTAAATATAAATTAGTGATAGGAGTTAGTAATCTAGAGATTTTGTTGTATAGTTTACTTTTTGCACAATTCAGATGAAATGATGAGAATCAGAACTACTAAAAACATAGCCTTTTTATTTTTTACTATAAAAAATAGTGACACTGATAAGCAGAGTAGGTGATTAAATAGGAGGAACAACATCATTAAATCTTTATCTTTTTTTTTAAGATCTTTTTAATTTTTAGAGAGAGAGGAAGGGAGAAGGAGAGAGAGAAAGAAACATCGGCTGCTTCCTGCACACCCCCTTCTGGGAATTGAGCTCGCAACCTGGCCATGTGCCCTCACCAGGCATTGAACTGGCAACCTTTCAGTGCATGGAATGACACCCAACCAACTGAACCACACCAGCAAGACAAGGTCATTAAATCTTGAACATTGAGCCTTATTGGCGTGGCCCAGTGGTTGAGCATCAACCTATGAACCTGGAGGTTGTAGGCTAGATCCCCAGTAGTGGGTGTGCAGGAGGCAGCTGACCTCCCTCCCTCCCAACCTCCCTCACTCCCTCGGAAATCAGTAAAAATAAAAAAGTAAAAACTTGAATACTGAGATTGAAAAATAATTTAAAAAAAATAATGTCATAAAATGGTTTGCAATCTCTTTTTCCTCTACTTTTCTTGTCCCCTTAATTGTTTCTTGGTAAGTTTACTTCAAAAAGCAAAAAACCCAGGAATTTACAAAAAAGAACAAAAAAAGCAAAAAGCCAAGGAACTCTGTTTCAAAGTGGTGATTTTCAGGTCTCAAAACTGGTTGGAGATGGTTTACGGCATAGCCTTCTCTTTCTCCACATATGCCTTCTGCTGTGGTCTGTGCAGCACACTTGTTAACAGGAATCTCTGGACACTAGGGGAGTGGCATTGGGCACCTGATTTTGTTTTCATTCAGTGAACACTTATGTGCAAAACCTTGGGGCTAGGTCCTTTGAAAGTGGATGTGGTTGTAGGTAAGAGATTTGATAACTGAACTGACCAAGACTCTGATCAAAATATCTTCAGTGACCATGTTTTTAATGCCACCAATGAGAATATTCTAGAGATTCTGCCTTTATTTATGTCAGTGTACATTTCTTTTTCCCCTCTGTGTGTCACTGTATGATTTATGACCTTGTTTTCTTTCTTTGTCCTCTCTCTTCTGACTTTCTCCCATAACTGATCATATCATATAGAATTGAATTTAAAAAATGAATTTTTGAACAGGGTTTTATATTCTTTGTTTGAATTTCCCTTGGTTGTTGGTTTTTAGTGGTTTCTTTTTAACCTGTGAGTAGGGGAAAGTAGCAGGAGGAGAGAAGGTTCTCCTTTGTGGAAGGATGATAATGGATGGGTAAAGGAGGAAACATCTATTTCAGGACCCTGCAGCGATGCTCTTTGTAACATATTTGAAAACCGTTCAGGCTATTAACCAGAGATTCAGTTGTATGGTAACTCCAAGGAGAATGTGCAAAGTAGATTTTATTGTTTGTTAATCCTCACCTGAGTATATTTTTTCCATTGTTTTTTATTTTTTTTAAATATATATTTTATTGATTTTGTACAGAGAGGAAGGGAGAGAGAGAGAGAGAGAGAGAGCTAGAAACATCGATGAGAGAGTGTCATCGATCAGCTGCCTCTTGCACACCCCCTACTGGGGATCTGCCCGCAACCAAGGTACATGCCCTTGACCGGAATCGAACCCGGGACCCTTCAGTCCCCAAGCCGACGCTCTATCCATTGAGCCAAACCAGTCCCGGCATTTTTTCCATTGTTTTTTAAAGAGAGTGGAAGGAGGGAAGGGAGAAAGAGAGAGAAACCTTAATGTGAAAGACACACATCAATTGGTTGCCTCCCACATGTGTCCCAACCAAGGCTGGGGATAGAACCTGTAATCCAGGAAAGTGCCCTTAATGGGGAAATGAACCTGTGACCCTTTAGTTCATGGGCTGATGCTCTAAAATAGGGGTGTCGAACTCAATCAGAGAAGGGGCCAAAATCTAAAATCCAGCCTAAATTGCGGGCCGAATGGTTTACTGAACAGTCATAAACTGTCATTGTGATGGAAACGCAGCGGAGTGCAGTGATGACAGCGCGGTGCGGGCCACATTGCAAGGCCTGGCGGGACGGATTTGGCCCGCGGGCCTTGTGTTTGACACATGTGCTCTAAAACCACTGAGCAATATTGGCCAGGGCAAGTAGATTTTAGATGTTAGGAATTTCTTAAGCTGTTGTGGTTTCTCATTTGTATGTACTAGCACTGTCCTTGAGAAGTATGAAAATGAAATGCTTACAATATTCTTTTGTACATTAGACCCGACTAATCCTAATATATAAAAACACTGGGTCCATCACGACTGGAGGCTCGACCAACCGGAAGTCAGTCCTGCAGTCAGTGCTGGGTCGCCACGGCAACCCAGCACTGACTGCTGAGGGGACTGTGAATCAGGCTTGGAGAGAGGCCTGAAGAGAGAACCAGGGTCTGATCTCTAGCCTCTGTGGCAGCTGTTGATCAGCACTTAACTCTCTCTTTCTCTCTGGGCCTGCCAGCAGCCACAACTGTCTAGGAGAAAGCTGTACACTCACAGCTTTTACTCTGATGCCAGACAATTCACTTTCCCCCTATGTCTCTCATGCCTTTTAAGCTGCTGCCCTCATACTGGAGCTTAGAGGAGTGAGTCCAAGGAAGTCCCATGCATGGACCTTTTAGGAGGAACTGCCTGGGACTCTGGCAGCCCTCTACTTCCCTCATCCTCAATCCCCGCTGGTTTTTACAGCCTGAAGCTATGGGGACTTACCTTCCTTGTACTAAAACTTAGGGCTGGAGAAATGGTGTGGGACTGGGATCCCTTGCTCCTTGGGGGCTAGGGGAGGAGATAGAGGCTCTGCAGTGGAGATGGCTGTCCCAGTTTTTATCTGTTACACATGGGTGCATGACCAGCCAGTTCTCTCTGGCTTCTTTATTCCCTAGTTGTATGACTTCCATTCTGTCTGATTTCAGGTAGTTCTGAATGATGGTTGCTCTGTAGTTTAGTTGTAATTTTGATAAGCTTGTGGGAGGAGATGAGTACTGCATTTACCTACACCACTATCTTGACAGGTTGTCAAAGCTTAATCTGGAGTAGTTTTAAAATATTGAATTTACCCTTTAAAAAAAAAGTGAGTCAGATTTCCTCACATTGAGTTTGCATGTTGGTGCAAATCTTACATTTAGTAACTTTAGTTAATGAAATGACTTATACATTGTTATCTATTTATCAATTAGGCTGGGATTCATTAGGAATAATACCACAGTGGGATACTTCAGGATTCTAATAGGTCACCAGTGTAAAATGACAGTGCAAGCCCAGTTGGTATGGCTTAGTTTGCTGAATGTCTTCCCATGCGCCAGGAGATCACTAATTTGATTTCCAGGCAGGGCATATGCCTGGGATTCAGGCTTGATCCCCAGTAGGGATTGTGCATGAAGCAGTGGATGGATGTTTCTCTCTCTCTCTCCCTCTCCTTTCATCTGTCTGAAATCAATAAAAACAGTTAAAAAAAAAAAAAAAAAAAAAAAAAAAAAAGGACTTACCTAAGAAATAAAGATGCTAGAGCTTGAGATTCAATTGTTAGGAAGTCGATATTTAAATTTGTCTTGACAGGAAGGTCTTGAGCAGATGAAATAAAGATAGTGATGAACAATTCAAGGCCCTGGGTTTGGTTAGAGGAGTACCTTAATACATATTTTTTCCTTTTAATCTTCACCTGGGTATATGCTTACTGATTGTATTTACTTTTTAAAAATGTGTCTTTATTGTGTTTGTTTAAAAATAATATGTATTCGTATTGATTTTAGTGAGGAAGGGAGAGGGAGGGAGGGAGAGAAATATCAATGATGAGAGAGAATCACTGATTGGATGTCTCCTGTATGCCACATACTGGGTATGTGCCCTGACCAGTAATCAAATCGTGACCTGTTTCAAAGGTTGACGCTCAACCACTGGGGCCATGCAGACTGAACCTCTTTATGGATTTTAGAGAAAGAGAGAGGAAGTGGGGGAGAGAAATAACATTGAGCCCTAGCTGGTTTGGCTCAATGAATAGAACATTGGCCTGTGGACTGAAGGGTCCCGGGTTTGATTCTGGTTAAGAGTATGTACTCGGGTGTAGGCTCCCAGCCCTGGTCAGGGGCATGTGGGAGGCAACCAATCAATGTGTCTCTCACATCAGTGTTTGTCTCTCTCCCTTCCACTCTTTCTAAAAAATTAATGGGAGAAATATCCTCGAGTGAGGATTAAAAAAACCCACATTGATCGGCTGCCTCCTGTATACACTCCATCTGGGAACTGAACCTGCAACCTGGGCCTGTGCCCTGACTAGGAATCCAACCGCTGGTCTTCTGTTGACATTCAACCTACTGAGCTATACACACTGACTAGGGCTGCGATTGATTATATAGAGAGGAAAGGAGGGAGAGAGAGAAAAATATTGATGTGAGAGAGAAGCATCCATTGGTTGCCTCCAAGGAATCAACCCCACAAACTAGGTATCATGCCCTGATCAGGAATTGAACCCATAACCGTTTTTAAAAAATATATATTTTATTGATTTTTTACAGAGAGGAAAGGAGAGAGATAGAGAGCTAGAAACGTCGATGAGAGAGAAACATTGAACAGCTGCCTCTTGCACACCCCCTACCAGGGATGTACCCACAACCAATGTACATGCCCTTGACCAGAATTGAACCTGGGACCTTTCAGTCCGCAGACCGACGCTCTACCACTGAGCCAAACTGGCTTCGGCCATAACCTTTTTTTTTTTTTTTTTTTTTTTTTTTAACATATACTTTTAAATTGATTTCAGAGAGGAGAGGGAGAAAGAGATAGAAACATCAATGATGAAAGAGAATCATTGATCGGCTGCTTCCTGCAAGCCCCACATTGGGGATTGAGCCCACAATCTGGGCATGTGCCCTGACTGGGAATCATACTGTGACCTCCTGGTTCATAGGTCGATGCTCAACCATTGAGCCATGCCAGGTGTACTTAATAATTTATTTATTTATTATTTAAGTGAAACGAAGTTGTTAGTAAAGATTTAAATTCTGATTCTGTTAAAATTTCCCTGTCCTTCAGAGTCTGTAACTCATTTACATAGTGATAAATCTTACTTTCTAATTGGCGACTTGGAGCCTTTTGGCTTTAGGTTATTGATAATAAAGTGTGGCTTACTTTGTTACTGCTCCATAGCTTTGAAGATGGTCTTTTGGAAGGCAGGTGTCTCCTGCCAAGTGTCACCAGGTACTTGCATCACTTAGATTTTTGGGGGTGCCTGCTTTCTGATAGGGCTGTGACTTGGCTATGTTCCTGCTTCATGCCTGTGAGCAGACATCTTGTTTTCTGCTTGGGTGTGGGCACATTGCTCCAGCTCCTGCAGTGGTTTGCAGGTAGAGTGTATTTGGTCTGTGGGAGCAGGAGTCTGGTCGTATCAGTCCATCCCTGTTTGTTGTCTCCAGATATGTTCTGTAAAGCATGCACAAATATTACACATCCTTGAGAGTTTTTGTGATTAGTTTAATATAGATGGGATGCCTTATTAAATGGAGTTTTTATTTGTTTGGCTTGCTAAAAAGCCTGAAAACATTTTATTTTATTACAGATAGGTGATCTTCAGCTTCGCAAACTTGATGAACTAGATTGCTTAATAAATGGAATTTTATACATTGATTCAGTTGGATTCAATGGACGGTCACAGTGTTATTACTTTGAAAACCCTGCTGATCCTGAAAGTCAGAAGTTGCCGTTTGATTTGAAAAATCCATACCCTCTGCTTCTGGTGAACATTGGCTCTGGAGTTAGCATCTTAGCAGTATATTCCAAAAATAATTACAAGCGCGTCACCGGAACCAGGTAGGTCTTTTATATTCTTGATATCGTGGCTTAACACTTGAGTTTTTAGGTATTGCATGTAATACACCTTTAAGAATCTGTTAAAATTATGTAAAACATAAAACTTTTTCTGGGATTATGCAAACAAATGTTATTTTTCTTTGAAAATTCTGATTTCATGACCTACTTTTCTTTAATCTGTATTGCTCCATGTTTCTTAAAATGTCTCATCAGCAGATTCATAAACCCTTGGTCCCCACCCTCAGATAGTGTATGGTGTGCATATACCATAAAGTAAGCAAAGCTCAATGGAGTCTATAAAGAGAAGGCAAAGCAAGATCCTAGATTTTGCACAAGTGCTCGGGTGCGCGGCCTGAGGATGACATAAGATTTAGGAGTTGAGATATTGAGCAATAGAAAAATGATTGGGGGAGGGTGGTCTGAAAATGGAGAATTAGGTGGCAGATGAGAAAGGAATGCGCTTTAAGGATCAGAGATCACTTGAAGAAAAACTAGGAGGTGGGAATGGGTAAACAAGGTTTTTTAACTGGTATAAGTTAAGGAATGAAAGGAATAATTTCTTTTTGGAAAACACATTCATGGAAGAATTCTCATTGGGTTAGGGGGTTGATGAGCCAGGGTGATAAGATACTTGAATTGGAAAAACAAAAGATGCTTGAGTGAGGATGGCTTAGGGCATGCACTTGAAGAGAGAAAGGGAGGAGGCACCATCGTGGTCCTAGGTGCAATGGGCTGATATACACTGAGTGGCCAGGCTGGCCAGACCCCACCCATGCACGAATTCATGCACCAGGCCTCATGTGTGTGTGTAATATATATATATATATATATATATATATATCTATCTATCTATCTATCTATCTATCTATCTATCTATCTATCTATCTATCTCACACACACACACACACACACACACATTGCACACACTGAGTGGCCAGATTATTATGCATTCAGAGATCATAATAATCAGGCCACTCAATGTATACTAGGTGTAGCAGTTAATGCAGATTTTTTTCAATAGATGGAGTTACACATATGTTGATATATATACCATTTGATATGTATGCTATTTTGTTGACTACAAGCTTTAAAACTTCATATGTCAAATTTGCTGAAAGTGTCAACATATTTTTACACTTAAAAATATAAAAATATTGAATTTCGTGCCAAAAAAGCATTTGCAGAAAGTTTTAATTTATTATTATTATTATTATTATTACTTTTTTTTTAAATCAGGCACTTTTATTTATTTATTTTAAATATATTTTATTGATTTTTGTACAGAGAGGAAGGGAGAGAGATAGAGAGTTAGAAACATCAATGAGAGAGAGTCATCGATCAGCTGCCTCTTGCACCCCCCCACTGGGGATATGCCTGCAACCAAGGTACATGTCCTTGACCCTTCAGCCCCCAAGCCGACGCTCTATCCACTGAGCCAAACCGGTCCTGGCTCATTATTATTTAAAAAAAAAAATATTTTTTATTGATTTTCTTACAGAGAGGAAGGGAGAGAGATAGAGAGCTAGAAACATCGATGAGAGAGAAACATCTACCAGCTGCCTCTTGCACACCCCCTACCGGGGATGTGCCTGCAACCAATGTACATGCCCTTGACCGGAATCGAACCTGGGACCTTTCAGTCCACAGACCGACGCTCTATGGCTGAGCCAAACTGGTTTTGGCTAATTCATTATTTTGAAGAAAAAGTTATTTTATACTTTGGGAAGTTTATGGTGAACATGCTCCATCTCAAGATACTTGTGAACGCTAGTTTAAACGCTTTAAAAGCGATGATTTTGACGTGAAAGAACGTCCAGGTCAACCGAAATAGTTTGAAGACCAACAATTACAAGCATTATTGCATGAAGATGTATGTCAGACTCAAAAACAACTTGCAGAAAGATTAAACATTGCTCAGCAAACAATTTCCAATCATTTACAAACAATGGGAAAGATTTTAAAGGAAGGAAAATGGGTGCTACATCAACTGAAAGAAAGACAAATGGAAAACTGAAAAGTCATCAGTAAAATGTTGCTTCAGTAGTACGAAAGAAAGTCTTTTTTGCATCGAATTGTGACTGGCAATGAAAAGTGGATTAATTTTGAGAATCCCAAATGCACAAAATCATGGGTTGATCCAGATCAACCGTCTACATCGACTGCAAGGCTAAATTGCTTCAGAAAGAAGACAATGCTCTGAGTTTAGTGGGATGAGGAGGTGTGGTGTAGTATGAGCTTCTAAAACCAGATGAAATTGTTAATACTGATTGCTACTGACAACAAATAATCAATTTGAACCATGCTTTGATCGTGAAATGACCAGAATGTGCCAGAAGACACAGCAAAGTAATTTTATTTCATCATGACGCACCATCACACACTTCAAAACCATTTAGCTCTAGCCGGCTTGGCTCAGTGGTTAAGAGTATCTGCCTGCGGACTGAAAGGTCCTAGGTTCGATTCCCGTCAAGGGTATGTGCCTGAGTTGCAGGTTCCATCTCCAGTAGGGAATGTACAGGAGGCAGCTGATCAGTGATTCTCATTATTGATGTTTCTATCTCTCCCTCTCCTCTCTCTGAAATCAATTGTAAAAAAAAAAAAAAATATATATATATATATATATATATATATATATATATTTATATATATATATATATATTTTTTTTTTTTTTTTTAAGAGAAAGACGTGTTAAAAGATCTTGCCTGGAAAGTATTAACCCACATGCTGTATTCACCAGACCTTGCTCCTTCAGATTACAACTTGTTCCGATCGATGGCACACACACTTTCTGAGCAGTATTTCAAAACGTATGAAGAAGTAGAAAATTGGATCTCTGAATAGTTTGGCTCAAAATAAGAAAAGTTCTATTGGGCGGGTATCCACAAATTACCTGAAAGATGGGGAAATGTGTAGCTAGCGATGGACATTACTTTGAATAAAGTTTTGATGTTTCTCTTGAAATTATTGTATTTTCTTTGATTACAAAAATATGCCATTATTAACCAGTACACCTAGTACTTGAGGTTTCTCGAACTTAGCAGACGCCCAGATTGAACTGGAGACATGGGTGGAGAGGTGGGCCCTGTATTTTGCCATGTTGCTTGTTGGTGCACACGAATGCATACCTTCAAGGTGTTTATTAGGGACCTGTTTTTATCTTTCCACAGACTTGTTTCTCACTGGTGTCTTCTGCACGATTGGTTTGAGGCAAGAGTAGATTGACATGTGAATATGATTTTATAGTTCATAAATACTACCTTCCTATTTAAAAAAATGTTATTTTAGCCGAAACCCGTTTGGCTCAGTGGTAGAGCATCGGTCTGCGGACTGAAAGGTCCCAGGTTCGATTCCGGTCAAGGGCATGTACGTTGGCTGCGGGTACATCCCCAGTGGGGGATGTGCAAGAGGCGGCTGGTCGATGTTTCTCTCTCATCAACATTTCTGGCTCTCTATCTCTCTTCCTTCCTCTCTGTAAAAAATCAATAAAATATTTTTAAAAAAATTAAAAAAATGTTATTTTAAATTATTTGCTTTTAATCACAGTCTTGGAGGAGGAACCTTTTTTGGTCTCTGCTGTCTGCTTACTGGATGCACTACTTTTGAAGAAGCTCTTGACATGGCATCTCGTGGGGATAGCACCAAAGTGGACAAACTAGTCCGGGACATTTACGGAGGGGACTATGAGAGGTTTGGACTGCCAGGCTGGACTGTGGCTTCCAGGTAAGGGGACATGTGTTCTCTAAGGGATACAGAAATGAAATATTAAATATTGGGTGTCCTTTCCAGTGTAGCTCACTCACTCAGTTGGTTGGAATGTCATCTATACACCAAAAGGTGGCAGGTTTGATTCTTGCTAGGGCACATACCCAGATTGCGGGTTCCATCCCTGGTTAGGGCACACAGGGGAGCCAATCCACTGATGTTCCTCTCTCACATTGATGCTTCTCTCTCTCTGTCTCTTTCTCTCTCTCCCTCAAATAAAAAAAGAAATTAGGTATGTCTTTTTCCTTTTAAGCAGCTTTACATATTATAAAGTCACCTGTTAAATGTGTCCAATTTATTGATTTCTAGTATATTTACAGATGTACAGTAATCACCATAATCCAATTTCAGAACATTTTTATCACCCCAGAAAAAAACCCTGTATTCACTAGCTGTAACTCCACATTTCCCTACCCCACAGTCCCTCATAAACACTAATCTATTTTCTCTCTCTAGTATTGCCTATTCTGAACACTTCATGTAAACAATATCATACAATGTGTGATTTTTGTGACTGACTTATTTAGCTTAATGTTTTCAAGATTCATCCATGTTGTAGCACGAATCAGTATTTGTTTTTATTGATGGATAATATTTCATTGTATGGATATATGACATTTATATATAGGTTGATAAACATTTGAGTTATTTAAACTTTTTGGTTATTATGAATAATGCTGCTAGGAACATTCATGTACAAGCCGGTGTGGACATATTCTGAATTCTCTTGGGAATATACCTAGGACTGGAATTGCTGGATCATGTGATAACTCCTGTGTTTAATCTTTTGAGGAACTGCCAGACAGTTTTCCACAGTGCCTGCACCATTTTACAACCCTACCTGTAATATAGAAGAATTTAAATTTCTCTACATTCTTGGTGATCCACTTCTTGTTGTCTTTTTGGTTTAAATGGCCTTAATAGGTGTCAAGTGATCTATCCTGGTTTTGATTTGTATTTCCCTAAGGATGACTACAGATGTTGAACATCTGTCTATTCATGTACTTATTGACTATTTGTCTACTTATGGAGAAATGTCTGTTCAAGTCTTTAGCTCCTTTTGTAGTTGAATTATTTGTCTTTTATTATTGAGTTGTAAGAATTCTTATATATTCTAGAAACAAGTACCTTATCAAATACAATTTTGTATTCGCAAATTTGTAATTTGCAAATATTTTTTCCCATTCAGTTAGTTGTCTTCACTTCCTCGATGGTGTCCTTTACAGTAGTGGTTTTCAACCTTTTTAATTCTGCGACCCTTTACTATAGAGTTCCTCATGTTGTGGTGACCACCAACCATAAAGTTATTTTCATTGCTACTTCATAACTGTAATTTTGCTACTGTTAATGAATCGTAATGTAAATATCTGTGTTTTTCAATGGCCATGGTCTTGGGCTCTACAGCTGTGATTCTCAACCTGTGGATTGTGACCCACAGGTTGAGAACTGCTAGCAGGATTACCTGCACCTTCTCCAATCTGGGATCCCTCTTACAATCCAGGACTGCTGGTTCCCAACTGCTCTCCTGCCTGCCTTCCTGATTGCCCCTAACCACTTCTGCCTGCCAGCCTGATCACCCCCTGACACTCCCCTGCCAGCATGTTTGTCCCTATCTGCCCTCTCCTACACGCCTGGTCTTCCCCATCTTCTCTCCCCTGCAGGCCTGCGTCCCCCCCGCAACTGCCCTTCCCTGCAGGCCCAGTTGCCCCCAACTTCCCTCCTCTGCTGACCTGGTCACTCCTAATTGCCCTCCCTTGCTGGCCTGATAGCCTACAACTGTCTTCTCTTGCAGGCCTGGTCCCTCCCAACTGCCCTCTTCTGCTGGCCATCTTGTGGCATCCATCTTTTTTAAAAAAAATATATATTTTATTGATTTTCCACAGAGAGGAAGGAAGAGGGATAGAGTGCTAGAAATGTTGATGAGTGAGAAACATCGACCAGCTGCCTCCTGCACACCCCCTGCCGGGGATGTGCCTGATACCAATGTACATGCCCTTGACCGGAATCGAACCTGGGACCTTTCAGTCCGCAGACCGACGCTCTATACACTGAGCCAAACCGGTTTCGGCATTGTGGCATCCATCTTAATGTCCACATGGGGGCAGGATCTTTGACCACATGAGGGCAGCCATGTTGTGTGTTGGGGTGATTGTCAATTTGCATATTACTCTTATTACGATATATATATCCTAATAAGAGTAATAATTAAACATATTTTTTATTGATTTCAGAGAGGGAGAGGGAGAGAGAAAGAAACATGTCCCCTCCTGGGGGGTAGGAGCCGGTTGAGCCCTCAACCCCGGTATGTGCCCTTGGCCGGAATCGAACTGGGGACCCTTTATTCTGCAGGCTGACACACAACCCACTGAGCCAAACTGGGGCCAGGGCTAAAAAAAAACCAAAACATTTTTACTGATTTCACAGAGGGAGGGAGAGAGAGAGAGAAATATCATTAATCAGCTGCCTCCTGCATGCCTCACGCTGGAGATCGAGCCCTCAACTTGGGCATGAGCTCTGACTGGGGTTCAAACTGTGACCTCCTGGCTCACAGGTCGATACTCAACCACTGAATCACACTGGCTAGGTGAGTTTTATAGTTTGAACCCTTACGTTTAGTTCTGTGATCCATTTTGAATTACTTTTTGTATATGGTATGAGGTGGTGGTCCAAATTCATTCCTGTGTGTATGGATGTACAGTTGTCCCAGCACTATTTGTTGAATAGACTATTCTTTCTCCATTGACTTCTCTTGGCTCCTTTGTTGAAAATAGTTGTTCTTAAATGTATAGTTTATTTCTGAACTCAGTTATGTTCCATTGATGTTTATCATTATGCCTTGATTACTATAGCTTTGTATTGTTTTTTTTTTGAAAAATATATTTTATTGATTTTTTACAGAGAGAAAGAGAGAGAGAGAGAGAGATAGTTAGAAACATCGATGAGAGAGAATCATCAATCAGCTGCCTCTTGCACACCCCCTACTGGGGATGTGCCCACAACCAAGGTACATGCCCTTGACTGGAATCGAACCTGGGACCTTTCAGTCCACAAGCCGACGCTCTTATCCACTGAGCCAAACCGGTTTCGGCTGTATTAAGTTTGAAATTGGGAAGTGTGAGTCCTCCAATATTTTTAAAAGACTGTTTTGGTTCATCTGGGCCCTTCAACTTTTTGTCTGAATTTTAGGATCAGCTTGTCAATATCTGCAAAAAAGGACAGCTAGGATTTTGGTAGGGACTGTATTGAATCTGTAGATCATTTTGGAGAACACTGGATTGTAGCTTGACTGTAGTCTTCTGATTTAAGAAGATGGCATGTCTTTCTGCTTAGTTAGGTATTTGCTTTCTTTCACCATTGTTTTTGTATTATAGTTTTCAGGGTATATATAAGTGTTATACTTTTGTTAAACATATCTCTCAGTATTTTGTTCTCTTTGATGCTATTGTAAGTTGAATTGCTTTATTTTATATTTTGATTGTTTGGAAATAAAATTTTTGTGTGTGCATTGGGGCACATGGGTTTTAATGCTAGAAAAGGCAGTCATATACACATGTTTGTTTACTAATTTTAGGTACTTTGTAAATGCTGTAGATTCCATTTTCTGTGTTTGCAGCATTTGCTTGTTGGTAATTACTTCATTTTCTGACTCATCGGGCTTATTTTCTGGTCACAGCTATTAATGTAGCAGTTGTGCAGGTCAGGTACTTTAAAGCTCTTGACCTAGAGAAATCTGAAACTGTTAGTTTACTCTGGGACTGGTTGGCTATAGTTTGCTTTGCTAGGATAAAGCAGTTTACCAGATTTGAATGTGACCCTTTAACTGAATGGAACAGATGGGCAGTTGGGAGGAATTGCTACTAGAGGTATCTTTCTGGAACTTGCTCTGGTTGCAGAAGGAGTAATGGTGCCTTACAGTGCATCTGATGAGACCTAACAATATGTGCATATCTGGTATCAAAGCTCGATATGTTTCAGTGGAAACCACAGGGAAAGCCATTTGCTCATTCAGAATGCTTGAGGGTTCTCTTTGAAGTGGCATTTCTCTTTGATCCAGATGCTCCTTTATTTCTTTATTTCTGAATTGAAAAGTTAGAAGTTTTGAGGAACATTGTTCTAAAAGTCACTTTTATCTTAGTAAAGTAACATTCACATTCTGTTGGGCTGTGTTGCCTTTAGTTTATCAAAGGGATTTTTTTCGCCCCCAAACAGCTTTGGAAACATGATGAGCAAGGAGAAGCGAGAGGCTGCCAGTAAAGAGGACCTCGCCAGAGCAACTTTGATCACCATCACCAACAACATTGGCTCGATAGCAAGAATGTGTGCCCTTAATGAAGTAAGGGGACATGAATTTCTTTAGTTGCTCTGACAACATCCTAAGTGTGCCCCACCACGTATACAACATTTGTTTTGCCCGAATGGGCCTACTTGTAGTCATATGTGGTGGAGTTCGTTTCATTGGAGAAGTTAAAACTCTTCACATGTAGACTAATCTTAATTGATGATCCCCCCCCCCCCCCCCTTACTGAACATAAACACTGCTACAGTTAGAAGGTAGGAGGGTAGCCAGTATGCCAGATGGTGGGGGGGCTATCATTGGGTGGTGGTGAGGGATAGTGATGCTGAGTCTAGACTCCATGCTCATTGTGGAGCTCTAGAATCCCTGGGGAGGAATCCAGAGGAAGTCATTGAAGCTGGGAGAAGATGGAGCAGGCCAAGCACTGCCCACCCTGCTCCGCCTCCACCGCAGCAGAGCTGTCTTCGTGCTTTCAGCTTCTTTACAGTGCTGCCTTGTAGCATCCAGGTCAAGCAGCATTGTACAGGGCTATGAAAGAACCAAGAATGGCCTTCCCTTGGGGATGCAGCTGGTGCAGCTTTACAGCTTGTCCCCATTTATACATCTTTGTTGAACATTATTCTTTTAAACAGATAAGATAGACATGTGGCTTAAAAAGGAAATCTTAAAAGGTACAAAAGAATTGTTTTATTTTTAATTAAAAGATACTGTATCAGCGTCAAGTAATTAAAAAAAATCTTCATTTGACTATGTTAACACTATTTTCTTTATTGCATGTTCCCTTTCTGTGCTTATGTATTTAAGATTCTAAGATTATTTATTTAAGATTTTAAGATTATGTATTTAAGATTTTAGTTGAGTGCATACCAATTTCTAATTTTTATATAAATATAAATTTCATGGCTGTATAATTTGATTGCTTTTTATATAAGTCATTGGCATTTGGTTGCTTGCCAATGACAGCTCTGTGGTAAAGCATTTTAAATGTGAAAATTTTCCTTGGTTGAATTTTATTCTTGATAAGGGACTTACTCAGGAGCGAGATTTTCATCTAAAGACTATGACTGTGTTATAAATCTTGATAGGTATTGCCAAGGTGTTTTATTTGCACTAGGACTGTACCAATTTAGATAATTTTTGGCAATAAATAAATGGTTCAGTTTTACTACAACTTGACTAATACTGGGGGTAGAATTTCAGTTAGTTGTTTTGCTAATTTATAGGTCTAAATTTTTTATCACTAGTGAGGTTGACTTGATTTTCTGTTATATTTATTGTATAATCTTGCCTATTTGTGTCATTTTCCTTCTTTGAATTGGGTCTTTATTTATTTATTTATTTATTTTTTACTTATCTGTATGAAACTTTAATAGGAATTATTGTTTGTCATATTTAATACACACGTTTTTCCTATCTGTTTTCTTGTGATATTTTCTGGCATGCTTTGAAGTGGGTCCAGAGTTGTGTGGGCATTAAATTAAGTAGTCCTGAATCAATTGGATCAAATATAAAGGCTTTTTTTAAAAATCAGAAGTCAATTTGCTTCTAAAAATTATGCACATGGTCTGTTTGGAGTAGTTTTTAAGAGAGACTGAAATTAAGATGAAAACTAATTGCTTTCTTTTGATGTGCTCAGAATATTAACCAGGTGGTATTTGTTGGAAATTTCTTGAGAATTAATACAATCGCCATGCGGCTTTTGGCATATGCTTTGGATTATTGGTCCAAGGGACAGTTGAAAGCACTTTTTTCGGAACATGAGGTAAGCAGACTTATTTCCTGCAATATGTTACAAGGGCAATCAGTTCACATTGTGTTGTAATTTGAAGTAAAGGTAAAATAATACTTCATATTTTTGTAATTATATGATATTGAGTTTAACTTTGATTGTAGTACTTAAAAGCTCTTTATTATCCATTTCAATGCAAGGTAGATTTTTGGTTCATTTCATTGTGAGCTTCAGCAATATTAAAGAAGTCTTAAAAAAAATATATATATATATATCAATATATAGTATTGATTTCAGAGATGAAGGGAGAGGGAGAGAGAGAAATAGAAACATCAATGATGAGAGAATAATTGGTTGGCTGCCTTCTGCATGCACCCACCAGGAATCGAGCCCGCAACCCGGGCATGTCCCCTTGACTGGAATCGAACAAAAGTGCCCAATTTTCCCATATCAGAAGCTTAAAGTTCAAGACATCTAACTTATTTATTACTTCTAATGTTATATTAATAAATCAGTGCTGAGTTTTTTATACCTTTTACATTTGCTTTTTGTGAACTTTTACTTGTTTTGTTTCATATTAGAATAAAAGTCATACATTGACTTTTATTTAACATGACTTTTCTCCTGAATTTCTATCTCTTATTGAACCTTTTCCTAGGTAAAACCTGAAAATTAATTTATTTTTTATGTTTTTAATCCTTGCCCAAGAATGTTTGTTACTGATTTTAGAGAAAAAGGAAAAGAGAGAGAGCATTGATGTGAGAAACATTGATTTGTCTCTTCCTGATGTGCCCTGACCGGGGATCGAACTTGCAGTCTTTTTGGTGTTTGGGATGAAGCTCCAACCAACTGAGCCACCTGGCTAGGGAGGAGATTAATTTCTTAGGGTAACTTTGTAAAAAATGTTTTAACTTCTATCTTATATATTCAGTTATAATATGAGCCCCTTATGAAATTTTGATTTTTATATTTTATTGCTTGCTGATTTAATTTTCTTCTCTGCTTAGCATCGCTGGTCCATTTGTCTGTTTTCTTTTTTTAAATATATTTTATTGATTTTTTTACAGAGGAAGAGAGAGGGATACATCAATGAGAGAGAAACATCAACCAGCTGCCTCCTGCACACCCCCTACCGGGGATGTGCCCGCAACCAATGTACATGCCCTTGACCGGAATCAAACCTGGGACCTTTCAGTCTGCAGACCGAGGCTCTATCCACTGAGCCAAACCGGTTTCGGCTGTTTTCTATTTGCATTCAGGCTTCTGACTCTAGTGTTGATTTCTGCACATATGGAACTTAGATTATTTTAGGCCCTCTGAAGTCTTGAAATACAATTGACCCTTGAACAATGTGAGTTTGAACTATGCAGATCCATGGATAGGTGCATCTTTTTTCAGTAAATACAGTGGCCTTTTGTACCCATTGGTTTTGCATTCATGGATTTATTAAACTGTGAATCAAAACCAGTATTTCTAAATTACCAAGCATGGGTAAAAAATATTTGGTTCAGCAAATAGGTGCTCAGAAAACGGGTGTCAGGAATTAAGGGCAGTGTTGGCTTTAACACCAGTAATCATATTTATGGTAATTTAAATGATTCTAAGGAGAATTGCTCTTATTTTTTTGTGTGTGTGTTATTTTCTTCAGGGTTATTTTGGAGCCGTTGGAGCACTCCTTGAGCTGTTGAAGATCCCCTGATCCATTACCTGGGGAGGGGGTTCCTGGAACCTTCCACAATGGGATCTGTGAACTTTTCTTTTTTTTTCAAGAGACTTAATTAATTTTCTGATTGTGTATTACCTGAATCAAAGCAAGAAAGGACAAATGGATTTTTTTTAAGTCATCAAGACAAACCCTTAAAAATTCAGCCTAAACTAGTAACCAGTAAGGAATGATATATATGTATATGTGTGTATATATACAGTGTGTATATATATATATAAAGTGGACCATGTTCATGGCAGTGAGGATCGGCTGTAATGCCTGCTATATATTTTTGAAACTCATTGTCACTCACGAGCCACTTAAGAGGAGAGCTGTTCCGTGTTCAGCATACTGTGTTTTAGATCCTGTTGAACTTGCTAAATGTAAGGAAAGCTACTATGTGTTATATAATCTAATCACAATTTTGACAGTATGGCCTTGGAGATCATCTCCTGTACATTAACTCCAGTGTGCATTTAGCCTTTGTGTGAACATATTGAAAAATGTTTTATTTCAAGGTTCTGCAATCTTAATTGGGCAGGTTAGTTCAATACCTGTAACTTGGATAATTAAGAACTTTTAGAAGGACAATTATAGGTTACTTTTCACCATAAATCCTAGGAAGGTCTCTTTGGAAAGACAGGATTTCTTCCGTGGACAGAATTTTCTTGAGTGTTGGGCTGATGGAAGTAAGCTACTACAAAAGATATAATTTGGAAAACTAAAACTAGACAAAAAGGACTTTTTTTTTTCTTCCCCAGGAAACTGGGGAGAGAATCTGGTTACTACTTTTAGGCTAGTAGAAATCAAGGAATTGAGGTGTCCATTAATTCATGGGTGCAGTTGGGGTTCTTCCCACCTTTCTCACCCACCACTGGTCTTGGCACTTAGCAGCCCCCAGGCGCAGTCCTGATTTCTCTGGTAGGCTGGCTCAAAAGGCTGCTTGAGAGACAGGTTTTGAGAGCTGAGTATTGATATAGATTGACTGGACCTTTTTTTTTTCTGCTGTGCAGAATAATTTTTAAAAACCTTCCCCTTAGAGATTGAGCTATGTTTGTGTCTTATTTTGTGTCTTATTTGGTACCTGCATCGCTGTTGAAGGCAGTAAAGATCTGTATAAATGGCTTTGAACTAGAAAGAAACTCCAAGGCTCTGGGGCCGCCTTGCGCTTTCCTCCCTGTGGTTTTAGGCCAGGAAGCTGGCCTGGAGGGTTCTGGGAGGGAAAGTTCGAAGGAAGGGTGCAGAGGGCGGGGTTGGGTCATTGAGGGAGGAGTTGCTTGGGCTGGTGCTCCTCCCTGGTCGACTGGGATCCTGCGGCCTCCCGTGTTGGCCGCGTGGGGGCAGCAGAGGCCCGTGCCCATGGTTTGTGAGGGCATGATCATTTCTCCGATGCTGCCCACTTGCGCAAGGAAGGTTCTGTCACCCGTGGGTTGTGGGTGCTGCTTCCTGATGCAGGCCGCAGAGCTGGAGGGACACTGCAGGGCGAAGAAATTGTAGCCCTTGGGTGGCGTTTGGCTCTTCCTCTGCTGTCCCATGTAGCACTTCCTGAGCCCCTACCCCTTACAACCCAACCTGTCCTCTGTCCTCTGTCGCTTCCAGATACCCACTTGGTGGCTCCACTTTTCCCTCACAGCCACCAACGACAGTGCTGCCACTCCTTCGCTGGTACCATAGTCGTGTTTCTCGGGCCCCTCTTGTCCCAAACTGCCTCTGCTTACTTGGGCGGAGAAGGTAGAGAAGGGGAGGGAGCTTGAGCCATTTCTAGTGGAGACCCAGGCCCCACCTCCTGTGCTGTGGGGCCTGCCTGTGTTTTAGAAGCTGTGCCAGTGCTTTACATGGGTTGTTTCATGCAGCTGTTGTGATCTCCACAATTCAGCAGAAAAGCAAACCCGCCTGAGGTCACACAGGTAGAGTCCCCTCTCCTTTTTTGCATTTGCCTTCTACCTCAGAGAGCCCAGTTGCCACTCACTTTGTGGGTGGTTCTTAGCTCACACTGGTACACCATGAGAGGGCTCTTGATAGTTCCATTGAGTCTTGTTACTAAATCTAACAGACATTTTATGTTCTCACTTTCCTCAGTTCTAACACAGTGCATTTCTTGCTTTTCCTTCTGCCTTCCAGGCCCCTTTGTCTGTGCCAACTTGAGAACAACAGTTTGACATTGCCGGCTTCAGGCACAGTCCTGATTCCCCTAAGCAGTCCTCAGCACTCACCGTGTCTCTGACTTCCAATCTACTGTGCCCAGCACCTCCTCTGAGCTCCAGTTCTAAGGCAGTAACTGCCTTCCCTTCATTCTACTTGTCTATCTCCAAGGCCATCTCTACACAGAAGTATCCACACCCTTTCCCCTGAAACCACCCCCTCCATGGTCTTCACTCCTTCCAGCTTGAGGTGCACGTAAACTCAATCTCCACTCGCCATTGCCACCACCCTACTTTAAACCACTGCCATCTTATCTCGGCAGTGTCCTTCGCAATCTGCCCTCCAGATGGTAGCCTGAGGGCCCCACTCCACACTAGAGGCCTAAACGAAATGGCAGCAAATGGCCCGGTGGGGACAGATGGGTGGTTAGAGGGTTGAGCATTGGGATGTGATGAAGGATATGGGGAGGAAGTTTCTATGAGGGCATACCCTTGTTGTTATTGGGGAGCCTTGGTTTTGAGCTGCAATTGATACCAAATAGCAACTGGATATTTGGGTTGTAGATAACATACCTAAGAATGATAGTGTATGTAGGTAGGCAAACTGTAGGTGGGAATTTAGTGAATACCAGGATAGAGTGAGAATAACAGTTGATGGGCAGAGAAAGTAAAGGCTGCAAAGAAAACTGAAGCGAGGTCAGGGGGCACTGCTAGGGGTCTGTTGCTCAGGAGACGGGAGAGGAGCCATCCAGACACCTGCATTAAGGATTAAGAGGAGTCCCAGAGATGGCCTTGAGAGGAACAGTTTCCCTAAAGCTATGGGGCAGAAGCCGATCGATCTAAGTCCTAGTGAGGGTTGGTAAGGAGAAATGGCAGCTACCACAGGGAACTTTGGACCAAGAGATTTTTTTTCTTTTCTTTTCCTAATAGAAGTTATTTGCAGGTCGGGGGGTCGTGAGAGGTGTGAGGAATGGCCTAGTTCTGACACTTTACTCCCGAGACTAGTGCCTGTATTTCAGAAACTACCTATATTTCGGAAACTAGCTGAGCCTGTGGCAGGTGAGGCCTTGGCTTCTCTGCTTTCTTCCTCCTGTGACCTAGTGCTTCCTCATGTCACTCTGACCTTCACTCCACACCGTGGGGGGACAGACCAGAAGCTCCTTCACCACTGTCACCTTCTGCTGTGCCCTACTCACCTTTCCCACTCCTGCTATGCAAGCTTAAGTGGGGCGTGAGTGTCCATAAGTGGGTCCATGATAAACATTAAGTAGGTTTCAAAATTTGCTCTTTATTTACATTTAAGTCAATTACATGCATGTTTTATTTTTTAAACGAGTAATTAGCAAAAAAATGCATTAAAACTTTAAAATAGCAATTAAATATACAAAAATATAGCTTACAAAAAACTGCGAATGTTTAAAAATATTCTGCTGCAGAATTCTTAGTGTACAAACACGTCTATGAAACCTGAGGCTCAGCATTTCATAAACTTTTTATTGAGGGAGTTACATAATACCTAGTGAGTGAACCTCAATGGGCTATACTACATGCCTAAACTTCCTTCCTTCCTGGCAGCGATCTGTTATCAGATGACAGTGATCAGGAACACTATCTTGGAAGACGGTGTCATCAGGAGGGACTTTTAACACTGGTCCCATCCGCCTTTTTGTCGGAACCTGGGAGGGAAGGAGCAGACGGATGGTGTGCAGCTGGCCCAAGGCGCTGATCCACCAGGCTTGTGCTGGCACAGGGAGCTACATCAAAGTACAGACAAATCCCTTGATAATGGCAGGGCTCCCTTTCTGAGCACATGCCCCAGAGTGGGCAGGGTGCCCTTCTTGTCCCGATAGCCACGGAAGTGAGCCCTGGATTGGTCAGCAAAGAATGCTGATGTTTGGTCTAAAATGGAGAAAACTATTTGCATCTTGAAACAAGTGGGCTCTAAACAACTGGAAAACTGACCAGTCATTCTATGTTCTTGATACTCTCAAATGGAAGCACATTAGTCTTAATCTACTTAAAAAACCATGGCCCAGCATGTCCCACTTGTCAACTGCAAATTTCACCTAAATTTATACACTGTTAATTTAGACCTGTCCTTTACTCAAATTCTTATCAGCTAACATGAAAGACACTAGCCCGGGGCCAGAGATTCATCACATGACCGAAGGGTGGAGGTTCCCGGCAATTCCTTTTCGAGTTTCAGGTCGGGGGCCCCAAAGCACTTTGAATCCTGGGAAACTCGGTGGCAGAACACTGGGGAGGTGGGTGAGGACCCATGGCTGCCTAAAGGAAGCGGCTTCAATATCCATATTTTCTATGGGCAAAAAGGAACTACATTTTTTAAAGAAAAGGTTACTGGTGGGGAAATGTCATTGAGTGGAAAGTATTGGGCTAGAAAACTCAGGGAAGCATTTTTTAGAGTGGGGAGGAAAAGGAGCCTGACCCATGTACCTGAACATCTTTGATTGACTAAGATTGACCACGTACTTGTTCAGCAACATCTGAGACATTTGCCTCACAAGATAGAAAGGTGCCTCAGCCTTCAGTTTCTGCTGCTGCTTGAACTCCTGCCCCAAAAATGGGTGTTCGCCTAAGAAAGCGGGAGTTAACAGACATCGCTGCTGCACTCTGGATTCCCTTGCAAGTGGCCAAGATGGTATGGGGCAGCTTGTCCAGGCGGCTGCTGCAAAATTGCTGGGCCTGCACTGCTACAGCTCTTATGTGTCCTGTCACAGATCAGAAAGTCTAGAAACTATCTGTGCTCCTGTCATCTGGACGTCTGTGGTAGGAGTCAAGGAGGGACTGCAGTTTCTGATTTGTATAGAAAATAATTCCACTGTGCTGCAATCAATAATAAAAATGCCATTTTCAAAAGGAATGTGATTGTAAAAGGATCATCCCCCGTTCTTGGCTCACCTTCTACAGATATTCTGACTTCTGGTACAGCTCTTCCATATGAATAGGAATGTTCCTGAATATAGTATCACATGAGCAAAGGAGAACCCCCCCCCCCCCCATATACACTTGTGTGCACTTGTATATACACACATGACCTCGGGAGGCTACATAAGGAACAAAACTAGGTGCTCAAGGGGTGAGAAGCTGGGCTTGCTGGAGGTCAGGGATACAAGGAAGACTGATTTCAGAGTTAAATTTAAACATCCAACAGTGAGCAACAAATCGGGGAGCACTAGGCAGATGGAGGTGAGAGGAAGAGGAAGGGAGCCCCACATAACCTGCGTGACAAACATTGCCCCTCATGACGTCTGTCACCTGCTAGGCTTGACACAGCTAATCCTTGCAAGAGCCAGCAGATACCATTATACCCTGGGTGATGGATAAGATAACTGGCAGAAAGGCACCTGGCTGGTGAGTGACAAAGATGCTTCAAATCAGTCTGATCACTTTCCAGAGCTCTGGGGATGCCTCCCAGTAATTTCTGTAGTCATTAAGAATAGCTTAGCCCTAACCAGGTTGGCTCAGTGGATAGAGTGTCGGCCTGTAGACTCAAGAGTCCCAGGGTTGATTCCGGTCAGGAGCATGTACCTTGGTTGGCACATCCCCAGTAGAGGGTGTGCAGGAAGCAGGTGATCGATGTTTCTCTCTCATCAATGTTTCTAGCTCTATCCCTCTCTTAAAAAAAAAAAAATTATATATATATATAAATTTTTTTTTTAAAAAAGAATGGCTTAACAGTGGGATCAGGCCATGGAGATGACTTTGGGGCTGTTGGAAAGGGCCTGAGGTTAGGACAGGGGGCGTGGCATTGGGGAAAAGAATTGTGAAGAACTGGCTGTATGACAATGGTGGGAGGCCCCGGGTATCTCAGCCCAGACACCCTCATCCATGGGCCACCTGTTCCAGTCTGTCTTGACCTACTCCCTTTCAGGAATAGGCCTAACCAAATCACAGTGTCAAGGTAAAGATAACCAAGAACCAAGTCAGGCTGGTTTTGTTCCATTTCTAAAACCAGCTGAAGTCTGGGCTGAATTCTATTCCACTAACCCATGGCACACAAGTAATGTCCAATCTTCGAGCTGCTTAAGTAAAAAAAAAAAAAAAAAAAAAAAATCCATGTTATTAGCCAGTGGTCTAAAAGCAGATCAGAGTCCCCACGTGCCTATAGATTATCAAAAGGTCACCCACTTAGACAAGTGTGGACAGCAGCCTCACTGTGAGGTGTGAGCCTGAACCAAGTATATTAAGGGATCCTCGACTCATTCTTTAAAAAAAAAGTGTGGATGGAAATTTACCTTTGTCACACAATGCTGGAACAGCTGCTAGCTGCATGCAGTTACCAGTGCAGTACAGGGAAGTGCCGGAGGAGGACCCAGTGTGGGCGGCAAATGCGTTCAGGTTGTGTTGCTGACTGCCAAGCGACAATGGCTAATGCTGCGAAAGGACGCCACACCAAGAAAGGGGAGAAGACTGAGCAGAGCGGGCACTCGGCACTCAGCCAGCCCCATCTTGGTGGAAATGCTGCATTTTAAAAGCCTCCTCCACATTCACAAGTGTTGAGATCGTTTTAGTGGCACCTCCTGGGACAAAGCAGACCCACTATGGTGCCAAGTGGAGAGTGCAAGCCTCTCAAGCTTCCCTCTAAATTGTTTGGCTTTGCGCCTCTGGCCCAGTGCGTACCCGTGTCCTCTGCTTTCAGCTGTGACACAGGGAAAGGATAATTAGCCTCCCTATCCATACAGGGACAGGGTGAAGCCGTCTCCTTGTTACTGACAAGGACAGAAAAAAGCTACAACTGGAAGGCTATCATCCTACAAAACTGGAGTGGAAGAAATCTGCAGCACAGAGCACAAGCATTCCTCCTCTGAGGGGAAAGAAACTCTCTTATTTGAAGTCCACAACAAGATGACATTTGTCCCAACGCCATTCCAGGGGAAATGGTGGGTTGCTGGTCATTAGTGAGGCTAGTCCAGAAGCAAGCCTACTTGGTCACTAACAATATTTCACTGTAAACTGGGTGCTTTGCAGCATTCAACTCTATTGTGCTAGAGAGAACACAGAAACAGAGGGTGAAAGTCCAAATAGTTCTTTTCATGGGTGCCAAACAGGCTAAGGCTTTCATATAAAAATATTCCACACTTCCCTTGCCCTGTTTAAGAAACAGTCCAGTTGGCATACCATAGGAATACCATACACTAGGTCACACAGGAAACAGCCACTTCTAACCAAGTGGAGTTGTAATTTTCCAAACTGGATTCTGCCCAGCACTTCGCTAGGCTAACAGGAATTTTCCTCATCCTTTGACTGCAGCTACCTGAGCCAAGGGTAGGTTCCCTTTCCCATTCTAAAGCGGTAGAGGCTGGATTCCAGAAAAAGTTCTTGGACAAATGCCATAATCAGAATTGCAAAACTTCATCCTCTCTCCATACCATGCGGGCAGCATCTCCAGAGAGAAACAGCCCCCTCACACCTGTGAGGGAGCAGAGGCAAGCTGACAAGGTACCCATCCCTAGAATGGAAGGAGATGGAGAACAGAGCTGTGGAAAAGAACTACAAAGTTCTCAGCTAATTTATACAATATTCATGAATCTAAAGGATTCTGAGTCACTTCTAGAAAAGTTGGACAGAAAGAGCCAAAGAAAAGCATGCATTTCTCTCCTGTAAAGACACTTGCAATTATTTTTTGCAAGTCCGAATACTGAGGCACACACCAATGAGTGAACAGCCCTCTCGGAGCTTCCTGAAACTATTTACAATTTCAAGTGGGTCCCTGGCTAAAGAATTACAGAGGGATCTTGTTTGGGATGTTTTAAATGGTTAAAAAGTCAATGCCAGCATTTTCTCTGAAGTAGAAAAAGAGAGGGCGAGGAGGGGAGAGGAAAGGGGGCCAGCACCCTCCTGTCTCAGCAGGGCCAGGAGGACTAGCCATGCTCCGCTGTCTGAGGACTCCCAGTGGCTCCCTCCCAAGACCGTGGGCCAAGACCAGCAGCTATGCTGGAACCACACTTCGAATGGGGGAATGTGGGCAGCACTCTGAGGCCCCGGGGCACACACCAACAGCAAGGGCTCAGAGGCCCGGCCCAGGCCCAGGCCCAGGCCCGCTGGGGCCCCTGATGGGCAGCTTGGCTGTGCCTCCCTGGTGAGGTGGATGTGGAATAAGAGGAAATGGCTTCTGACCAGGCCTTTCCAAGCGCATCTGATGTTTTCAGCTTAGGTAACTTGATACGCAGATGTAAAACTGAGGGAGAAGTGATAGTGAGGGGCACTGTAACCAAAGCCCTTGGGTTCCAAGATGATTTTATCAAAGGAATAGAAGGTGACGAGCCTTTGTTGGCACTGTCTCGCCAACCAGGCAACCGGTCATGCTTCGGCTGAGGTAACCGCTGGTTTTCCTTGGCTCAGGGGCTGCCGGGAAGGTTTGCTGCTGCTAAGGCATGCAGAGTCGGCATAGAAGCTCGTCTGTCCACAGGGCAGGGACGTTGGTGGCTTTAAAGACCTGCCCTCAGTTCCTTTCTCTAGCACTTGTGTTTATCTTCCTTTCTGCTTGACAAAAGTCACCGTCCATGGAGATAAGTGTCAGGGAGACAGCATGGAATTGAGTTGGCAAGAGACTCCCATGAAGTTTCTTGAACCAAACCCGCAGGCTCATTGAACTTCTTTTCTCTTGACACAAGGTGCTGTCAGCGTGCTTTGGTTGTCACGTAACCCAGAAGTCTGAGTTCTTAGCTTAGTTGGCCCAAGAGTTTCTCATGAGGCAAAGGAAGTGGCAGCTGGCACCCCAGGTAGAACAGCCACCACAGAGAACACTTGTGTTCCTCTTGCCTCTATGTGGACGTGGAATCCGGCAACAGTGTGATCCTGTGGTGAGCTATACAATGTTCTCTGCCCCTGGCAGGGGCCCCTGTGGGGGTCCACGGTCCTGCTTACTGTGCAACTGGGCCAGCTGCAGAACCGGCATGTTGCACAGTGGACACACTTTCCGAACCTCCAGCCACTTAATAAGGCACCTGCAGAATGAGACACCAGAGGAGGGAAGACATCAGTGCCATGCTCACGGTACATCAGCCCGCCCACCCACCCACCCACCCACACATTTTGCATGTTGAACACATCTGTCGCCCAGAACGGCCAGGTCCTAACGAGCTCCACCCTCAATGGAGGACCCACTTTGCCCTCTGGAGGAGCCAGAGCTCCAAGCCTGCTGCTCCCTCAGTCACCGTGGTTTCCTAAGGAAGTACAGTGAGGGTGGTGCAAAATAGGAGAAATAAAATTTTCTAATAGACATGCAAAATGTACAAAATTGCAAGGGAAGAGGGAATATGAATATGTTTGCAAGAAGAGGGAGGAGAGAGCCCCACACTACCATTTACATTCAGACTCATCTATCTTGCTTTAAAATAACTACGTTTTGATTAACCTAAGATTTTTGAAGTGGGAGCTCTGATTGGAACGTTCCATTAAGCAGTGGTTTTATAGTCTGCGCTCCCAGGAGGTGTGAGTTTGTCTGGCATTCTGCCCAAAGTCCTGCCATGGTGCTCATGTCCCATGTCCCCACTTCCTTCTAGTGCCATGTACACCCCCCTACTCCCCCCACCCCCCCCGGGGTGCTTTCTGCATTGCAGACCAATCATGAAGCCTTCAAGCTTGTCTGGCACTGTTCCAAGCCCACAAGTTGGTTGATGTGCCTCAAACTCAGGTTCCCTTCAATAGTTCATACCAACACTTACTTTCTGTGGAAGGCATGCTTACACGGACAAATCCCCAACTCATCTCGAGGCTTGAAGTCTTCTAGACACACTGCACAGAGCTGGAAGATAAATCCACAGATGAGGAAAAGTGTCTGCTAAGCACTGTCCCAGGTCACAGAGTAAAGTGCAGGCCCCGAGGCCCAGTCATCTGAAGGGATTTGTAATGTCCCACAGTTTAAGCTAGGGGTGTCGAACTCAATCAGAGAAGGGGCCAAAATCTAAAATCCAGCCTAAATCGCGGGCCGAATGGTTTACTGAACAGTCATAAACTGTCATTGTGATGGAAACGCAGCGGAGTGCAGTGATGACAGCGCGGTGCGGGCCACATTGCAAGGCCTGGCGGGACGGATTTGGCCCGCGGCCTTGTGTTTGACACGTGGTTTAAGCGAAAGAAAGAGGCTCGACTGGGCAAGGTCTTCTGAAGAGGAACCTTCTCTCTTTCTATGACATGTCTTCAGAGATGAAGAGCAGGTGGGAGAAGACAGACAGCAAAAGGCAGTTTGCGTTAGTGCGTCAGAAGGGTCTGACTTAGGTTAGTCCTCACTAGCAAGGCTGCACATGATGGAATTCGCCTGTGGTGTGCCAGGGGCTGGCTTTCTGCAGAGGTGCTCTGCCTGCTCAGCTGCATGGCTCTGACAGGGACTGCTCATGCCCCAGGGCGGGCCCTGGCACTCTCCTTTCTCTGGTAACATGCCCTCACTCTGGCACTGTCCTTTTGTCAGTATCTGTCTCTGTCGTGTAAAATGATAAGCCCGGCTGGTGTGGCTCAGTGTGTGAGCGTTGACCATAAACCAGGAGGTCTCAGTTTGATTCCTGATCAGTGCAATGCTTGGGCTGCAGGCTCAATTTCCAGTAAGGGGAGTGCAGGAGGCAGATAAGTCTCATCACTGATGTTTCTACCCCTTCCTCCCTCTCCCTTCCTCTCTCTGAAATCAATAAAAACATTTTTAAAAAATTGTTTAAGATTCTGAATTAGACTTGAGAAAATGTGCAGAAGGGCCAGGGCTGCTGACAGGCGGCCAGGCTCCGCAGCTTTGACCGGGCTTTTCTTTCACACCCACATGTGGGGGGTTCAGCCACCACTCCTGGGCACTTACCAGTGTGCAGGGACACCAACCACCAGCACTTTTACCCACTTTACAGATGAAACAAGCTCAGAGCAATCACATGTTTCCTGAGGCCATGCAGTCGGTGAGTGTGGCTGGGCTGGGTCAAAGGTCTCCTGCACTGAGGTGCTGTATTCCTTCCCTCTTGCTTCCCTGTCCATCACAAGGGTTCCTGGCTCAACTATTAACATTTCTGCCCAGACTGATGACATGGCCTCTCTCTCACTTGTTTATAACCTATGACATGTAACCCAGTCTTCTTAGGTTATGTGACAGGACATGTGGCTCTTGGTGCCCGCGGCCAGTGCCATGAATGCTGGCCTTCCAACACCCTTCCCTCAGGGACTTGTGTACATAGCAGACAGGATCTTCAGGAAGAGGAGAAAGAATGTCTTGTCAGTCTTGGAAATATTGCCAAGACAGCAGGAGAGCAGGGAGGAAGGCAGGACAGACCGCTGGCCTTGGCTTGGACACCCACTAGCTGTGCGATCTCTGCCATTCGGATGCCTCTCAAGCTCTGTTCCTTCATCTATGTAACGTGAGGACCCCACCTGCCCCCCCTCCTTCGGAGGGCTGTTAGCAGCCCAGGCTGGTGGGATCAGGCTGAGGAGCGGTACGGCAGCCTGCCAATATCAGTGGCTTTTACCCAGTGTTGCAATGGGAGCACTATTTTCAAGCCCATTTTATTCTGGCGGAAGTCTGAACATGCTGCTGGTAAAGATGAGACACTAGCTGCTCTAGCTTTGAAGTGACCTCAGCTTCCCACCTGTAAAGGCGGAATGATGTTCCCATCTCCCAGCTGTGTGAATGGGCCCTGTGGCCTTAACCACTCAGCTTCCTCCTGGCAGAGCCTTCTCAAACACGGTCAGGACTCTGCTGGCTCTGACCCAGCACTGATCCTACCAAAGGACAAGAAGTTGATAAGCCACTCATTTTTATTTGCTTATTTTTCCAGGATCCCTAATTCTAAAACCACAGTCACCTGAAAAAAACCCCACAAGATAAATTCTGACACGTTAACTGCTAAAGGGAACAAAAGTCAAGGACAATCACAAAGAGAAAAGGCTTGGATCTGACTTCTTAGAAGCACCCTGAAGGGTCAAACTAATTTTACAACTTTAAAAAATATATATTTTGAGTTTTAGAGAAAAAGTAAGAGGGAGGGAGAGAGAGAAAGAAACATCAAAGTGAGAGAGAATCCAGTTGCCTTCTGTATGTACTCTGATTAGGCCTGTGTCCTGACTGGGAATAAAAATGATGACCTTTTGGTGTATGTGATAATGCTTAATCATCTGAGACACACTTGCTGGGGCCTCATTTTACAACTTCAAAGATCACATTTTGCAAGTAAACTTTATCCAATATGGTGCCGGAGCAACTGGACATCCACAGGCACAGAGCATGATATGACCCCTAAAGCATAGGCAATCAAAAGAAAAAAAAAAAAACGTGACAAATTTGACTTCATCAAATTAAAACTTTTGTTTTGCAAAAGACCCCTTTAGATAAAAGATTGGGATAATTATTTGCAGATATTTTATTTTGTAGGCCTTTATTATTACTGAGCTGTAAAAGTTATTATATATCCTGAATACTAGACTCTTATTAGGCATAAGATTTGCAAATATTTTTCCCTGTGGGTTTTATCAGAAAACCATTGAAAAAAAACCCCAGAAGAAAATGGCACAACATTTAAAAAGTGATGAGAGAAAAGAACTGTCAACCCAGAGGCCTATATATATCCAACAAAAACAACCTTCAGGAATGAAGGTATAAAATAAAGATATTCTCAGATGAAGGCAAACTAATAGATTTCATAGCCAGCAGATCTGCTCTATGAGAATTGTTAAAGGAAGGTCATTGGACAGAAGAAATATGACAAAAAAAGTAAACTTGGAACACTGGGAATGAAGAGCAATGGAAATGATAATTACCTAGATAAACATAATAGACTATTCTTCCTGTCTTAAATTCTCTAAAATATATCTAATGGTTAGAAGTAAAAATATATAACAATGTCTGATGGGATTTCCAATGTATATCAATGTGCTTTGACAGCTATTATATAAAGGGGAAAACATAAAAGGATTTATATGGACATAAGATTTCTACATTCCAATTGAAGTGTGAAAATATTGATTCTTTTTGTAATCTCTAAGCAATCACTTTTATACAAAAAATAGTCCAAATCACAACAGATAAAGTAGAATACTAAAAATGTTCAAATAACTGAACAGAAGGCAGGAAAAGGAAAATAAAGAAATAAAGAGGGGGGAAAGTGGAAGACAAATAATAAAATGGTAGATCTAATTCCAAACATATCAACAATTGCACTGAATGTAAATGCTCTACACACACCGATTAAAAGACAGATTTGCAGAGTAGATAAAAAAACATTTCTCAACTGTGTGCTGCATATAAGAAAACTCAAATAAAATTATACTAGAGCCCGGGGGTGCACAAAATTAGTGCACTGGATGGGGGCAGGAGGGGGGGATCCCTCAGCTTGGCCTGCGCCTTCTTGCAGTTCAGGACCCCTCGGGCTATGTCCCCCTGTCGGTTTAGGCCCACTCCTTCCTGCCTGCCTGCCATGGAGGCTCCTGCCACTGCCGCTGTGCTTGCCAGCCGTCAGCCGGCTTCTGACTGAGCAGCACTCCCCTTGTGGAAGCGCACTGACCACCAGGAGGCAGCTCCTGCATTGAGCATCTGCCCCCTGGTGATCAATGCATGTCATAGTGACCGGTCATCCTGCTGGTCGGTCAATTTGCATATTAGGGTTTTATTATATAGGATATTACTTAAAAAAAAAAAATCCTCACCCAAGGGTATGATTTTCATTGATTCTAAAGAGAAAGGAAGGGAGAAGGAAAGGGAGAAAAAAACCATCAATGTGAGAGAGAAACATTGATCAATTGCCTCCCACATTGGCCCTGACTGGGGATCAGACCCACAACCTGCGTATGTATCTGACCTGGAATCGAATCCAAGATCCTTTGGTGCATGGGACAACACTCCAACCAAGTGAGCCACACTGGCCAGGGTAAGGGATTTTACATTTTGATAAAGAGTCAATTGCCAACAAGACATAAAAATCCTAAATGTGTATGGACCTAACAATGGAACTCCATATACATTTACACCATGAAATATTATGCAGCAGAAAAAAGAGTCTCTTACCTTTTGAGACAGCATGGAGGGGCCTGGAAAGTATTTTGCTAAGTGAAATAAGCCAGTCAGAGAAAGACAAATATCACATGCTCTCACTCATATATGGAATCTAGTGAACAAAATAAACTGCTGAACAAAATAGATTCAGAGACATAGAAGCATGGAACAGACTATCAAATCTCAGAAGGAAGGAGGAGGTGGGTGGGTGGGAAGAGATCAACCAAAGAAGTTGTATGTATATATGCATAACCCATGGACACAGATGAAGGGTGAGGGTTGGGGTGGGGGGCAGGTATGGATTAGAAGAAGATAATAAAGGAAAAAAGGGAACATCTACAATACTTTCAACAATAAGGATAAAAAAAGAAAAGAAATGAGAAGACATATATTTATAAATTAGAAGACTTGACACAGTTAAAGATGCCAATTTCTCCCCAAATGATTTGTAGATTTAATGCAATACTAACCAAAATCCCAGCATGATTTTTTAAGATATAGGCAAGCTGATGCTAATATTTACTTGGAAGAGCAAAGAAACTAGACTAGCTAAAACAGTATTGGAAAAGAAAAATAAAGTTGAAGGAATTATACTACTTGATTTTAAGACTTACTATAAATTTACAGTAATTAAGTCTAAAGAGATAGATAATAAATCAATGGAACAGACTAGAGAATCCAGAAACAGACTCACAGAAATATGGCCATCTGATTTTTGACAAAGATGCAAAATAAATTTAATGTAGAAACAACCACTCATCACAGCCAGAACAGGGGACATTGTGGTGAACAAATTAAAGAATAAGTGCAAATGGAAAGTAGATGATAGACTAATGCCAAGACTCTCAGGTTTTACCTGAAAAGCCCCATATCTGACAACAACTATCTTCCCTATGGCGACAATTAGCTAGAATTGAGTGTTAGCAACCCCTCAACACAGGACCTGCATGTCCCAGTGTGACATAGTTTCCATGGCACCTGTTTCTCTTGATCCCAAGATCCATTAGATGCCATTTATTATCTCACTAGCATGGTTAGAACTAGAAACTAGAAACATGTTTTTTTTTAGATATAGATATAGTGTTCCTCTATATCTATATTTCTGTTAAAAGGTGGAGGAAGAAAAAAAAAAGGGTAAACTGAGTTTTAAGAGAGGATATTTTTCTTTATAGAAGGACAATGTACTATCACTAGAGGCCCGGTGCATGGTGGGGTCTCTCGGAGTGGCCTGCAGGGATCGGGCTGAAACCAGCACCCAACATTCCCCCGAGGGATGTAGTGTGCAGAGTGGTAGGGGCCAGGGAGGAGGCGCTCCTGCCATCCGGGGCCCACTCATCCTGGTCAGCTGAGCATCTGCCCCGTCTTTCATCGCTGCCCCTTGCATCTCCTGGTCTGCCGCACCGGAGCTTCCACGGCCTCGCTGGGGGTGCCGAATGAGGCTCAGAGGAGTGGGGTGAGTGCCCGAGGGTAGCCTCCCTGGAGAGCAGTGGAATTTGGGCTGATGGCCTGGCTTCCCAGTGTGAACTGCAGCTCAGCCCCACCTGCTTGCAATCTTTCATGGACTCAATCACCTGTTTCTCTTTTTGTCTATCCAAGTTGACTCCCCCAGCCACTCGGTGCATGTGTATGCAAACTAACCCACCATCGTTGTTGGGTTAATTTGCATACACACTCCTGATTGGCTGGTGGGCGTCATGAAGGTATGGTCAATTAGCATGTTACTTTTTTATTAGTGTAGATTAGATGCCTGGTGCACAAAATTCGTGCATGGGTGTGTGTGTCCCTCAGCCCAGCCTGCATCCTCTCCAATCTGGGACATCCCTCTCACAATCCAGGACTGCTCACTCCCAACTGCTCGCCTGCTTACCTGCCTGATTGCTCCTAACCGCTTCAGCCTGCCAGCCTGATCACCCCCTAACCACTCCCTTGCCAGCCTGATCGACGCCTAACTGCTCCTCTGCTGGCCTGGTCACCCTTAACTGCCCTCCCCTGCAGGCCTGGTCGCCCCCAACTGCCCTCCTCTGCTGGCTGGTCATCCCTAACTCCCTCCCTTGCCAGCCTGTTCTTCCCTAACTGCCCTCACCCTGCCGGCCTGATTGCCCCTAACTGTCCTCCCCTGCAGGCCTGGTCACCCCCAACAGGTCTCTCCCTCTCTTAGTGGGTGATCTTCCAGTGTATCATGTTTTATTTATTCATTATGCTACTGATGGACACTTAGCTTGTCTCTGATTTTTCACTATAATAATTATTCAATAACAGTATTCATACTGAAATCACTGTATAATTAGGCTACACACACACACACACACACACACACACACACACGCACACGTTTGATAAAAAATAATTTCATTACCAAAAAATGCAGTTGGAAAGAACCAGATGAATTGTGAAAAACGCATAATGCCTCTCAACACAAGCTGTAGAGCAAGGTTAGGTTTTCCAAGCTATAGTTTTAAATAGCAGGGGAAGGGCAGCTCAGTAGCAAGGTCAGACCGAGCAAAATTGAAATTGGTGGGTACAGCTGGGGTATGAACTATGATAGACAATACTGCAACACAATGCGCTTAGGATAAAGACTCTAAACCGATGGGTCAGACCAATAAGGAAGACTTCTATTCCTGTCAAACCTGGTTATTCAATATTGCTAATGGATGTCAGGATTTAATCTTTTAATTTGTGGCCATCAAAGAGACCCTAAGTAGAAAAGGGATCACCTGCTATTACTGCATGCTAATTTTGGCCATGTGCCAAAGTTAACTTTTGGGAAATTTAAAAAATCAAACAGTAATTGATGTTTGAATTTAATTCAAGGTTAGGCCTAAAATGCTGTAACACATCAATTTCTAATGAAAAATATGCAGAAAGAGCAAAGGATTTCAAAGTGTTCAATAATGAAATCATTTTTATTATTATTCAAATAATTTTATAATCTGTCTTTAAAGAAGAGATAGGCAATGTAATTAATTTCTATAATCTAAGAAAACAGATATTACACATGCAACTTTCCAAGTCCTTGTTTAAACACCAACTCAAAACTCAGAAAGAGAAAAGGCCCTAAAATTAAAAATAAAAATTCTGAGCATTTTTAATTAAAGGCAACAAAAGGAAAAATTAGAATCCTTATAGACTATGTGTCTTAAGGTATACATCAGGGCACACACACACGCTTTTGTATTTAAGTTACACAGCATAATCACATAGGGAACACCTATGGACCAACCACCATGCAACCTCAACTCGAGATAATCCCAAGAATATGTCTCTCTCTGTGTGTTCTTCCCTATTCCACCACTCTGCCACATCTCAAACTCCCACCTCCAAGAAATAACCACTGCCCTTTTTGTGCCATTGGTAAGAAAGAACTACTGGGCACATTTTCAAGAGTGAAATTACTGCAAATTCACCTTGAGTAGAAAAACCAACATATCTATCTCCTATTCATAGTGCACTGACAGAAAGCAGCATTCCTGCTGCTATGCAATCTTACACGGGCACCATCCCTACTAAACATATGAGTTACGTTATTATCTTAGTCTTCACACAATTGATTTTTATGACTTCATCCTCAAATATTCTGTTAAACTGACCAAAATAAGCCAAATTTTATTTAGTTAGTTAATCCTCATCTGAGGATATTTTTCCATTGACTTTAAGAGAGAGTGGAAGAGAGAGGGGAAGACAAGAGAGAAATATTGATGTGAAACACATGGATTGGCTGCCTCCTGCATACAACCCGACCAGGCCAGGGCCCAGTCTGTGCCCTTGACCAGAATTGAACCCGGGACCCTTTGGTCTGCAGTCTGACGCTCTAGTCACTGAGCCAAACTGGCTAGGGCTTTCCACTGATTTTTATTTTTAATTTTTATATTTTTATTGATTTTTCACAGAGAGAAAGAGAGAAGGATAGAGAGCCGGAAACATTGAAGAGAGAGAATCATCTATCAGCTGCCTCCTGCACACCCCCCACTGGGGATGTGCCCGCAACCAAGGTACATGCCCTTGACCAGAATTGAACCTGGGACCTTCCAGTCCACAGGCAGACGCTCTATCCACTAAGCCAAACTGGTTTCGGCATTTCCACTGATTTTTAGAGAGAGTGGAAGGGAGGAGGGAACCAGAGAGAGAGAAACATGGATATGAGAGCGATTGATATCAATTGATTGCCTCCTGCATGCACCCTGGGCCCCAACCCGGACGGGGGATTGAACCTGCAACTGAGGTACATGCCCTTGGCTGGAATTGAACCCAAAACTCAAGGGCCAATGCTCTATTCACTGAGCCAAACCGGCTAGGACAAAATAAACCTAATTTAAAAAAAAATCTTCACCTGAGGACATACTTAGAGAGAGGACAGGAGAGAGTGAGAGGCAGAGAACATCAATGTGAGAGAAACACAATGATTGGCTGCCTTTTGTAAATGTCCTGACTAGGGATGGAACTCACAACCTGGGTATGTGCCCTGTCCAGGAATGGAACCTTCAACATTTTGGAGCACAGGGCAATGCTCAACCAACTGAGTTATTCTGACCAGGCTAAATAAACTTAATTTTTTTCAACTTCTGAAAATAAAGATTTTTAAGCATATCACAGCTTATCACTCTATTAGAAAATAGCTCAAAAAAAGACTAAAATACTTATAAGGCAACTTACTTCATGCAAATTCAGTTCTTTTACTTTCTCTTTTAATATAACCTGTAAGACAAAAAGTATGTTTTTATGCCCATTTAAGTCTGTAATTTAAAAAATTTCTCATATTTCTCATTATACTTAAAAATATTTTTCTTTTGTATATATAGTTAATTTCCCCTCTTATTCAGTATTGAAGAGAATTTCTTTTACAGTTTGAGATAGAACATTTTATCAACATTCTTTGAAATTGAACAATGATGCAATATTTTTCTTGAAAGCAGCTTTAAAGTCTCTTTGACAATAGATTAAATTTTGGGAAAAGACATTAACACATGCCCATATAGACTAAGTGCAAACATGGAGTAGGAAATTTACTGCCTTATGGTTCAGTAAAACAGCACTGGCTGAAGGAATTAATTAATAATTACTAAAGATTAAAAAGTAAAATTAATCTTAATTTTAGAAGTTTTGCTCATTATTATACATCACTATGCTCAGAAAACTTTATCTCTAACTAGAGTTATGTAAATAGGCTTAAAACTTATCCAGGTTCTGTTTCTGACTTTAAAGTGACTGGTTATCAGTTAAAAGGAATGCCAAATGATAAGAGGACAAATTGCTGCTTAAATTGCAAAGTTCTGAGAATAAATTTAGCTTATCAGAATTATATGTCATATTCAAGTGAAAAAACAGACAAGTGAAATTTGGGAAAAATCTCTATTTTGAGTATCATATACCTGAATCAAAAATAGTTTTGAGGGCAAATCACATTTTCAGAAACCACAACCAAAAGCTACCATCTAGCTATGCAGAGATGTGTTAAATTTCAAATTCAGTATTTTTAAGGATAATTTTTTACCATGTCTTATGACTTTAATAGTTCTATCAATTAATTTCACCTTTTATTTTATTTATTTATTTATTTATTTATTTATTTTATTTAAAAAAATATATTTTGTTGATTTTGTACAGAGAGGAAGGGAGAGAGATAGAGAGTTAGAAACATCGATGAGAGAGAGTCATTGATCAGCTGCCTCTTGCACACCCCCTACTGGGGATATGCCCGCAATCACGGTACATGCCCTTGACCGGAATCGAACTTGGGACCCTTCAGTCCCCAAGCCGACGCTCTATCCATTGAGCCAAACCGGTCTCGGCTAATTTCACCTTTTATTTTATTTTATTTATTTATTTTTAATATATTTTATTGATTTTGTACAGAGAGGAAGGGAGAGAGATAGAGAGTTAGAAACATTGACAAGAGAGAGTCATCGATCAGCTGCCTCTTGCACATCCCCTACTGGGGATATGCCCACAACCAAGGTACATGCCCCTGACCGGAATCGAACCCGGGACCCTTCAGTCCCCAAGCCGACGGTCTATCCATTGAGCCAAACCGGTCTCGGCTAATTTCACCTTTTAAATGACCAGTAAGGCCAATTTTATTTTAAAAGAATATATTATTGATTTTTTTACAGAGAGGAAGGGAGAGGGATAGTTAGAAACATTGATGAGAGAGAAACATCAATCAACTGCTTCCTATACACTCCCCACTGGGGACGTGCCCGCAAGGTACATGTCCTTGACCAGAATCGAACTCGGGCCAATTTTACTTTTTAGTTAGCTTGTGTGTGTGTGTGTGTGTGTGTGTGTGTGTGTGTGTTTCATACAAATACCTTGTAGGTTGTCAAGATCATGAAAATACTGAGAGAAAAAAAGATTCATTTATTTAGAAAACTAAAACATTCTAGTTTGTGTATGAATCCCACATGAAACACATAGGGCAGAGTGTGGGGTTACCTATGACATCAATGTTGACATCTAAGAAACTTGCTCATGAGCTCAGATTTCAGAGACAAAGGATGGACAAAATGATAAGTAATCCTAAACTGGAGATGGTTCTGTAACATCATGTAATAAAGGTTAAAGACCAAAATAAGCTGGCCGAGACCGGTTTGGCTCAATGGATAGAGCGTCGGCTTGGGGACTGAAGGGACCCGGGTTCGATTCCGGTCAAGGGCATGTACCTTGGCTGCGGGCATATCCCCAGTAGGGGGTGTGCAAGAGGCAGCTGATCGATGACTCTCTCTCATCGATGTTTCTATCTCTCTATCTCTCTCCCTTCCTCTCTGTACAAAATCAATAAAATATATTTAAAAAAAAAAAAAAAAAAAAGACCAAAATAAGCTGAAGCTTGTCCCACCTCTCCCCAAAAAGCTAAGAACAACAAAATAATTTCATGCTTTAGTTTAAAAGAAAAGGAACAACTAGGCCCACTGTTTGGTGTCTGTGATAAAATGTTAATGAATGACACATGTAAGAAAAACGAAATTTTACTTTGCTTTCAAGAAAAGCTAAGTTTATTAAGTTTATTACTTTAAAGAACCAATCAGTAAAGGGTAGGAGTTTCCACATGATCCAAGTAGACTTCTAGGGGTGTGACATTAGCTAACATTTAAAGTACAAAAAAGGAAGGATATGCAATCATTAGAACAGAGCTTGTCGTCTCTAAGGAAGTTGTTTGTTTTTAATGAGGTAAAAAAATTATTTAATGAAATTTCATCTATATATATAAAATGTTAAGTGACCGACTGTACGTCCATCTGACCAACCAACCGGCGGGTACATATGATGCGCACTGGCAATTTAAAAATAAATGTTGACTTGAGCATGTGTGATACATATAAAGCTCTTGCTGGCATCAATCACAGATATGTGTTTTGACCTGTCATTGTTGATCATGAATTTGGTTGTTTTTGTTGACATTCTGAAGCTAAAAGAAAGCAGCTATTATGCCTTTGTTGTTATATCATGATGTTATTTATTTATTAATCAATTTATATATTATTTTCATATACATTTTACTAATTTTCTTTCATCTCTGACATTTCTATTATAGAGAAAGAGTGAATAGTGATATTAAAATATTTCTTTTAATTAATTTCCTTTCAATGTGCGTGAATCCACGCACTGGATTAAGTATTATAAATTACTTAATTTACTATAAATTACTTTAGCAAAATGTTAGCTTAAGTTCCCTGTTAAAACTATATTATTGCATCAGGTGAACTTTCTATAATTAAAAAGAAGTGTACTTAAAGTTGATCTATTTTTACTGAGAACTGGCAAATAAAATGTTAAAATGAACACAAGTCCTAGTTTAAAAAGACTGCAAATCTGAGTCCACATTTTTTGGGTATAAAACACTATCAAAGTCAAGTTGAAGTAAATTTCTCACCTGTTTATAGGCATAAAATTCTTTGTGTGCTTGATGTCTTAGCCTAAAAGACAAATGAACAATGTGATATTGAGATTTCCAACACAACCATTTGAAAAAAATAAGGAAACTGCTAATTTTGGTAACAATTTATATAATTTACAGTTTAAAATCCAGAGTCTTTGTCTTGAAATATACTCAAATGACACATCTGTTACATATCATGAGAAAGTGAACAGTGAACCATGAAATGATATCTAAATATAAATTAAAGTAAAATTTCATTAAAACAAAATCTCATTAATACAACAAATATTTTAATGAAACCTCAATTCTTTTTATGTTGATGATAGTCCACTTGTTTCAATATTTAATATACCATATTTTAAAATTTAAAATTTTAAGTATAATATACATCTAATAGTTACAAAAACCTTAAGAATTCAGCTAATTAAAAAATACAGGTATACATTTATATACACATGTTAACTATCACCTAGTCAAGATACACATTTACAGCACCCCTTCAATGACTTCTCCCAATCAATATCCACCCAAAGAGGTCGCCATTTTCCTGATTTCTCTCAATATAGATTAATGATGCTTGTTTTGAACTCCACATAAGTGAATCATTAGGTACACTCTTTGCCTTGGCTTCTTTCAGTCAACAGTTACTTTTGAAATTTATCTATGTTGTTGCAGTAATTCTCTTTTTGACTGATATATAGTGTTCCATTGTATGAACACTATAAATATAATTTATCTAATCTACTGTTGATATTTAGATTATGTCCAATTTTGGGCTATATTAATAAAGCTGCTACACAAATTCTTCTACATGTCATTTAGCGGACATATACACTAATTTCTGTAGACCTGCTGATCCAAAGTGCTTGCACCAATTTCTACTCCTGTGGGTAAAGCATGAGAGTTATAGTCGTTCCACATCTTTGTCACTGCTTTGTAAGGTTAGTTTAAAAAATTTAAGCCAATCTAGTGGGCATTTAGTGGTATCTCATTTTGGTTTAAATTTGCATTTCCCAAATGGTGTGCAGAACCCTTTCATATGCTTATTCCCAATTGAATATCTTTTATGAAATGCCTGTTTGAGTTTTTTGACCATTAAAAAAAAAAAGAGTTGTCTACCTTTTTCTTATTGATTTATAGGAATTCCTTATATATTTTAGATGTGAGTCCTCTGTTTGGTCTATGTACTGTATCTACTCCTACTCTGGGGCTTTTGCCTTTTCTTTCTCTTAATGGTATCTTCTGATGAACAGACACTTTTATTTTAAATGAAGTCCAATTTATCAACTAGTACCAATAATGTCAGTTCTTTTTGTGTTCAATTAAAAAAAAAAATCTTTGCCTACCTCTAGATCATGAAGATATTCTCTTAAAAACCATTTGTTTCATCTATTACATTTATATATATATATACATATATATACATATATACACACACACACACACACACACACACATATATATATATATATATATATATATATATATGATCTGAAATTACTCTTTATGTATGATTTGAGGTAGAGGTCAAGATTCTTTTCATTGACATGCAGATTTTTGTTTGACTCATTTATTATAAAGATTCTCCTTCCCCACTACATTACAGTGGCACATCTGTTTTAAGTAAGACACAATATGTGAGTCTATTTCAAGAGTTTTTATTATGTTCCATTGGTCTATTTGCCTATATTTATGTACTAGATTGAATAGTGTCCCCTTAAAAATTATATCTAACTGGTACCTTAGGATATAACCCTATCTGGAAACAGTATTTGCAGATTATTTAATTAAAATAAGGTCATATTGGATGTAGGGTGCATATTGGATTTAGGATGGACCCTAAGTCCAATATGACTGACATCCTTAGAAGAGAGGAAATACAGACACAGGGAAGAAAGCCAGGTGAAGAAAGAGACAGAAATGATGCAGCTACAAGAGGCAAGGAAGGATCCTACCCTAGAGTCTTCAGAGGGAGCATGGCCCTGTTGACACCTTGATTCTGAAATTCTAGCCTCCAGATGGGAGATTAAACTTCTGTTATTTTAAGCCACCCAGTTTGTAGTATGTGGTTACAGCAGCTCTGGGAAACTGATGCACCTTGTATCAATACCATGCTAGTTTTGTTTTTTTAATTTGTATTTTAAAACAATTTTAGATTTACAGAAAAGTTGCAAAAAATCAGAGTTCCCATATACCTATCTCCCAGTTTTTCCAATGTTCATATTTCACACAACCGGAGTACAAAAATCAAAGCAAGTACATTAACACTGATATATTGATATTAATGTTGATATATCAACAAAATAAGAGACTATTTAAATCTCACCAGTTTTTTTCACTAATATCCTTTTCCTGTTCTATGACCCAATCCATGTCTCCTTAGCCTTTCCCAATCTGTGGCAGGATCCTTAGTTTTTTTCTTTCAAGATTTTGACATATTAACCATGATCACTTGTTCGTGGAGTGTCTGCTAGGTCTCTCCACTGTAGTTATTATTTTCCTTTTTGAAACTGACCAACACTTTGTGGGAGAGATGTTGAAACCATGCAAAATCCTACTCATTCTCAAGCTTTTGCCCACTGATTTCGCACTCATCTTGCTTGCAACAATTACTGTAGTGTTCGCCTGGTGGTGGCTTGGTAGTTTCCTAATTCCTGCATAATTATTAACTGGAATTCTTCTGTAAGGAACATATGTCCCTTCTTCATTTGTTTATATCACTTTGGACTCATGGATATTTGTTTTAGTCTGTGAGTTAGAGTTCAATATAATCATTATTTATTTTATTGCTCAAATTGATTTAGGTTTGGCCTTTAGGAGCCTCATCGGGTTGACCTCTGTGTCCTTTTAATGTGCCCTCATTTTTTGCCATGAATTTCCTTGCTTATTAGCGCTGAAAGATGTTTCCGGCTCATCTTGTATTTTCCACTCCCCATTTGTGGAATTAGCCACTTCTTTCAAAGAACCTTGGTTCTTTTTACTGGAGAATAGTGTTTAGAAAGCAAGATCTGGGTGCTAGGTGAATAGCACTCTGTTTTTAGTACTGGAGCTCTGTAATAAGTCTTGGGTCTGGCATTAGAAGTCCTCAAGCTTTGTTCCTAATTACTTTCTTGGCTACTCTTGGTCCTCTGCATTTCCATACCAATTTCATGAGCTTGTCATTTCCCACAAAAAATCTGTTGTGATTTTGACTGAGATTGCATGGAAGTTATAGATCAACTACAGAACTGACATCTTTGCAAGATTGAGTTTTCAATCTACGAACCTACTTATTATATCTTAATTTCTCTTTATACATTTCTAGGTAGAATGGTTATATATCTTTCATTAGATTTATTCTTAGGTATTTAGTAAGTTTTGATCTACTATAAATTATAAATTATTTTCATTTTCTAATTAATTGTTGCTATTACATAGAAAAAACAATTTTTTTTAATAAATATTTTATTGATTTTGTACAGAGAGGAAGGGAGAGAGATAGAGAATTAGAAACATCGATGAGAGAGAGTCATCGATCAGCTGCCTCTTGCACACCCCCTACTGGGGATGTGCCCGCAACCAAGATACATGCCCTTGACCGGAATCGAACCCGGGACCCTTCAGTCCCCAAGCCGACACTCTATCCATTGAGCCAAACCGGTCCCGGCGAAAAAAACAATTTTTGTATATTAATCTGTATTTAATGACTTGCTAAGTTCACTTATTATCTTTAAATAGTTTATCTGTAGAATATTTTGAATTTTTTAATATATACAACCTTTCTGTCTACAAATAATGACAGTTTAAACTCTGCCTTTTATAATCTTTAGATATTTTACTTCTTTTTTATTTCATTTCATTTCTTTTATTACTCTTTTTTTCTGCATTGGCTAGGACCTCTAATACAATGGCAAATAAAAGCAGTGGCATCACTATTGGAGGCCAATAGAGGGGAAAAGGGGACATATATAATACTTTCAACAATAAAGATTTAAAAATTTTTTAAATGTGTAAAATAAAATTATATAACTAAAAAAAACCCAACCCATCACTATTTAAGTATGTTTTCTCTAGATTTTTTGTGCATAACCTTGATATAAACTTGTATCCTAGTTTTTGATTTTTAAAAATCATGAATAGGTAATTTTTGTTTTTAAAAAATATGTCACAGATTTGAGAGAGAAAGGGAGAGAGTCAGAGAGAAACATCAATGAGAAACATCAATCCGTAGCCTCTTGTATGTCCCCCGCTGGGTATTGAGTCTGCAAACCATGCATGTACTCTGACCAGAAATTGAACTGGTGACCTCCTGGTTCATGTGTTAATGTTCAACCACTGAGCTCATCAGCGGGACTTTATAAACTTTCCCCTCCATCATTCCCCTGCTCCCCCCTTTTTTTTAAACTGGTAATGTGGCATATTGCATTGATACCTTCATTCCTGGAATAATGTCCACTTCAATATAAAATACTACCATTTTGCATATCCCTGAATTTGATTTACTAATACTTTGTTCATGAGAGACATAAAGTCTATAAGTTCCTTTTTTGTAATGTCCTCGTGAGGCTTTGTATAATTTTAGTCAAAATTATGCTGTCCTCTTTATATATATGAGTTGAGTATTTCTTTTATTCTTTGGAAGTCATTTAAGAGTGGTATTTTCTTCTTTACTGTTTGAAGGACTTCACTGGTGAGGTTACCTGGCTTGGAGTCTCTTTGTGGGAATGCTTTAATAGCACATTCAATTTCTTAGTAGATATATAGTTACTAATATTTTCTATTTATTCTTGAGTTAGTTTTTGTTTTCCTTTAATAACATTTTAAAATATTCCTTTGTTTGTACTCACATAATATAAAATTTAACCATTTTAAATTGTATAATTCAGCGGTGTGTAGTGTGGTCACAATGTTGTGCAACCACCAGCTCTCTCTAGTTCCAAAATTTTTTGTCACCCTCCAAAAACTATGTGATCTCACGAAGTGGTCTCATTAAATAGTCCCCTTCTCCTATCTCATGGTAACCTCTAATCTGCATTCTGTCTTTATGGATTTGCCTAT